GTATTGGATGACTCTTTTATAGTTCCTTCCTTTAATTTTCTACTATCGATACAAAACATAAACTGTTGTCCTTTTTTCGGAAAAGTACAACTGGAGAACGCCATGGGCTAACCGCGGACCCAATAATTCCCTTATGTTCCTTTTCTATATCAGACTTCTAAAGATACATTATGGGAGATTAGATAAAGAGCTGGCAGTTCTCACTATAATAGTTAAAAACTAGATAATGTAAAGGGAATTTGCTGAAAATTTTAGTGATTGAATTGGGTCTAGCCTCAATTATTATTACTAAAGTCGGTACGATTAAAAAACATAGCCTCGATTATCCATTTTTTTAATTTAATTATCAATGAGCTTTAAGCAGCAGATAGGATTCTAATCCAGAAAATATCGCAGGCTAGCGATGACATCGAGAGTTGATTATGGTCTGGATAAGTTAATTAAATACATTATGCAAGAGCTAGATCTGTCTATTGCAGGTCTTTCTTGAGGCATGAAATGTTATCTAAATTATTAATTAAGACTTTAATTAACTTATCCAGGCCATAATCAACTCTCGGTAGCATCGTTCATTGGATTAGGTTCCGATTTGCTGTTCGACTTCCATTCATAATTTAATCATGAAATGGTTAATCGAGACTGTTTTTTTTATCCTACCGACTGTAGTAATGATGATCGAGGCTAGGCCGAAAATTCAATTGCTAAAATCTCGGTTCATAGTGGATCAATTTGACTGAAATTTTCAGCAAATTCCCTTTACAATATCTAGTTTTTAACTAGTATAGTGAGAACTGTCAGCTCTTTATCTAATCTCCCATAATGTATCTTTAATGTCTAATTAATAATTTAGATAACATTTCAGGCCTAAAGAAAGGCGCGCAATTGGCAGATTTAGCTCTTGCATTTAGCTCTTGTTTTATTCATTCTACACTTAATAAAAACATGGTTCTATCACATATGTAACTAGAACTGCGATGCAGTAATGACGGGTTTCACCGGTGCCACGTTACCCTAAACATATGTCACTTCCGGTACCAATGAAACCATTAAACAGGTTTCCACCTTATCATTGCACACATCAAATAAAATGGAAGCCGAATCAACCAAATCCAGCAATGTCAATTCATTTTATACATTTGTTACATGTAAGTGTACAGTACTTCCGGTGATAATGAAAATATTAATTAGTTTTATGAAATCAGAAATGGCATAAGGCATCACATGGTGAAAATTTTATGTAAATCGAATAATAATTGCCACTTTTATAGACCAAAAACCTTGAAAAGTGACTTGTAGAAAACCGTCTATTCCTTTGCAACCGTACAAGTTAGAAACCATTTTCTGGTATCTGTATGATCGTATTGGTTCATTCTATTTGTTGATTGGAATCAAATATCATAATTTTAAAAACATAACTCAGATTCATTTGAATAAAATATCTGTTTTGAAGGCTAAAAATACAGTTTTTGCCAAAATGACGTTACTTCCGGTGATAATGAAAATCTTAAATTACTTGTATGAAATCGTAAATGGCATTATGTATCACATAGTGACAATTTCATGAAAATCGAATATTAATTGACACTTTTATGGACAAAAAACCTTGAAAAGTGACCTGTTGAAAATTTCCTATTTCTCCGCAACTGAACAAGTTAGAAACCATTTTGTGATATCTATATGATCGTATGGGTTCATTCTATTAGTTGATTAGAATCAAATATCAAAATTTTTAAACAAACAACAAATACGACTCATTTGAATAAATTATTTGTTTTGAAGGCTATAAATACAGTTTTTGCCCAAATTTCGTCATTTCCGGTGACATTGAAAATGTTAAATTGAGTTGAACTAGTCACAATTGACATTACGCATCGAATGGTGTCACTTTTATGAAAATCCAATAGTAAGTGACTCATGCATTATTGACCATTTCTCGACAACTGCTCATATAACAAACTAATTTTGAGATAGATTCTCTTCGTATGGATTAATGCTACAAGTTTATGAAAGTTGCGAAGAAATATTTTAAAATATGAAAAGCCTGAATGGGTTGTAAATAGCTCATTTTTTCATCTTTTTTCACCTTTAAATCAAAATGACCCGAAAACGAAATTAAAAAATCTGAGCCCGATGTTTTACAGGGCACACACTTTCAGTCATACCAGATTTGAAAAAAATAATATTTGCTTTCAAAAAGTGGTACCGAACTGTTAAAATGGGATTTTGGATCACGGAGCATATGAACTTTGTTTTATACAAATCGAGCAATAAATAATTAATCCATACTGAAAAACTGAATTAGCCAATGGCGGCCAAGGAAAATTACAATGACAAAAAATGGTGCCATTTTTGGTCAAATCAGATGACTCTTTAACCCTGGGTAAAATACCACATTAAAATATTCATAAATAAAAAAGTTTTTTGTAAAAATTTAAATTTTCAAAATTTGGCGCCTAATATCTCCGACGATTCGTGGAAAATCAAAAATCTTAAGAACCATGGCTATGTGCCTTGTCTCTGGCTATGTCAAAATGTATCCAATTTTAAAATCCGACGATTATTGTTAATATTACGGCAATATTTCAAAAATCGACAAATTCGACGATTTCGGACATTTCGCATTGTCGCAGAACGTTCGAAATAGCTTTAATCTCTAAATCACACCCACTTTTCCAGTAAAACCGAAGACATCGAATCAATCTGACAAGTAGTTTCTGAGATACAATCAAGAGAGAGAGAGAAATGGGGTTTAACGTCCACTCGACACAAACTAGGTCATTTCAGGACTAACATATGGTTTAATTTTATTTACATAATTCGCTTGCGCGTAGGGGTCTTTAGCAGTGGGAGGAACCGGAGGACCCGGAGAAAACCCACGAGGTTGGACAGGCGACCCTACTCCTTGCGAGATACAATCAAATTGGAAAAAAATAAATAATAAGAATAATAATAAGAATAATTTTAACAAAAACAATAGTGTTTCACACAAGCTACGCAGTGTGAAACCCTAATAATGACTGACACCAATATTGTCCTTTAACAATGATTACCTTGTATGGACAGGTTTTGCAAAAAAGGGGCATAACTCTAAAAACATATTTCGATTTTGAAGACAAGAAATAGTATTAGATCAATATGATAAGGAATACTTCAAGTTTGGTCAAAGTCACAAGATGTAAACAGGGCTAGCTCTAATCCCAACCCTAAATTTAACCCTGGACCTAGCCCAAGTCTTACCCTAACCTACAATCTCGCCAACAATCATGTGCCCTAGCCTTATTTACATCTCATTTACATTACATTGACGAAAATTGAGTTGGCCTTAACAAATAGATCTAGCCCATGAAAATGAGTTACCATCTTGTTATAATACAAGTTTCCTAAAATCTGATAAAACTTGTGTGGACGTACCAACGGATGAAAAGAGTGATTACAATATACGTCCACATTAACATGTGGGCATATATACTATTCAAAAAAAGTAGGGGATATTTGATTTTGGGGGCATAATACTAAAATATGCAAATGACTACGAAAAAAGTCACTATAGAACCTAACAGAAGAAACATTTCCAGTTACATGTGACGCCCAAACGCACCAATAGCTACCGCATGGAATGCAGGTGATGCTTGGGATCATCATGGGGGTCCAACCCAAGATTTGCACGACTCTGACTTTGAATGTTACAGTCATTGTGGCATTGAATTCCAGGGTGGAAACATCAGTTTAATTGTTTTAGTGACCAGAAAACAAATTTTGATATGCGTCGGCTTACCCAAAATGAAAGGTTACGTGCCCTTGGCATGCTACAGATCGGCACAACACAGGCGGTTGTGGCGCGGACGATGAATGTTTCTCAGTCTGTCATAAGCAGGCTATGGTCCAGATACCGTGATACACAATCTGTACAGGACAGACCACGCTCAGGTCGACCAAGGGCGACAACTCAAGCCCAGGATCGATTTATCCGTACCTTGGCCTTGAGAAATCGTGTCATCACAGCAAATCAGATCAGCGCTCGTCTTCAAACAGACACTGGTGTGAGAGTGAGTGGCCAGACGATTCGGAATCGACTGCATAGGGGTCACCTTCGCGCCCGACGCCCTCGCGTGATCCCTTGTTTGAGAGATCATCACATTCAGGCAAGACGTCGTTGGTGTAGGGATCGTCAACACTGGGATAATCGACGCTGGAGCAATGTGATGTTTTCAGATGAGTCAAGGTTCACTGTTGATTTTTTGGACAGACGTAGGAGGGTGTGGCGTCGTCGAAACGAGCGCTTCCAAGACGTTAACGTCATCAGACATGATCGATTTGGGGGTTGTTCTGTTATGGTGTGGGGAGGCATCACTGTTGCTGGAAGAACGGCTTTACATGTTGTTGCAGGGCGTGTTACAGGCCAGTACTACCGGGACAACATCTTGGCAGTCCATGTTGTGCCGTTCGCACGACGTCATGGCCGCCGTTTCATCTTCCAGGATGACAACGCAAGATGTCATAGGGCCAGGATCGTTACAGGTTACCTCCAACAACAGAACATCACCACATTACCTTGGCCAGCACTGAGTCCCGACCTCTCCCCCATCGAGCATGTCTGGGACATGCTTGGACAGAGGTTACGTCAACGTCAACAACGTCCTGCCAATGTCCAAGAACTTGCTGCTGCGTTGCAACAGGAATGGGACAATCTGGACCAAAATGACCTTAGACGTCTCATTAGGAGTATGCCACGTCGGATCAATGCTTGTTTGGCAAACAGAGGAGGATTTACCCATTACTGACTTGGTTGTGATGCTGTGGTAACTTTGCTGTTTGACCCCGGGTATCATTTTACCCTTATAATGGTCAGTCTGTGATCATTTGGAATAAATCGATGAATGTGAACTTCATTTCATTTTGTCATTTGTTCTTCGTCAGTTTCATTAGGTGACTTTAATAACACTTAAAAATCAAATATCCCCTACTTTTTTTGAATAGTATAGAAATGAACAACAAAAAAATCAGCAATAAAATAACGTTTATTTACAGAGATTAACTTAAAAGGACGGTTAGCATCAATCATCATCATCATCAATATCTAATTCTTCATCAAGATCTAAATCATCCAAATCTTGAAATAATGATTCATCAACTTCAACAGCATTTTCTTCTAGAAAGTATTTAAAACATGTACTAGTATAGAAATAATCAAGATTTCAACAAAGGAAAGAAACAGAAGATACCTTTTACTGATAACAATAGTTAAACATATCAATTACGATAAAATTACTTAAGATCTGTCAGATAGGAGAATATGCTTTTTCGATCACCGACTTTTAATGTCTCATATATAGGCCCTTAAGATGATTATATTTAAACTGGTATTATTCAAGACAACTTAAACTGTACAAATTTCTACATTCATCTGCATATTCAACAATTAGTATGATTTAAATCTGATTTACGACGACAAATAATTCTGGCTTGGGTTGTTGACTTATTACTACTTTGAAGGTTAGCATTTATTAACATGGGCACATGCATATGTCATCATTTTTTCAGGAAGATAATTTACTACTAGAGCCCACGTTTTCAAGCCAACCAGTTCATGATCAACATAAACCAGTTTTTTAAAGAAAAGCCTGCTCGAAGACCGGTAGAGCTGGGGAACCTTGGAGTAATAATGTGTTTTTACTACCATCGAGATCTGGTAGTAAGGTTGAGTTAGGTTGATTTGTGATATATGACAGTAGGTCAGCCCTCGTTAACTGCACCTTATCTCTTTTGACAATTCATGTGATTAGGACATTGAATTCAGTAATCATTATGTGTCTAGACACACAAATTGTTTTTTTTATTAGTTTGCAGTGATACAAACATTATCCCAGTCACATTTTGTCAAATCAAATGATACACATTTTTTTCAGGATCATTTCAAGCTGAAAAATTCAGACACTGTATAGGGACTATTACTTCACATTTTGTATTTTGATTTTCATACATGATTACACTGGGAAGTTTTCTTTAACAAAGAAATAAATATTAATTATTTCTTCAACTTTTAACTTTAACGTACCTGAAGGTAAGAAATTGATATCTGATTCGTTGAGTGATTGATCCTCTAAAAATAACTGTCGACCTATAAATCAATATATATATAAAAGTTATAACAACTTCATAGCTATAGTAAATCTCTGCACTTAAACAGTGCAGCATAGATCTATCATTTTAAGACACTAGATCATGGCCAGTTGATTCTACATCTGCACGCAAAGAATAGTTTTCCAAGTAACTAATTGTATACAAAATTCTATGGGGGGGGGGGGGGGGAAGATAACAGATACATTGATCATAATTTATTTCTAACATTCAATATCTATAGTAAGTACATTGTGTTTTATAATAATCAGTAATGAAATCCAGTGCGTTATATGTAACTAGAACAAGTCAACAGTGAGGCTGATATACCCTGCCCAATTGAAAAAGTAATTAGATGACACACATTTTTTAATTGCATGTTTATCTTTTTATAAAGCATCCTAATATTGCTTATCAAAGTTTAATGTGAGCATTTTCACCGAATTAGAATCAGTAGTGTTGAGCTCCAAAGTCTCGACCAATCAAATCGCTCATCATCGAACTTTGTCATGGTATTAATGTACTGAAACTATACTCCAAGTTTGATGTACTGAAAGTATACTCCAAGTTTCACCACTCTTACACAATTGGAATCAAGGTTATCATGTCCCAAAACATTGATGCAGAAAATGTTCATTATTGAACTCAGTGGAGGTTCTGATGTAATGAAACTATAGGAAATGTGCATTATCGAACTAAGTCAAGGTATTGATGTAATAATATATGCCAATTCTCAATCAGAATCAAAGTTGTCGAGCTCCAAAGTCTCGACCAATCAAATTGCTTATTACTCTACTTAACTTGAGCTCAAAATTCTCATTATCGAACTTAGTCAAGGTGACCAAAACTCCCCAAAGCATAGCCCAATCAAATTGTTTATCCTAAGCCGAAAATGTTCACTAACAAGTGAAATGTTTGCAGGGTTGCAAATCTTTCCATTCTGTTTGCCAGATTACTATGTCTTCTACATCACAGTTGCATAATATTTAGAGGTGGAACACCCAATATTCCTCTAAGAGTTTTTAAGATTTTAATTTGAAACTAGATGGGATTATATAGCTAACTACTGATAATGAGGAACCCTATCAAAATTCAGTCATAGATAGGTTTTATATAGTATCTTGGATATGCCATTGACACACTGCCCTATTGCACTTATTAATTTGGTGTTCCAAAGATACTATACTAAGCAGCAAAAGAAATGTCACTCTGAATAGACGCATGCATAAAACTTGCCAAATGTTTTTATTGTATATTTGTGAGCACATCTCCAACTTCACCTGAGTACTAAGGCTCCTTCTCAAACACAGAATTGAACCCAGGAAATGTTCTCAAAAACGCAACCTGACTTCTGAGATGGTAATGTGTTCTCCATGATTTTCATTTAACTCATGCTGCACGTGCTGTTCACCGGGACCAACCGTATAAAATGCACCCTCATACCTGGTTGAATCATTCACACTACAACGTCAGCAGCATGTCACAACTCTTGGTAGCTCAGAGGAATCAGGTGCTTGGAAGACTTGACGCTGGCCACACTGCCCAAGCCGTTGCCAATCACTTCCAGGTCAATGTTCGGACCATCTACAGGCTTCAGCAACGCTTTCGAGCCACCAACACCATTGATGATCGCCCCCGAACTGTTGGACCAAGGGCTACCACAAGGCGACAAGACTGCCATGTTGTGCAACAACATGTGCAGAATCCCTTCACACAGGCATCTGAGACAGCACGGCAGACAGTGGGAACACACAGAAGACTCATAAGTACCGATACAGTGCGCTGACGTCTCATCAGAGAGAACATCTATTGTCATAGATCTTACCGTGGACCGATCCTCACCATCGACGTGAATGTCTACAGTTTGCCCAACAACACTAGAACTGGCGACACAGTCAATGGAGAACTGTTCCGTTCACAGATTAGTCGGTATTGCGTATCAACTGCAGATGGCAGGACCACAATATGGCGTCGACGTGGCCAGCGCTATTCTGACCAATGTGTCATGGAACGAGACTCATGGTTTGGGGTAGAATCGGCATGAACCAAAGAGGGTTTCCTGTGGTGTTCCAAAATCTTGGTCCAGGGAGACGGCAGCATCACAGCAAAGCGCTACATCGATCAAACTCTCAGACCCCATGTCATACCCCATTTTGCACGTCATCGAAACATCGTTTTCCAGCATGACAATGCCCGTGCCCACACTGCCAGAGTTACTCGGGACTTTCTACAGCAGAACGGTGTCAACATTATGCACTGGCCGGCCCTTAGTCCGGACTTAAACCCCATTGAACATCTTTGGGATGAAATTCAGAGGAGACTTAATAACGTCGTACTGAGACCAAACACAGCCGATGGATTGCGCCAGGCTTTTCTGAGAGTATGGTTCCAGGTGCCAATGACGTTCATCAATCGCCTGGTCAACTCCATGTACAGACGCTGCGCTGCTTTTATTGACACTCGCGGTGGTCACGCCAGATACTGATGTATAGACTGTGTACATACTCTAAACCTTCTCGTAATGTCTTGGAATTGTGATAAATAAATCACTTATGTGTCAACATACTGTTCACAAAAAATTGCTTTGATCCATTAGTATTAGCTTACGCATTACTAGCTTAGGAATTAGAATTATGAAGGATATTCCACTCCATAGTTTTCTAGAATGATTTGATTAAAGTGCCTCTCTGATTTTGAAATTGTACGGACTTTTTTTTCGCTGTTTAGTATATATGTTTGTTCGGCTACAGGCTCCTTTTATAGTGGCTCCTCCTCCAACACACCTACCACTCTTCTAAATGACCAATTGATTTATTACACTGGTTTGAACAATCTGTAATAATGTCAAGAGAGAAATAATAATGCCAGTTTTCGGTATACCTGTTTTCTTCTTTGATGATGATTCTTTACTTTGTTTTTTCTGCTTTAATTCAGCCATCTCTGCATCAAACTTTGCTTTCCATGCTAAAAAATTTTCTATCGTAACCCGAGTTCCTTGAAACTTTTTCTGAAACATACAAAAAAAACATTTAGTGCAGATGTAAATTATAACTATGAGAGTGACATAGTAGGAATATTGTTATTTTGAGTGTTATCCTGAAGGTTACAAAATAAGATTAACATATGGTACTGTAAAGAAAGAAAACTTTACATGCATTCACATTTACATGTTTTATTTTATATGTAAATATAAAAGCCAATAGTGAGGCTGATGTCTAATGCCGAAATCCCAAAATAAATAGATGACACATTTTAATTTATCGCACATTTATTTTTTCAAAAGTATCAAGCAATCAAACTGATTATCAACTATACACTAAGTTTCATCACTCTATCAGATAGAATCAAAGTTATCTTGTCCTAAAGCATCGACCATTGAAATTGCTTAGCTCTGCTTAGCTTTAGCTCGAAATGTTAATCATTGAACTCAGTCAAGACTTTCACCTAATGAACATCTACATCAAGTTTAAACATTTTACCTCAATAAAAAGCAGAGTTGTTATGTTCCAAAGTCTTGACCAATCAAATTGCTTATCACTCCTTGGCTTAAGCAGAAAATTCTCATCATCGAACTTAGTCAAGGTAATGATATAATGAATCTATACTCGGGAGTTTCATCACTCTCACTTAATTATAACAAAAGTTATCGTGCCCCAAAGCATCAGCCAATCAGATTGCTTATCTCTGCTTACTGTAAGCAGACAAATGTTTATTATGGAACTAGATCAAGGCATTCACCTAACGAACACCTACACCAAGTTTGAACATTCTACCTCAATTAGAAGGAGAGTTACTGTGTTCCAAAGTCTTGGCCAATCAAACTGCTTATCGCTCTGCTTACCCTGAGCAGAAAGTGCTCATTATCGAATTTATAGTCAAGGTATTGATGTAATAAAACTATACACCAAGTTTCATCACTAAAGTTATCGTGTCCCAAAGCATCAAACAATCAAATTGCCTATCTCTGCTTACCCTAAGCAGAAAATGCTCATCTTGGAACTCCACCAAGGCATTGACCTAATAAACCCCTACACCAAGTTTAAACATTCTAGTCCAATTAGAAAGAGAGTTATTGTGTTCCAAAGTCTCGGCCAATGAAATTGCTTATCGCTCTCCTTACGCTGAGCAGAAAATGCTCATTGTCGAATTTATAGTCAAGGTATTGATGTAATAAAACTATACACCAAGTTTCATCACTCTCACTTAAATAGAACTAAGTTATCGTGTCCCAAAGCATCAACCTATCAAATTGCTTATCTCTGCTTACCCTAAGCAGAAAATGCTCATCTTTGAACTCCATCAAGGCATCGACCTAATAAACACCTACACAAAGTTTGAACATTCTAGCTCAATTAGAACGTGAGTTATTGTGTTCCAAAGTCTCGACCAATCAAATTGCTTATCACTCTGCTTACCATGAGCAGAAAATGCTCATTATCGAACTTAGTCAAGGTATTGATGTAATGAAACTATACACCAAGTTTCATCACTCTCACTTAATTTGAATTAGAGTTATCGTGTCCCAAAGCATCAACCAATCAAATTGCTTATCTCCTTTTTCCCTAAGCCGAAAATGCTCATCTTCGAACTCCATCAAGGCATTGACCTAATAAACACCTACACCAAGTTTGAACATTCTAGCTCAATTAGAAGGAGAGGTATTGTGTCAAAAAAAGTGTCACGGACAGACAGACAGACAGACGAACCCATTTTAATAGTACTCTGCTTTCTTCGAAAGGTGGGGGACAATTAGTATTCTGAGAGTATTACTAAGTTCCAACAAATTTATACAATCTGTAAAAGGCTGATTCTGTGAAAATATTTCTTTGAATATATAATCCAAATATATATAGATGGAATAAATTTTGAAAAACTGATTTTCACAGAAATGTTTAATTCTGCTATGAGTGTACCAACCCTCAATAAAACAGCTCAAAGTTAAACTTAAAATAATTCTGGAAAAAAGAGTTTTATTTTAAGCAAAAATATAAAGGAATCCCACCAAGAAAAGCAAATTTGATCTGTAACTCTGCTATATACAAGAGTGTACCCTTGATCAAATACCTCAAAACTTTATAGAAGAAATGTCTATATAGACGAATTTTCCTTGTTTTTAAATCAACAAAGGAACCTAACTTTGACGGAATCCCAAGAACTTGATCTGTAAATTTGCAATACCGGGTATACAGCACTCTACTAAAATTCAATCAAATATCTCAATGTTAAATTTTAAAAAATTCCAAGAAACAAAATGACAGGACGGTGAGAAAACCTATAGTCTCCCCCCTATTTCACAGGTACATGTAAGGACTGAAAATGATTGTTTACATAATGGAGTTTCTTCCCTTGCAATTGATCACAAAACTGAGTTCTTCCATTCATGCTTATTATTAGATAGTAATTTGAGCATTGATTGTATTTATCTATTAATTTTATTTTGATAACGGCATGGCTTTGAAATTAAAAGCATTTAGTATGCAATCTGATTAAAACAAAGATCCTATTTCGTTTTTTATAGTTCAAAATTTTGTTTTACTGGTCTTCAAGGATCTGGAAGTGTTGCAATCTGATTAAAATACAGATCTATATTCCGTTTCGTTTTTTATACTTTCGATGGCCTACGCTACATGAAGATCTGACCAGTTGTTTTGGGAGGTCGCGTCAGAGGTTATACGAGCGGCTTTTGACCTTATGACGTCAGACACTTGATTAACCAATCAGCATTGATGTTTCTAGTGGATAACTCACAGTTTCGTTTACAGTTTCGTGCACCACACGCCAAAGGCTCGCTGTAACAGACCGTTTCCTTGGCTAATCCCTCACATCATCCAGAACACGTCAATGATAATAACTCTTGCAGATCCTAGTGTAGTAAAGACAAGTAAAACGAAATTTTGAACTATAAAAAACGAAACGAAATCTGTGTTTTAATCAGATCGGAAGTGTTGTTAAATAACCCACGTTCTCTGTGATGTGATGGATTAGCCAATCAAGGGGTTTATTGAATCGACTTCTTATGTGGCACGCAGAACTGTGGTTTGACATTCACAAAAAAGAAAACAAAGCGTCTGGTGAATGCCATCGAAAGTATAAACATGATACAAAATACAGATCTGTATTTTAATCCAATTGTTATAGTATAGTTGACTGTACAACATTCAAGCCACTGGTAATATTGTCCAGCTTTCTCTACTTAATTAGTTGGCTTCTCTGTTGATCCTACCTCATTTCCAAATTAATGAACATCACTGGTTACAGCCAATAGCAATAATTTCATGTCATATTTATGTTTACACATTGTCTATTGCAATAATTTCATGCAGTTATCTTGTCTCACAATTTATCTTTACTTTTACCTCTCCAGCAGTGAGAGGAAACTTTCAATCATGCAAAAAAAAAGAAAGAAGAAATCTTACAAAAGCTATCTCTTCCTCTTCTTTTAATTTTCTTTCTTTTTCCTGCAGTATTTTCTCTTTAGCTTCTTCAATAAGATTTCCTAATTTTTCTTGTACAGCAGAAACAATTGTGAAAACCATAACCATACCCAGATTTTCTTCAGCCTATAAATGGAGTAGAAATAGTCACTATGGTTGGTCAACATTATCAGTGATGTGATACTATCACATGAGGTCAATGTTATTTAAAGGCATTTTAATACTGTGTTTTACAAATCTCACTCCAATGATTAAGTTTAAGAATAATTTGTCAAAATTTATGACAACTGTCTTATTGTACTCCTTTATTATAGAGCTAAAGTTATATCTATTTATGATGTTCAATGATCAACATTAAGTCTGCTAAATGTGTACTGTTAGTGTTACTGATATTTATTTTAAAAAAATTGGCACAACCATACTATCAAGTGAAAAAGCAAATACATAAAAAATTGACATTAAAGTTTTGAACAATGGTAGTGAAATTCATGTCTCAAAATATTCAGGTGACTGATGGATTGACCAATAGATAGGTATGGCACGTAAATGTATCTAAGAGATATGTTCATGCAAAGAAATCACAACAACCAGGCTAGCATATCCTGATACTACCAAACATCTGAATTGCTGTTGCATTAAAGTTAAATATATGTTAACCTTAAAACTCTTTATTTTAATTACCAGTATTTTTGATTAATTAGAAATAATATGGTAGTAAAATCTTACTGTTTCTCTCATAAATCTATTTAATTCTTTTGTCTGATCAAAATCTAAATTTTCACTTTCTGTTATTTCTATCTGAGGAGCCTCATCAGGGTATTTTGGGGTATATGTAAATTGTAGAGTACAGGTAACTAGATGAAATAATACACAAACATTAATTAGTATATCATTTACAAAGATACTGACTCAAAAAGTACATAGCTTTTCCAATAATCAATAATGCTTTGCAAATCATTCATAAATGGTAGACAACTTCCTTTAAGAAATAAATTTTGATTATTCATACACAATGCATAAAGTTTATGGTTGATCATTCTGTTACAATTAACATGGGAAAATGAATAAATGTCTAAGTCTTAGACCTACTTGTATCATCTTGGGGTTCTTCTCCAGCAGCTGAGGATAACTCTAATGCAAATACATAGTATGGTTCTATTTCTATCACTGGAAATATAGGAAAAGAAAATATCGATCATAAACAACATTTAATTATCTTACACGTTTGCAGTTGATCTTTTTTTTCCATATTTAATGTAAAAACAATAATGTTTGTTCTGACCAGATTCCATACTAATTTGTACAGATATCCATCCACAGGCACTTGAAATGATTAAAATTTCTTACATTATCTTGTCTGGCACACTACAATAAGGTATATCACGTGCCATATTGTTTTGACTCGCTGAAGATATTTCTTCGTTAATTATCTCACAATACTCACTACATGTAACACTCTCCTTCCGTTTTATGGCAGACTACACTTTATTTAATTCTTATACAACCTCCAATATTACTAATTTCATAGCGTTATTGTTTATAAATCCAACTTTATGTTTGGTTCTACATGTACATGTATGTCCCAACGAATTCACTGCAACTTTATATAAAATCATATTTTGTTCTGATTTAAAATTTTTGAGACATCATGATGTACATGTAGGCCAACCTATTGAAACAGGGTGTAGGAAAATGTTATTTTCGATAAACTTGTTTTACTGGACAAATTTTGTTTGTCAATGTCAGTGTGTTTTATTGTTGTTCAATAATGGCTCACTGAATAAGCTCTGACATGCATGTTTAATTATTTACCGATTGACGCCTTTCATCTTGCATTTAATATGCTAAAATTTCAGTCGCACTTTGTGTGCTGGTAAACCTACTAGAGCGAAGTATGTTACGTGTGAACTTAGTGTGGGTCAGTTCATCCCACGACCGTTTAATACTGGGCTGTTTCATACCAACCTCATTTCTTATGGAGCTGTTTCATCCCCCTTGTTATTATAATATAATTAAATACTTGAGTTGTACATCAAACTTATTGTTAAATAAACTGCTAAACACTTACTTATTGTTAAATAAACACTCAATTAATCATTTATTGTTAATTAAACATGTAATTAATTGTTATGGATTAATAATAAAAATACGCAAATAACTGGAGTGAGAGAGTTGAGTTGTATTTACACATAAATAGGAAGCATGGGAAACAGACACAAATGAAAAGATATTTAATGCATCAGCAGAATGTATAATTATAAATAAAATATTAAAAAATCATGTAATACAGTTGTTTTTTTTAATTTGTGGGATGAAACCACCCCTGTAAATTTGGGATGAAAGGTAAACCGGTCGCGCGATGAAAGACACCCCCCCCCCCACACACACACAGATTACATGTCATTTGGGACTCGCGTCATTTGGGACTCAAAAAAATATGACCACGACATTTGGGACTTTGGTATACGTCGTTTGGGACTCGGGTATACAACGTTTGGGACTCGGGTATACAACGTTTGGGACTCGGGATAATTTATTAGAAATAGGCCAATTCAAAACACGAAAGAAAATATTTATTAACATGAAACATGTGGTTAGTAAAAGGCTCAACCAAACGATAAGAAATGGCAACGATCAAAGCGGGATAATTAAAGCTGATTAACTGATAATCCCGATGTTATTGCAGAATGTTCAAAGAAACCTAACGGTTCTTTGGTGGATGAAAAAAAACGTGATTGTCAATCATCGAGAATGGCGGCCATGTGTTGATTGTAGTTATACCGTTTCACGAAAAAAACATTAGCAGTGGTCGGTCAATCAAGCTCGTTTACTATTTGATAAAAGAGAAACAACGAAGTATTACTAAATATACACAAATTTTCAACAATATATTATATTATTGTCAAGTTTTATACTCGCAGATAAAACAAAACAAAGGAGAAGTTTTATACTCGCAGATAAAACAAATCAAAGGAGAACTAGCAGTGTTAATCGCGGTCTCAACAATCGCCGATCAACTAAATAAAACGAAAGACAACTAAGACAGCTGTTATTATATATCATATATCTCATAAATAAATAGTCCCAACTGTCGTTTATATTGAGTCTCAAATGTCGTTTGTGTTGAGTCCCAATTGACGCCAATCAAGTCCCAAACGTCGTCAACTGAGTCCCAAATGTCGTTTATGTTGAGTCCCAAATGACAGGGGTCCAAAATGTCGTGAGTGCCCCCACACACACACAATGTGTGAAAGGTATGCCTACTGTCTGATTCATCGTAAATTTTAAACGGATTTCTTCGATTATGAACAAACTACTTAACGTTGGTTATTATAAACTTACCTGTGTGTTTGTAATGAACTCCCATTCGATAAAATCCATTGCACAACTAATTATCACAACGATGAAAACAAGTTCTCTCTTGAAAAATTGAAATATCACAAACTTTTCCCAGAGAAAAATACCAATATGGAAGATGGTTACGTCACTCTGCGGAAGATATCATTTCGTATTAGGGGTGACAGTATAGGAAATTCAAGTACAATTACGACAAGAATCCATGACCACTCGGACCAAAGATCACTCGGTTCAAGACCAGTCGGACCAAGTGATAGACCACTCAGCCCAAACAAATAGACTACTCTGACCATACAAAAAGACTATTCGGACCCAACAGAAAGACGACTCGGACCAATAATAAAATGTTGTTTTAATAAATTGATAATTGCGTTTGTTTTAATATAATTACTCGAACCAATAATAAAGTGTTATTTTAATAAATTGATAATTGTGTTTATTTTAATATGACTACTCGAACCAATAATAAAGTTTTATTTGAATAAATTGATAACTGTGTGTGTTTTAATATGACTACTCGAACTAATAATAACGTGTTGTTTGAATAAATTGATAATTGTATTCCAAATCGCAAAATATCGAGAACCACACTTGTAGTCACGATTAAAAAGGGGCATATAAACGTCCGGTCTTCGTATTATTATGTGCTGTTTATATTAACGCATCAAGGGCGGATAACTTGAAAACGTGTCTCCACCCCCCCCCCCATATATAGTAACCCAGGGGTTAGTGGGGTAGAACGGAATGAAACCACTGGGGATACAGCGAATGTGGAAAAAGTAAAATTAGGCTATCAGACAAGAACAGTATACCCGTATATGTAGAAACTGTCAAAAGTCTGGAAATACCGAGTCTCATTGCAAGAGTAAAGAAAAATTAGATTGATATTTTTTTTTTGCACCATTATTAATTAATTTTAAAACTAATCGTTGATTTATTTACGTACACAAAATTGAACCAAACAACTCTAAATATAAGAATTCCGTATAAGAATTATTTGCTTCTTTGTATTGTGATTTAATAATAAATAAATAGCATATTGTCTAGCCTTATAATATAATTTAATTGGTCCGACTGGTCTTGTTTTGGTCCGACTGGTCTTAGTCCGAGTAGTCTTTGGTCCGAGTGGTCTGGATACCTACGACAATTGGCATTGAGTTTGAGCGTTCGCACACATAACTACCCGCATTCCTGTATTTAGTTACCGTCTTTTACATTCTAGTAAAATCTCTGCAAATTTTATAGCTTTACTTTTTGAAATATTTTGTTCTAATTATTTGATTAGCGACTCGGATGGGATTATTTACTTTTGAACACGCATGCCGCACAAACACAACTATACATTCGTTTTACGGGCTTTATCACACTTCGATCAAAACTGTCGAATCGAGAATTAATGTTCCGCTTCTTACGGGGTCATACGGGCTTAGTAGCATTATATACCCACCCGGGCACCCAATACGGCAATAGACACGCTGAGGGCTGCCGCAACACGCTTAAAGATGTTACTGAAGCGGTTATTATTCGATCGAAAGAATGCGTATAAAATTAAAAATACACTCAGAGAATTCGGAGGTAAGCTTCATGATCCTAATTGTTAAATTATTTATAACATAAAGAAGATAGGATATTTATAGTTTATTCATGACTTTATTTTTACGAGTATCCGTGCAATCAGTGATATTTTAATTGTGAAGAAAATTTGATAGACTGGCGATCAATGGTTTCCATATAAATCTCCTATGTAATTGCCTTCAATTGATATTTTTCGTCGCCCAAACCCATATACGATCAAAATGATCGCGCTGTCAAACTATCTTTCAATGTTAACCAACCCCCGCAACAGGTATATTGGATTCGACCAATACGTCACGAAGACATTGGTGACATCGCCTCTGTCGAAATTACAAGTAAATTTTCAAATTTTTCAAGAGAGAAATTGTTCTCATCGTTGTGATAATTAGTTGTGCAATGGATTTTATCGAATGGGAGTTCATTACAAACACACAGGTAAGTTTATAATAACCAAAGTTAAGTAGTTTGTTCATAATCGAAGAAATCCGTTTAAAATTTACGATGAATCAGACAGTAAACTATAAATAAAGTCAGACCATGGACCTTATAATGTCAGACTTCTGTATTCTGTATGCAGCGTGGTCAATTTTTTCAATTAAGTTGAGCTAAATCATAAGGTCGTAATGAATATAATTTAGAAAAAATTACACGGAATGGCTTGCCCTCTGATGAAAATCTCGGTTCCCGAAACGTTCTCGGTCAGTACAAACTACAACAAAACATTCTTTTTTAGGCGATATCTGAATACTGAAAATTAATAATAATTACCCTCTAATTCTTCCGAGTATATTGACTGCAATGCTTCTATCTCATTATTCTGTTCTTCTTTGTAGTCTGTCATTTCTACAGAGTGGTGTTGAACTGTTAATTACTCTAGTTAATTAGCTGTCAAGTTTATTTAGTTCGCGTGATGAACATGTGCACTATTTTTCATCGTCGTCGCCATGCCACTTCCGGCTAAATGGCGATCTTATGGCTACAGATCACCAATGATTTCCCCATTGACTTTAGTGTTAATTCTCGTCTCTTAGATCGGCTCTAAATTTTTCCCAAATTTTCGTTGGGTAGAACGCTTTCTACCACAGATGGAGCAACATGTGGTCACCTCTTGTCCAAAAGCACGTATGAGGTTCATCATGAAAAACTTGAGATACACAACCTGGAAGTAGAGATAATTAAACATGCAATTTTCCGCCCTACATTTCAACCTAACCAACTTCTTAACTCTTGTATCCTTCCGCCTCAAAATCATGAATATTCACCAAAACCTGACAGAAAATGTATATTCAAACCCTTTTCTTCAATTCTACACCAAAATGTCAACAAAGACCGCCATGCAAAAGGGAGAAAAAGCGAAAGGGTGTGTGTTTTGGGAAAGTGGGTGGGGGAGGGAACTAAACATAGCTTTAGCCCTTGATTTTTGAACCAATCAAATTTAATATGTTTAACGCTAAGGAAAATAAAAGTAGCACATCCGATATCTGTACTTCCGGCTTGGCATCTCACTTCCGATCAAAATAATAAATTCGTAGGAGGTGTTTTAGGATCTGAAGCAAAAATGTCAAGACAGGCAGCCAGAGGCACAGATATCAGAAAAGTTGTAAGTATAAAAATACCGTTATCCTGTAGACCAATCTTATTTAGAATGATATCATTAAAATGATATCATTCTAAGTAAGATTGCTCTACACTTATTCATTGCAATATATAAACACTGTAACCCAGGTATCATTTAATCTTCATCTTGTGTATGTAGCATTAATTTCTTTGACATTCTTTAATATCAACTCTTTGTTTAAAAATGGTAAAAATCGTTTAAAAAACACCAACAATCATCTAAATTGTACTTGCGTCCAGTTTAAAGCTGACTGATTAATTTTGATTATGAGTGTCCAATTTACAAGTTTTTAATTTCCTATTGTTAACGATTCTGAATAACTGTAGATATTTACTAGGGCTGTGTCGATACAGTTCATTTTCGATACGATACGTATTGACGATACGACAACCCGATACACGATACGTGTCGCGATATGATGACATCACGAATTATGCCCAAAATAATCTCAAACTACATTCTGTTTCAATATGTTGGAGATGGGTAAGCATCAGGGTTCTTAATCCATTTTGAAACAAACCGGCCAGATTGGGTCAATTGAGGTCCCATAAGATATGGGTTAATTATAAGCTCCATTCCCTTTAATATAACTAGACTTCAACAAAAATAATTCTTGGTAATTTGTTGTGGAGAATGTCGTATTTAAATGTATGTGATTACCACAAAAATAACAACAGGTACACCTTTTGAAAATTTTCCTTATTTAATTCACATACTATCTTGAAGTTCGAGTAATATTCCAGAATAAATTAATTACTGTCTTCGTTTATTCGATGAAACGTTCACTTTTCATAAGTCGATGATCTAAAATATTAGCATTTTTCAACTATTGCCAGTATCAGAAAATGTCGTACGTACACAAAATAAGCTGATATGGCACCATGGCAATTCTTCATAACACAATTTGTAGTCTTTGTCTATCAGTTAACTAGCCACGTAACTTGGCAAAAGTTTTTATTCATTCGTCAATTGATAGACACACGTACGGCACAATTGTCACATGACAATCATACTTGAAATTGCTTTAAAATAAAACTTCCGTACGATTATGATATAGCCTTCAATAAAAACAATATTTTTTAAATTAAGCCTTTGTCAGAATGTGTATAAAAAAAAAAAAAATCATAACGGTAAGCGCTATTTAGAACTGGTTTGTTGACGTAAAGCGATATTCTATCAGGAAAATATATTATTAAATGACTGTTTCTGGTGTATTCAGTGTTCTGTCAGGGGATTATATTCAATGAAGATTTAAATTTACCTAACAACTGTTCAGTGAATCCATCAATGTATGATCCAGTTACTATCTTAATATCTGCCGGTACCTGGAATTCATAACAGAGCGCGGAAGACGCTCAATTGGCAAACCATGCTGAGATCGTCTTCTTTCGCCACTTGGGTTTCTTGGTCTTTCTTAACTGAAGAATTTTTTCAACGATACGGCTATATTACGTATTGATATAAATATCGCTGGAACGTATCGATACATATCGGTGTATCGATATATCGACACAGCCCTAATATTTACCTATTTAGTTGTTACAGCAGCTTTAGAAAATTAAATTCATTTTGTTTTTTAATTTGCTTTAATATTAACTATGCCATTAGGAGCAACATCTTTTGGTTTAGTACAATTTAATATCTCCGAAACACTGGGGTTCGACAACAACAGGATACTAGACAGTTACTAGTAGTATTTTCCTTTTGGTTTTACAAGGTTCCCAAAACAATCGTTGAGTTGCCTAACTGATCACTTGTTACTAAATTAGATTTCTTGATCTACCTGTCTGTAATGTTTCGGAGAAAATAGCCTTGGTTATTCAGACCTGTCAATTAGTCAGAAAACGACCAGTAGACTGGTTTAGCTTAACCTAAAATACATTTTGTAATATTACAAATTTTGTAATATTGTAACATGATATTGTAATTTGTAATTATAACTTTCAACACAATACATGTTTTTTTCTCTTTCGAAGAAAGCAGGGGACTATTAAAATGAGTTCGACTGTCTGTCGATCCGCCTGTCTGTCTGTCCGTCACACTTTTTGGGACACAATAACTCTCTTTCTAATTGAGCTAGAATGTAGGTGTTTATTAGGTCAATGCCTTGATGGCGTTTGAAGATGAGCATTTTCTGCTTAGGGTAAGCAGAGATAAGCAATTAGATTGGTTGATGCTTTGGGACACGATAACTTTAGTTCTAATTAAGTGAAAGTGAGGGCACTTGGTGTATAGCTTTATTATATCAATATCTTGACTAAGTTCGATAATGAACATTTTTTGCTAAGGGTAAGCAGAGTGATAAGCAATTTGATTGGTCGAGACTTTGGAACACAATAACTCTCCTTCTAATTGAGGTAGAATGTTCAAACTTGGCGTAGGTGTCTATAGGTGAATGTTTAAACTTGATGTAGATGTTCATTAGGTGAATGTCTTGACTGAGTTCAATGATTAACATTTCGAGCTGAAGCTAAGCAGAGCTAATCGATTTCATTAGTCGATGGTTTGGGACAAGATAATCTTGATTCTATCTGATAGAGAGTGATGAAACTTAGTGAAAAAAATAAATGTGCAATTAATTTAGTTACAACAATAAATGAATATTTTTTCACTGTAGATTGTGAAATAGTACCATCAGTTAGAAAAGGCATCCAATAGTATAAGGAACAAATACACAAAACCTAGCGAACTGGGATAAATTTCTGTTTGGTCATGTTTTAGATAAATGTAATCTTGTAAAATACCTTTCCTACATCATCGCACATGCTATTTTTTCGCACATGGTTAGTTTGTTCTGTGGCTGACAATTCGTGAATGTAAAACATATTCCAGTCAATGCAGCATATCCCACTCACACCAAATTGATATTTATTACATTATTCATTGGCCTGTTGTGGATTTTAAAGATTGATTGCCAGGCGACGAAACATACGCCCACAGTAGCTAAGTCGTCTGCGCAGTCAATAAGGGGTGTCACATATTTATTTCCTTTGTCGGTAAGGAGAGAGAAATGGGGTTTAACGTCAGATTGACATAAACTAGGTCATTTCGGGACATGGTTCAATTTAATTTCAAAAATTCGCCTGCGCATAGGGGTCTTTAGCAGTGGGAGGAAACCGGAGGACCCGGAGATAACCCACGAGGTTGGACGGGCTACCCAACTCCTTGTCACGTACAAACTACAACCAGGAAATCGAAACCACGTGTCACGTACAAACTACAACCAGGAAATCGAAACCACGCCAGTTGACTCATTGACAGACCTTATGATACAACACGCACGTGCTAACCATTCGGCCATCGAACCCCCCTTGTCGGTAAGGAAAACATTTACAACACACACAAATATAATTACGAATAACAAACCCATTAAGTAATTGTCATAATTGTTTGGCCTCTAATTCTGCCCTATACATGTACTGACGTTGAGTACTAAAAACATTAAATATCAAGGTCCATAAATCTGGAAGTCATTATGGAAAATCATTGAAAATCAATAGGATTCTTCGTCTCATGACCACAATTGTAAGCCTCCAGAGCATGGACACCGGACGGGAGCGACGACAATATACGACATGTTGGCGTATAAAAAGTGCCGAAAACCGGAAATCAGCAAATAGGCTTAAAATACATTTACCAATCCACATTTCTTAAAATTGTATTTCAAAAATCTGACATTGGAATGATCTGATTCGTATGCATCGTAAATAAACAGGTATATTCAGCTATATTCATTTTAATGACCCACTCCCCAATCTGCTGAGTAAACAACAATATATTATGACGGCAAAATAAAGTATTGATACCTGTTACAGACGAATCGGTAAAATTATTTTGTGTGATAAAGTGCCTGTGATAAACTTGCGTCTCTCTTGTATCTGCCCATTTTCATTGATTCATTCAACTTCTTACACAGAGAATCCAGTGTGTAAGTCAGTTATTGACCTTCGACCCTCGGGGTCAAGTTAGATGAACACCCGAGCTAGCGCAATTGAACACTTCGAACGCTGATGCGTTCTCAGTGTACAACCTTGCATGAGCTCGGGTGTTCATCTAACTTGAACCCCTCTGTCTCAGTCGATAACCCTTACATGATGTTTATCTCATATATCACCTAATCTAATCAGAGGATGTGAAGTACCTAATTAGGGATTATCCAATCAGTTGATTAATTAGTACGCACCTCTTTCCCTTGAATTACAATTACACTTTACAGCATGTAATTTTCCGGGTTGGCTTGGGTTGTTATGCCTCCAGGACACATGGTTTGTATAACTGTAGCACCACATCGATGTTTTGTTTAAATATATTATTTTTCATTAAATTAAAAATGTTTGGCCATTACGACTAAAATTTTTGGCCATTATGACCAAATTTATTGGCTGTTATTACCAAATTGTTTTGACCAAACCTATTTTTGGCCGTCATGGCATTGGGCCATTATGACCACATCCCTTTAGGTGCGACTAATTTCAAACCAAGGGCATGTAACCTATTTTGTACTCACAAATGCCTCGATATAATGTCTACATGTTGTTTACCTTTTCAGTCTATTGAAGTTTAAATAATTATAACTTGTTAAATACAACATGAATGTTTATTTAGTGACGATAAACATAAGAAACTAAATTAAGACTTTTTGAATATTGTGGTACCGGTATATGTATAATTGTCGGTATGTTAGGAGATAATTATGTATTGGGGGACACACACATGGAATCTGAACACAGACCTACTTTGTTACAGAATAATCCTATATATGTATCTTTATAATTCACTATTGTCATTATTGGGCCTAATAAAAATTACCTGATGACTTTTTGAGTATGCAACTGCAACTTTAGGTTCACACTGAACATATTCAACTCTAACAATTAATGCCTTGAATATGTTCAGTGTGACAATTAATGTCTTTGAAGCAGGAAAAATTTGGCAGGTGACATAGAACCGAAATGTTTTTTATACCAGTATCCTGATCCTCCATATACATGTAAGTCTATCAAGACTGATTGGTGCAGAGAAGTAGGGTGTTAAACCCCATTTCATTTCTAAAGCAGGGCTGGGTTAAAACATTCATGGTTGCCTTTTTAATGTCTGTTGAACAGGTTTATATAGGTAATCGGGAATGGTAATTAATCGCTTTCAATGTAATGGTGTAATTAATCACTTTCAATGTAATAGTGTAAATAATGAGCCTACATGGCCAAACATGGAAAACTATTATTGACTAAGCTTAACATATATCAATACCCAATATACTTTGAGAAGAAACTTTGCAGACAGTGACACTAATTCTTTGTTTTTGTTTTAATAGAATGGGGAATTATTTACTTTGACATATGGGGCACTGGTTTCACAACTTATGAAGGATTATGAAAATGATGAAGAAGTTAATAAACAGCTGGAGAAAATGTAAGACTATATTAGGTTACGTACATGTACATGCTGTTACAGGGTAGATCAGTGGTTCTCAACCTTTTTTGGCCGACGACACACCTTGGAACACATGACAAATTAGCGACACACCTGGCTAAATATATATGAAACATATTTGAATTTTGCAAAGTCAGACGACATACAACTGTAGACAGAGAGTAGTCATAGAAACATAGAATGACTCAAACTAAATATCAGTAGACACCAGTGAATACTCAATTGGGATCACATGGTTTTTCGCATTTTGCGACACACTTAGGGTGTGCCGCGGCACACTGGTTGAGAATCACTGGGGTAGATAAACAATGTGGTATTCATACTGGCATAAAACAATATGGTACATGTATCCATATTTAAATAAGTACACAAGTTATGTCAATGATTTTTCAGGTAAAATGTTGAAATGTGGTGTACATGTATGTGTTTGTTAGGACAATGTCTTTTCTGAGTTTAATTAGGAGCATCTTCTCCTGAGGCTAACCAGCTGTCTTTGTGTCTGTCTATCACATCTTTCGGAACACAAAAACTCTGCAATTTAATCAAGTTAGAATGTTCAAACTTGGTGTAGATGTTAGTTACATGTAGGTGAATCTCTTAACTCATTTCAATGATGAGCATTTTTTGCTTAGATATAAAGCAGGGATAAACAGTGTGAATTAGCGAGATTTTAGAACACGATAACTTTACTTCAAATTAAATTGAGGAAGTACATGTATGTTCAAATTTTGAAGTAGATGTTCATTATGGTAAACACTGTCTCTGATTTGGAACAAACTGATTCTAACTTAGTGTATAGTTTCATTACAGCAGATATAAACAATTTGATTGATCAGATACCTTGAATAAGTTTGGTATTCAGCTTAGGCATATTTATAATAATAATAAAATAAAACCAAGTACGAACAATCCAAACCATAAGACAGAATTCAAAGTCCTAAAAAACGTTATAGGCAAAATAGTGTATTCGAGCTAAATAGTGTAATCAGCAAATGGACTGCTCCTCGTGTACAAAATACACGACAAACAGTGGTAACAGGTGTCCGGAAGAGTAAGCTTACCCTGCCTGGCGCCACACCCGCCATAGCTGCATCCAAACTATTAGGCGAAATGTCGGTAAAATAGCGTGATTGGCCAATGAACTATCGGTATGCAAAATGCACGCGATGAAATGTGTTAACGATGTAATAGACATTATCAGGGAGATAGTAATAGTATACGTGTCAATTAAATATATCTAGAATAACGAATTAGCTGAGATACAAACACTCCATAATTTGATTATTCAAAGCTTTACAAAAAGACAAATATGCAAGTAATGATAAGTGCCATCTATCTATACTCAGCCAAATTAAAAACTTGACACTCGGAATTTTTGGGACTAGATTTTTAATATTTGGTTTAAGGCAACTATTTTAGTGTTATGTTGTGCACAGACGACCTTGACATCAACAGAAAGCAAGAATACGTCTCGCCGAAAGTCCTTGACATTGATAACGTTCGTGATGTCACAGTACCCCCCAAAATGAAATTCACAGACTTGTAGAACAATCGGAATAAAGTGTTTAGTAACGGTTGTGGCCTCCTCTAGCGTCTCATACTGCCACACAACGTCTTCTCATGGATCTCAGAACATTAGTAAACACTACCCGAGGAAGACGTCGCCACTGCTCAGCAAGAGCATGTTGAAGGTCCTGCAACGTCAGTGGTGGATTCACTTGCTGACGAACACGTCGACCCAGTTCGTCCCAGATGTGTTCAATAGGATTAAGGTCGGGCCTAAGCGACGGCCAATCCAGGACTTGGACACCGGTATTTCTTAAAAAATTCTTTGTAGCAATTGCTGTATGGGGTCGAGCATTATCTTGTTGAAACGTTAGTCCAGGCCCATGTCTCTGCATAAACGGAAGAACAGGTTGCAAAATCTGATCCCTGTACTGGACAGCATTTAAGTTCCCTTGGACAACAACAAGAGGAGAACGTCCATGTGCACAAAAAGAACCCCAAACCATGACGCTGCCGCCACCAAATCGGTCAACTTCTTTGACGCATACTTGAGCGTAGCGTTCACCTCGTCTGCGGTACACTCGGGCCCTGCTATCGGCAAATCTGAAATTGAATCGAGATTCGTCACTAAAGACAACAGAATTCCACTGTCTTTGAGTAAATCTTATGTGTCTTGTGGTCCACACAAGTCGGTTAGGGCGATGAAGAGGTGTCAATATTGGTCCATTATAGGGCCTCCGAGCTCGAAGACCAGCAGCCTGCAAGCGATTTCGAACAGTTTGTGCAGTTACCCTTCCACCAAACATCTCTCTACTTGTGGAGGTTGCAGTGACAAATCTGTTTCTAAGATGACGTAATCGTATTGCTTGATCTTCCTGAAGTGACGTCACACGTGGCGCTCCCGCCCTTGGGCGGTCGGCAATAGTTCCAGTTTGAAGCACTCTCATTCTAAGATTAATTATTGTCTGGCGTGAACAATTAAAGGCTCTTGCAACAGTGACCACAGACTGACCAGCATAGAGCCTACCTATAGCACGTAGACGTTCTACATTTGAAAGGCGCAGCAGTTTCTAACAAAGATGAAAATAACAATTTTAATTTGTTTTTCCAGTTCAAGTTACGTGTGCGTGTTCAGTTTAAGCAAACTTGCATCGATTGACCTCATGAGTTTGTGTTTGCACATGTTTTTCATCTTTATATGCTCAAAAGTCACGTGATTCACGTGACTTTACAATTTTATGAAATTAAAGGCTTCTTACTACTTACTATCGTTAGAAACACTTTAAAATTTATTTGACTTAGCAGAAAAAAAAATTTGTTGAAATTCATCAGTGTCAAGTTTTTAATTTGGCTGAGTATATTTATTTTGGGATTGAGGTGACTTGTTAACACTATGTAGAGACTCCAATTAACATACAATACTTTTGAAATATTTTATAAGGTTATATAATGAGGGGATCACAGTGCTACTGGGTGTATGTTTTGTTGTCTATATTTGTTTATTTTTAGGGGATACAATATCGGTGTTCGATTGATAGAAGATTTTCTAGCCAGAGCTAATATCGGAAGATGTAACGACTTTAGAGAGACAGCAGATATTATATCCAAGGTCAGTTTTAGCAAGTATTTACTTTTGTAATAAGGATTGGGGGGGGGGGGGGTGCTGGGGGTGGTGTGGAATTCTGATTTTAACTCAAATCAGCTTATTTGATGCGACACAATAATAGAATTTTCCTGGAAAATTTGAAACTTGTTGTCTGCTGTACAAGAAAATTTAGATCATTGTTCAAAGATGGCGACAAAACGGAAGTTATCTACTTGCACCAAAACAGAAGTTGTCTATTCCACGAACTAGAGCTTGAAATGTGCCTTTGAATCAATTATTACCTGTCTCTTGCAGTTTATTTCTAACTGAGCTAAGATTGAATTTGGGTCTTCGGCTTACTCGGATCTTCGCTTAACTCGGATAAAATTTGTCAGTCCACTTAGATCCGACTTATGCGAAGTTTACTGTAGTAAATGATCTGCAATTTCTTCACTAGAGCGTAATGACTAGAGTGATGTTTTGACAAATCTGCGTAATCCCCAATCGTCATGCTTTCCAGTACAATAGTTATAATAATTAAAAATTTTAGAAACTTTTTCCAATTTCCATGTTTGTGGGAAGTGGCACATTGTTCATCAGCCAGAGGTCCCAAGTACTCCCTTTAAATGAGCTAAATCGCTTATATTTGGGACCTAGATATTGACACAAATGGGTCGCAACGCATGCTACGAAAACATAGCTAAAAACGTTGAGATATACTGATGTGCTTGTTTTTAGCTACGATTGGGTGCCTTTGGTTTCACCTGGCAAAATTAATTTCTTTATTAATGCATGTAACATCTTAAACATAAGTTAATTTTATACTATTAGAACTTATTAGACATACATGTACGCAGCCCAATCTACTGAAACAACTTTCATTTATCAGCAAATATTGTCACTAATATTGGCATGTATCGGATCGAAATTTCATGGATTATGGCCCCTGAAGGTACGAAAATTCACATTTTTAGCTTGTGGACACTCTAGACGTCACAATTTCCATCTGATTTTGATGAAACTTGAAATGCTTGTTTATAACCTAAAGATATTGGTTCATTTTGATATTTGCGCATGTTGGATTGTAACTTCCTGAATTATGGCCCCTGATTGTACGGAAAATAACTGAATTTCGTGAAAATCGGACCAAAACTGCCGGACAAATTGGCCGCCCCTCGTACGCAAATAATGTAAATATATGGTATATCAAGGTTGTGGACCCTCTAGAGGACACAATTTTGATCCGATTTTGATGAAACCTGAAATACATCTTTATAACCGAAAGATCTTGGTTCCTTTCGATATTCGCGCATAGCAGATCTTAACTTCCTGAATTATGGCCCTTGATTGTACGAATAATCACGTTTTTAGCTTGTGGTCCCTCTAGAGGTCACAATTTTTATATCACAGTTACACCCTAATGATGGTTGAGTTCGAATTTTGTGAAAATCGAACTGAAGCTGCCCAAAAAATGGCCGCTTCTTGCAATCAAATTGTATAGAAGTATGTAATACGAAGGTTGTGGACCCTATAGAAGTCACAATTTTTGTCTGATCTTGATGAAACTTAAAATATATCTTTATAACCCAAAGATCTCAGTCCCTTTCAATATCCGCGTATTTCAGACCATAACTTCTTGGATTATGGCCCCTGATTGTATGAAAAATCGTGTGGTTACACCCTAATGATGGTTGAGTTCGAATCTTGTGAAAATCGAACTGAAGCTGCCCGACAAAATGGCCGCTTCTTGCAATTAAATTGTATAGAAGTATGTAATACGAAGGTTGTGGACCCTATAGAAGTCACAATTTTTGTCTGATTTTGATAAAACTTAAAATATATCTTTATATCCCAAAGATCTCAGTCCCTTTCAATATCCGCATATTTCAGACCATAACTTCTTGGATTATGGCTCCTGATTGTATGAAAAATCGTGTGGTTTTTATTTTTTAGCTTGCTCTCTATCCATCTCTTGCAAAATGTGGGCGTATCTTGCCTGACAGCTGCTGGTTTAGTCTATACTCTTACACCCCTGGGTAATTTATTTACTATGAAAGTTTTGTATTTCAGGTAGCGTTTAAAATGTATCTTGGTATAACACCTGTTATTAGTAACTGGAGTCCATCTGGAGATGAATTCTCTCTATTAATAGAAAATAATCCACTTATAGATTTTGTAGAACTACCTGATGGTCACAATGCATTGAATTATTCCAATCTTTTAACTGGTGTTTTAAAAGGAGCATTAGAAATGGTATGTAGAATTCTGTTGCATACCCGGAATATATGTTACACTGTTAAAAGCATAGAATTTCCTGAATTCAAAATCTGTTGCGGATTGAAAGAACCATTTTCATTCATCATGCCTACAGTTAGTTTGTACTGGTCAGGGGTAATGACTGCAAGGCTGACAGTACGTGTACGGTAGTACCTGTAGTTCCACTTGTTAAAAATCAGAGGTCTGGTGTCAGATTGGTACATGTAGTTCTGATACATGTAAGTTGTCAGTGGCATAGTAAGCGAGGCAAAATTATACTCCCTTGCATAGATATAATTGTTACCATATGTTAGGCTTAAAATGATAGAAATATTGTGTTGACAGTAAATCCTATTCCATTCCTATTAAGAGAATAAACTATTTTATGATGAGTTAACAGGGGCGAATGATTGCGAATCTAAGTGAACCCAAACCCATTGTCTCCATTGTGGCTTTTTTTTATTCAGACCTCCTAAAAATGAGAGTATCTAAACCCCAAATTAACAACATATTTACTAGAAATCTATCATCTCATTCAGCTCACCTGATGACCTTTTGGGACATTTCTATGTTTATTTTGTCACATAAATATTTGATTCTTATAATTTTTTTTTGTGCTCAGGTGCAGATGGATGTAGATGTACGATTTGTTCAAGATCAGTTAAAGGGGGATAATTTAACTGAATTACGGTTAAAGTTTGTAAAAAGATTAGAAGATGCAATACCTGCAGGAGAAGATTAATGAATTATACATATATATGTCAGTGTGTTTTATTCTATGTATTATAGGTTGTAAATATTGATTATTTATCATACATAATCTATGTGTCATTCATAAATATCATGCAGTATGTACTTTAATAGACATGGAATGCTATATACTCTAAAACAAAATATCTTAGTTGGTTTTACATAGGCTTTAGTCTTCCTAAAAGGGTTTTTTTTTTTCCTTGAAAAGTGTGACAGGGCAGCAGACTTGAGAACCAACTCGGGTGGCACAAACTCGAGCTATGCCATTGCACATTAGCTATCTATGGTCCTTAGTCTGAAAAAAATATGTATAATATGTATTCTTTTTTTTGTAATTATATACAAAAAATCTTTAGTGTGTGAAAGGCCAAAAAGAGCAAAATATACATGTATGGAAGTAACATTGTTTTTATAATTCGGTTTATAATACAGTAAAATTGAGAACTACTATAACACCTACCTACAACCATTCCAGAATAAAAGTTAGACATATTGGTTAAGATCACACACAATCAAAAGTAATGTAAAAAGTTCTCCAAGTTATGGCCATTTAAAGTTGACATCGGTTTCTATTGATTTCTCATCAACATCTTAGTATGTGTCTTAGGCATATAAAGTAATAACAATTTTGCTTTCTCTTTCGTCCAAGCTAGGCCATTCTTAATAAAGTATTTTTTTCATACTACTAGATGTACTTTATTATTGATTATATAACAATAAGATTATTCACATAAAAATAGTACATATTTTGACTTTCAAGATTTGTGAAATTTCAGTCTTTTTTTTGTGTCTTTACTGTCAGTTACAAGGCACATATAGTTGAAGTTCTGGTCCTTCATCATTCAAAAACATTAAAAATTTTAACCTATGTGATCAATCCAGGTATTTTAGGATAAGAAATGTAAGGTAAGAGAATTATCAGAGAATAGTTTTGTACTGTTGTTTTTTAATGGATTGATCTTTATTAATATAGAATGTGGTTCTCTTAAAGGTTTATTAAGTTTATGGATATTACTGTTGACTTCATTTCAGTTATAGGGCTGTTAAATACTAAGTTACAGAATATGTGCAATATAGATCCTTATTACTGTATTTTAATTCACTGTAGGGGTTTTTTTTTTGCTGAAATTATAACAAGTAGGCTGTAAAATTTTCCACTTTTTGACTGAAATTATTGTAAAAGCATTATGATTAGTTAAACATATTATGTTAATAAACTAATTGTTTTAAAGCTCATTATGTCTCCATTGTTAAAAAAATAAATCTTACCTAGATTTAGAAATTTACTTGTGGTGTTATTTTATAGGAATTCTGTATTGAATATTCATGGTTTACAGGTGGCAACTAAGGTTTATCACTAAAAATACATAATTAAAATAGTCTTTTTCATACTCATTACAGGGATATGGTTCTGGACATGTACAAATGACAAACAAAGTAATAAGTATAAGGACTTTATCTGTTAATCAGGATCCATCCACAGGATTTTCAGTGTGTTTTTTAATACGCTCACATTTTCATGTGGACGTATATTGTCGTCTCCCCTGTCCGTCCGGACATCCGTCCGTCCACAATTTGTTTGTGGACACTCAACAGGTCACAATTATAGTCTATCTCCGAAAGATCTTGGTTCCTGTCGATATTGGCATATATTGGACCATAACTTCATGGATAATGGCCCCTGATTGTACGAAAATCACATTTTTAGCTTGTGGACACTCTAGAGGTCACAATTTTCATCTGATTTTGATGAAACTTGAAATGCATGTTTATAACCCAAAGATCTTGGTTCCTTTCCCTGATCCGCCCTTGATTAGGTTCATGTCTTGATGGTTCGGTAATGAGCATTTTCTTCTTAGACTAAGCAGCGATAAGCTATTTGATTGGTTGATGGTTTAGGACAAAATAACTTTGATTCTAATTAAGTGAGAATAACAAAATTGGTGTATTGTTTCATTACACCAATACTTGAGGTTCGATAATGAGCATCTTCTACCCATGTTTAGCATAGTGATAAGTAGTTGGATTGGCCCAGACGTTGGAGCACGATGACTTTGATTCTAATTGAGTGATACTGGGTGTATAGTGTAGTTTCATTACCTTGACTAAGTTCGATGATGAGCATTTTCTGATAAGGTTAAATAATGGTAAGCAATTTGATTGGTCAAGATTATGGCACACAATAACTCTAACTTTGCTTGTAGAATATTCATACTTGGTGTAGATGTTCATTCGGTGAATGTCTTGACCGAGTTCGATGATTAACATTTTGTGCCAAGGCTAAGCAGAAATAAGCAAATTGATTGGCCAATCCTTTAGGATACGATAACTTTGTTTCTAATTGGATAAGAGTCGCGAGGTTAGCCTAGCTGAAAAGTGTACCAATTTTCACATATATGGTATCAAAGCATTCATATCTGGTATTATCAGAATGTAAGTCTGCCGAGTATCTGGTGGTGGGTGTGGCTGTGAGGGCTGGGATTCTGGGCATGAATTCTTGATGCCACCCTGGGGAAATTTTAATATTCAAGATGGCCGTCATGAGACATTTTCTGGTTATTTACTTTAATTTAGTGGGGTAAAATTCGGGAGAGATTCTCTCGAACCTTGATATGAAGGTAGTTTCTATAAGAATTTGACCCATTGAATACGACGAGCTTGGGTGTTCCTCCTAAAAGTGACTGCTAATTCCACTAGGAAGCCAAATTCACAGTGGGGGCTCATTTTTGAAGGAAACTCATAATGTTCCCTAAAACGGCGTGTAATATATTGAAATATAGGGTTTCGTTGTCAATTACTTCAAATATAAACATAAAAAACATGTTTCGACCAAAAGGTATTCCAATCCGATGATATCCTTTCCCTTGTATTCTTATAAGGACACAAATTATACACGGTCAAACAGAATCAACCATCGGGCGATGCATCGTGAGTCGAAAGCAAATGTCTATAAAAGCTAACTGGGGCTTGTCCAACCTCATGTAAAAGTCTATCTTACGCTCGCTTGAATCACTTGAATACTCGCAATCAGTATAACAGTCTGATTCTTCCGCTTTCATCAGTATAATGCAACGGGGTGAACCTTGTCTTGACAGTTATAAGGTCACTCATACGCGCCTGTAAAGCTGAGGTTGGCAAACATTTTCCACCCCTTCTTCCCCTCAGTGACCGCGACTGGTGTCATAGTGGATCATAATGTATGCTTGACAATTCGCTCTATGAATTCGGCGAATCAGAAAACCTATAGTTTAAAACATTACTAACATCGTTATGTCTCGCCAAAATTGACCGCCATTTTGAATATGACCTCAACCTGGAATACCCTTTGGTCGGAACATGTTTTTATGTTTATATCTGAAGTAACTGACACTGAAAACCTATATTTTAATATACTGCACACCTTTGTTAGGGGACTATGGGTTTTCCTCCAAAATAAGCCTCCATTTTGAATTTGGCCCCCTAGCGGAATTAGCCATCACTTTTAGGAGGAATAGCAAAATTCATTGGATTCAGCGGGTCAAATTACGATAGAAACCAGCTTCATACCGAGGTCCGAGAGAATCTGTCCCGACTTTTACCCCACTAAATTAAAGTAAATAACCAGAAAATATCTCATGTCGGCCATCTTGAATATTTAAATTTTCCTAAGGGTTCCAGGGTGGCATTACCCAGATTCTGAATCTACACATATTAAAGACATATAATCCACTCAAAACCTACATTTCAATATATTGCACATCTTTTTAGTGAACTTTATGAGTTTCCCTCTAAAATGAGCCTCCATTTTGCATTTGGCCCTCTAGCGAAATTAGCCATCACTTTCAGGAGGAATACCCTAGCTCATTGGATTCAGCGGGTCGAATTCTTCTATAAACATATTCAAACCGAGGTCCGAGAGCAGCTGTCGCATATTTTACCCCACTAAATAACCAGAAACCGCCTCATGTCGGCCATCTTGAATATATAAAATTTCCCCAATTCTGAATCAACAAATATAGACATTAGGTGGACTATATTTCCATGTCAAGGCTTAAAATGGGGTTTGGCAACCGGACTTTATGGTTCGTATGTCAGTGGTCACTGAGTTGAACCACTACTTATTATTCATCATACGATTACTTAATCTTTAATAGATATTACATACTCATGAAAATATGTAATACCCAGAATTCTCAATAAGTCTGACCCAGCTGATAAAGCCGAATTTTTGGGAGGGGGCGCTTGGCTGTCGTGTCTTATGGGAGAACCCCACCAAACAAACTCTAGCAATGGGCAGTGTGATCCCTGGGGTGCTGAACAATTTCCAAGCAGTTTTAAGTGGTGCACACTTCAGCTACTCTAGCCTAATTGCGAGGCGTGTCATTTTAGGCGTGTCTGTTAGGGGTAACCCACCGTACAATCGGTTTGACAGTGATCATTCATGATTCCTGCGATGGTGCTGAACAACACCAAAGCAGTTATAAGTGGTACATATTTCAGCTAATCTAGCCTAGTTGCGGGACGGGGCATTTTGGGCGTTTCTTTCAGGGGTACCCAACCGCAATATCTGTCTGGCAGTGGTAATTCATGATCCCTGTGGTGGTGCTGAACAACATCCAAGCACTTTTAGGTGGTACGGACTTCAGCTTATCTAGCCTAGTTGGGGGTGGGGGGGGGGGCGTGGTATTTTCGTCGTGCCTGTCAGTTTAACCCACCGCACAAATTGTCTGGCAGTAATCATTCATGGTTCCTGTGGTGGTGCTGAACAACTTCCAAGCAGTTTTAAGTGGTACAGATTTCAGCTAATCTAGCCTAGCTGTGGTCTGGCAATTACATAACTCTGTCGGGGGTACCCCACCACTAGATATGTCTGTCAGAGTGTTTTTGTAATATTTGAAGATGTAAGGTACACTGCTGTACCATTTTCATGTAGTACACTTTTGAGCTAATCTAGCTCCAGAATTCATACCCAGAATCGCAGCCCTCACAACCACACCCACCACCAGATACCCGGCAGACTTACATTCTGATGATACCAGATATGCATGCATTAATACTATACTATTCAAAAAAAGTAGGGGATATTTGATTTTTAAGTGTTATTAAAGTCACTGACGAAGAAACAAATGACAAAATGAAATGAAGTTCACATTCATCGATTTATTCCAAATGATCGTTAGACTAAGTAAGACACAGACTGACCATTATAAGGGTAAAATGATACCCGGGGTCAAACAGCAAAGTTACCACAGCATCACAACCAAGTCAGTAACGGGTAAATCCTCCTCTGTTTGCCAAACAAGCATTGATCCGACGTGGCATACTCCTAATGAGACGTCTAAGGTCATTTTGGTCCAGATTGTCCCATTCCTGTTGCAACGCAGCAGCAAGTTCTTGGACATTGGCAGGACGTTGTTGACGTTGACGTAACCTCTGTCCAAGCATGTCCCAGACATGCTCGATGGGGGAGAGGTCGGGACTCAGTGCTGGCCAAGGTAATGTGGTGATGTTCTGTTGTTGGAGGTAACCTGTAACGATCCTGGCCCTGTGACATCTTGCGTTGTCATCCTGGAAGATGAAACGGCGGCCATGACGTCGTGCGAACGGCACAACATGGACTGCCAAGATGTTGTCCCGGTAGTACTGGCCTGTAACACGCCCTGCAACAACATGTAAAGCCGTTCTTCCAGCAACAGCGATGCCTCCCCACACCATAACAGAACCACCCCCAAATCGATCATGTCTGATGACGTTAACGTCTTGGAAGCGCTCGTTTCGACGACGCCACACCCTCCTACGTCTGTCCAAAAAATCAACAGTGAACCTTGACTCATCTGAAAACATCACATTGCTCCAGCGTCGATTATCCCAGTGTTGACGATCCCTACACCAACGACGTCTTGCCTGAATGTGATGATCTCTCAAACAAGGAATCACGCGAGGACGTCGGGCGCGAAGGTGACCCCTATGCAGTCGATTCCGAATCGTCTGGCCACTCACTCTCACACCAGTGTCTGTTTGAAGACGAGCGCTGATCTGATTTGCTGTGATGACACGATTTCTCAAGGCCAAGGTACGGATAAATCGATCCTGGGCTTGAGTTGTCGCCCTTGGTCGACCTGAGCGTGGTCTGTCCTGTACAGATTGTGTATCACGGTATCTGGACCATAGCCTGCTTATGACAGACTGAGAAACATTCATCGTCCGCGCCACAACCGCCTGTTTTGTGCCGATCTGTAGCATGCCAAGGGCACGTAACCTTTCATTTTGGCTAAGCCGACGCATATCAAAATTTGTTTTCTGGTCACTAAAACAATTAAACTGATGTTTCCACCCTGGAATTCAATGCCACAATGACTGTAACATTCAAAGTCAGAGTCGTGCAAATCTTGGGTTGGACCCCCATGATGATCCCAAGCATCACCTGCATTCCATGCGGTAGCTATTGGTGCGTTTGGGCGTCACATGTAACTGGAAATGTTTCTTCTGTTAGGTTCTATAGTGACTTTTTTCGTAGTCATTTGCATATTTTAGTATTATGCCCCCAAAATCAAATATCCCCTACTTTTTTTGAATAGTATATATAGGTGAACATTGGTACAATTTTCAGCTAGGTTGACCCCCTGGGCTCCTGCTCTATCTAGGTGACTGGTCACCTCTGGCTTGCGGTTGTGGTTTTCGATCCCAGGTGTGAGCTATGTGGCTTGAAGATAGGCGTGCCTTCTCAACCTCGTGGGTTTACGTCGGGTACTCCGGTTTCCTCCTACAGGAAAGACCCCTGTGCGTGTGCTAAGATAATCAAAATAATACAACTTGTCTGCGATATCACTTGGGGAAAGCGGATATTAAACACTAAAAACAACATCATTTTCTGTTTAGGTTAAATTTGATTGCGGGATGTTTTACAAAAAGATAATTTTGCAATTAATAAATATGTGTCATCTATTTATTACGGGATTCTGGCCAGGGACTCACTTTTGGCTTGTTTTTTTGGCAAAACAAATGTTATTACAAACACAGATGTTAAAACAACATGAACCAACTGTTATAAATGTATATTTCACTTTCTACAGTTACTTGGATAACATCATTTTAAAAGGTGGCCCAGGCAGTTCATTAACTACACTATAAACAGCACATTGTTTATATGGACAGGGAGATTCTCTCCAAGCATATCTTAACATATGCATTTGTTGATTACTGCAAGATGTTGGAACATTTAACGTCACAGATGTTGATGAACTTGTTAAAGACGTTACAGGAAACCACGACGTTAATGATGCTGTTTCACAGACAGCAACATCACTTGATGCACTGCAACAAAACTGAAAGAAAGAAAAACGGTGTTAAAAAAAAATCAGAGCGATTGACGTGTAAATTCTTAATAAATCATATTTGTTGTGGTACTATTAGTCAGCTACAGTTACAGACCCTATATGTGTTGGTGTTATCTAAGACCAATCTTAAACGCTTTGAAGTTCACATATATTTTGGTGCTACCCACTGGGGCCAGGACAATTATTATTGTCAACAACAATAGAGATGTCTACACATTTTAACGCAGCCACCGTTATATAGTATTTTATTTGCAAGACGAATAATGGATGAGTCACAAGTGGGTAATATGAAAGCAGACTCATTGCTTGACGTTCTGCAATAATTAACTTGGCTTATTAGGCAATCCAATCTATAATTCAATCTATATTAGGCCTGTTCATCACAGATAAATACTTTCAGATAAAATAAAAAGAGTTGAGAGGGTAGGCCCAAGCATTCCCCAGGAAATATTTCTGTAAAACAGTTACTAGTATTTATGGATAAGAGCTAAATAAATAATATCTCTTGTCTCGTAATTTATAACATGCAATCGAGATACTTACCTCAAATCCGTTCTGAGATCTTGTTGTTATAACTGTTTGTCCCATGTCGTATGTAATAATTAACTTCGTATTTTGTTCATCAAAAGCTACATTGGACGGAAAAGGTCCCTGGAACTTTTCGGGTATGCTATAAGCAACAGCAAGTCCGGATAGAGTCAAACGGGTAGCTACTGTTTGTTTATCTCGTGGATGGACACTGGTTAAAATAATTATTGAACATAAAATGGCGGATTTCGTCAATTAAACATAATACAATAATGATACATCTGATTTAAATGATAATTAGTGTCGCCTATGCCCCATACCCAACCCGGTGGTTTCACTCGTAGTTCCCCGGTTTCATCCCATTACTAAAAAGCCTTGTCATATTTTGGTTCCGAAATGACGTAGTTTCTCTCTATCATTAACATTATTTTATCCAAACACCGACCCAGTAGGTATTTTGTATATCTGGAATACTACAGATAATCAAACGAGGGACGCGTGTGCTAATTCAAAATACTTTTCATTGAAGCCCAATTATGACGATGACCACCTTCTTGGTGAAGTGGACGATGGTTTGAACGGTCATTAAAATCACCACTTGTACTTAAGCGGTTGATGCAAGATACGCCCACAGTTTGCAAGAGATGGACGGATAATACGGAAAATCGATATGACTCTGGCATTTCCCAATGCTTCACATCGAATATGAAAAAAAAAACCCGTTAATATGAAAATGTAGCCTCTATTTTCAGGCAATCATAGACACTAATCTAGAAAGTGACGGACTGATATGTGTAAAAATCTAATACTACCGACATCCCGGTTATGTACCCGATTTTCTTGCAATCGAGGGCAAACAAATATGAACGTCGACGTCCGCGACGGCATATTAATGTGATAATTGAATGGGATTACCAGATAAAAGGTGATTTAAATTCTGGAAGATCTATAGCAATTACGCCAAGAAAGTTCAGGGCCGTCCTTCCGGTCCGATTTATATAAAATACAACCAATTACCTGCCAAAAGGTGATTTATAATCTGGAAGATCCATAGCAACTGCCATAAATACATTTTCCATTGTAGGATTTGGCACCATTCCATAACTTGCTGTTTGAGACCATCTTATTCCTGGAAATCCTGTTGAGATTGAAGCATCATCACGGTCTGCAGCCAACTGTAATAGTGTATAATTGTAGAAGTGGGTGAAATACGTGTACCGTCGTTATATATCAAGATAAACGGAAATAAAATGTAATTTTTAACGTGAACAAACAGAAAAATGTCTAATTTCAAATTTGAGGATTCGTGTACAGTATAATATATCCCTATCCCCATCGTTACATCCGTCAGTGAATTCCTTTAAAGGTTGAAAACACGATTGTACTTTCTACTCATTTCACTCCAAGTTGACAAGATTTTATCACCCTTAGTGAATGTATTATATTTTCAATTGTCCTTTACGGTCGACAATACTTTATTGTTTGTTGACATACATGCGCCATACATTTGTATCGTTGAAAAAAAGTAATATTTACCTGTACAAACCCAAATGGGAAGTTACTGGACGTTTGTGCTTTATTTTCGCTAAACTTCACTCTCCAGTCATCAATCATGGCGGGGAAAGTACAGTTATAAAGAGATGGATTCCCAGCATTGGCTTCACCTTTATAATGACAATAAAACAATTCTATAACTACCTGGATAGTCTGGTCAAATACTCAGGGGTTGATTTACATAATAAAATTCTATTAACCTTATTGAAGCATATATAGTATTACCTTGATACCAAATAGCTCCATATATAGTGTAATTTAAAAAAGGATGGATCATCGCATTCCATAATTGAGAGTGGCCTGTTGGTACTGCATTAACTTGCTCGCTAAAACACAAAAAATAACATACAGAAAGGGTAGTAATTACTGTACAATCGTTGTACATACAAATACAACTTAGACTTAAAAGGGGGCGCGTCTTTATTCTGAGATATCTGAACTCCACCCCCTTTCTTTCTTGACTATTTATTTTATCTGACACAAATTATGCACGTCTTTGAATATAGTTCTGTAATACATTAACATACTCCGGGTCGGGGTCTGTGTTTGAGTCTTCTGTAAGTCCACATTTTTCAAGCGCATCCGTTGAAGACCAAGTTTCTATTGGAGTTCCTCCCCAATCAGAAGCAACCAGACCAATAGGATAGTTGAGTTTCTGGTACAGATATTTACCATATAACCAACAAACAGCAGAGAAATATGTCCAGTTACCATGTCCTACACTGGCTGAAATTAAACCAAAGTTCTAGTTTGATAGACCTTAACAATTTACTTTTATGGTTGATCCAAGGTCCGGTTTCCCCTGTTATCCAATCAGGTCATCGTGTGATGTAACCAATGGACTAATATTCTCAGGTACGTAATTTTATCTATCAATATTCTGAGTTGAAAATTGCGGACAAGTTAATAGAGTACTTCTTTACAGCTTGATTTGAACCCTCTGAATTCCCCTTAAGTGCCATTCCTACTGACATATTTCGTTTGGAGATTGATGTATTTTTTTTTCGATCGCCTTATAATCTTTTTGGTGTACTGAAACGATAATTGTCTTATATTATTACTAATAGCAGCGAACTGTTGTCGAGAAATACTTAGAAATGGCCTCAAACGATCAAAATTTTGTTTAAACTAGCGTGATTGGCTCAGTCTACTCATTATGTCCGACTGATATGGTCTTTAGAATAAAACATACATGATAATTGTGACTCACCAGGACTAGCTACTGACCATGGTTCTTCCACACTTATAAAATCATACTGGGGAACAGTAGCAGTTTCCATAGCAACAGTAAACACTCTTATATTAGGAAAAGATGCTGCGTCGGCTATTTCAGCAGTTGCATTGAAGGCCTGTTGTAGAGAAAAAGTATGTTTACACACATTTGTACAAATATTTTGCGCACTTACTATTGTCACAGGAATAAAATGTGCGCATTATAGTAATTTTGCAATAAAAAAAATAGAGGGAGCATTGCCTGTTATCTATGCAAGTAATTGGTTCTATTTTAGGTTTGTATTGCCTAACGTTGCCAGTGTCCTCCCACTTCTAAAGAACCAAGCTCGTAAGCGTTGTATTGTAATACAAAATATATTAGTTCCGGAGTTGGTAAACCCCATTCTCCGTCACACCAACCAGGTGGTATACATATTTCCTAATTCCCCAAACAGATTTGAGGATTCACAATGCTTTTAGAAACAATTTTGGAGGACGTTTTAATGATTTTAGTAACCTTATTAACATGTAAATGGTAATATATATATACCCCAGCAACAGTAAACTGCATATTACTTTGACCAGAACAGACCCATACATCACCAAACAGTACATCATTAATGGTTATACTATCACCATGGCTGTTATAAATTTTGATAGAATAAGGACCACCAGCGCCAACAGGCGACAGCAATACCTTCCACACACCTTTACCTTCTGGTCCCATCCTTACCTAGAATTTTTTAAAAAAGGAAAATCAAAATCAGAACATAAAACCTCTATTTATTTTAGATACCCAATGTACAACAAGAAATATTTATCTTCGCCGCACAAAGCGTCAATTATTTTTAACCATAAAACTTTTCCCGTTAAGTAGATTTTGTTTTTTCTTAGTCCTTACTGGGAGTAGGTGATACGTTTCCTCGTATTCTTTCTCAACTCCAATTTGCAAGTGTGTACAAGGGCGGACTTGTGTTTTCGGTATCGAACGACCGTTAATGGAGCTAAGCCTCTATGTTTTAGATGAAAATGAAATATTTAATTTCATTTTAATCAATGATGGAGCAAGCTCTATACAATCATGTACTTTCCTTGTTCACATCTTAAACGGTCATTTCGAGAAGTGGTAACCGGGATTGAAACGCGCCCTATGTTCTAGTTGGCGTGTCAGTGGTCTAACTTAGGACTAGTTAAGACTTGAGATGAATATAGGGATAATAATAATACTATAAATATTATGGTTTGAAATTATGACAATAATACTGTTGCTATTGCTACTCAACTGTTGTTTGTATTTGCTGCATAATTTTAGTATTAAGCAGTTGGACGGTTATAACATCGCCCACGTTAGAAGAGTATCCCCAGATACCAGGAAATGCTGGTGCTTTCTGAAGAACCATGTGATCACCGTAGGATGATGCCAGTGATAAGGTGGCATCTTTAATGGAACCTGTTAAAATAAAATAAATCAACATTAATGGAGATTGTAAAGAAATGATACAGGTGTGAAAATGACAAATCAGATTACGATTCTGTTTCTTCCTTTTCCTTCCAATTTTTACCATACAGTAAGCCAACATGCTTTCAATCAGGGGCAGTTCTGGGTCGTGTTCTAAATGGTTTCGTACACTCATCCAATATGATTCATTCTCATACCCATAAATACCCATAGTTCACAGCAATACGAAATGTGTCAGCAATGCTGTACAACATTAAAAATAAAACGAAACGTGCAAGCGTTTAAAGCGAAACCTAATTGACTCGGATTTTAATCACATTGGCGAAAAATATGCTTGCTTTTGGCATCATGTAGAAAAACATCAAAAAAAAAATAAAACGACACGTAATTGAAATGTTTATTGACACTCGTTATTTTTTCATTGTTGAATGGAAACTTAATTTAGACTATACCAGGTTTACATCGTCGTAACGATTTTCTGACTGAAAGTCAATAGTCTAAACGGTGAATTTGGATTGAATTACCATACAATCTGAGTCCTACCCAGATCAAACAGGGGAATTAAACCTTTATGATGCAAATTCGATAGTGTAAATTCCCCATAAGATTTCAGAAGTCAGTGATATTGGGAACCAGTGGTCACCAGCTGAGTCACCCATCAAGTTGTTAAAGTACAATAAACAGAAGTGTTGTATGTATGTATCAGACATAATTTTCAAGTGTAAGCATATATAAACTATACTATAGTATGATACTTTGATTGCTATTAATTAAGTTGTGTATTACCTTTTTGTCCCTGGCTACCTTTAAAATACAAAAAAATGAAGCACACAGTAAATAGCACCTTCATTATGGGATTTGTAGACCTCTGCCGAGGATAAAAATAACACTAAGATATAGTCGGCGAAATATGTGTTTCAGGTCATGGTCCTTTTTAGATAAGATATTGAGAAGAGTGGAAAGTAGGCAAATAAGTGCCACGTTTTACAAGTTCAATCTTGTTTTTATTCTACATAATAGCACCATAGCCACGACACGTCGCCATGACTAACCTATATAATTTTCACTTGATATAGAAACGACACGTCGCCATGACTAACCTATATAATTTTCACTTGATAATACTGTACAGATTATTGTCAAGAATAATGCTGTTAGTAATATAATTCTATCCAGTTAAATCCATGTATCTCTTTTTAAAAGGTTTACTATTTTAAAGCTAATAATATAAATAATACTTGCTTCATTTCATGCTACGGCACATTAAATAGGGCCGGATCCAGGAATTTTTGCAGGAGGGGTTTGTCCGATTCTTGTTAAACATACATTATGCATGAGGTAAATCTGCCTATTGCAAATCTTTATTTAGGTTTCAGAATGATCACGTACAATTGTTGATCATAGTGAATCGCCTATAAACTGTTATGTGCAATGCGTCATCTATTTATTTTGGAATTCAGGCGGTGGACACCAACCTCATTGTTGTCTTGTTTTGCTTTCATGGTAACAAGTCAAAATGAATTCCTTTAGTCTTAGTATGCATTTTCGACATTTGGGTAAGTCTAGGGTTAATTCAAATACAAAAATAATATAATTTCATATAAACTGCATTTATTGTCTAAGGGAGAGTGATATTACACCTTTAACATATACACATATATTCCTAACAATGCTATTTTAAAAAAATTGCATGATAACCGAAATGGAAAGTCTCTTTATATTTGGTATAAATGAAGTTATATTCATGTTTATGTCTAATTGCAAGCTAGCCAGTATTAAATAAGAGATATTTGAAAAGGTGGCCCAGGTAATTCATTGACTGAACCATAAACAGCACATTGTTTATATGGACAGGGTGATTCTCTCCAAGCATATCTTACAACTTGAACAGTTTTATTATTACAAGATGTTGGTACTTCTAGTGTCACCGTTGTCGATGTACTTGTCATGGTTGTAACAGCATACCATGACGTCAGCGATGGCAGATCACAAACAGCCAATGATAAACTACAACAGAACTGAAATAAAGCAAAAGAAAATTTTAATACCCGTAACTAATTGATTTACATTGATTTAAAAGATGGATGTATATTAATCTGAATTATTTTTAACGCTACCATGGAAGTAATACAATTTTGAGATAATTATAACCAATTTTACTCCCAGGAATCAACAGGTTTAGCTACAAACTAAACGTACCCTACTCACTTTGAAATATAACCGTATGATGCTTACCCAATGACTAAAGAATTAACACAAACAGATCAAAACACTCCAATGATTTATTTTTGCTCTACGCCCTTTAAACTGAGTAAGTATCCTTTATATAGAGGGTTGTTTTTAGTTTAAAATAGTGAGATATAGAGGAAGATTCCATCTATTCTTATCTTACCTCGAAGCCATTTTGAGATTTTATGAGTAGATTCGCTTGTCCCATATCATAAATAATAGATAACTGATTGTTAAGTCGGGAAAAGATCACATGAGAAGGAAATGGACCCTGGTATTTTTCTGCTTTCCCATAAGCAACAGCAAGTCCGGATAACGCTAAACGGCTAGCCACTGTCTCTTTGTCTCTCGGGTGAACGCTAAAAAGTAAGTTTAATTCTTTTAAGATTGGTATTGAACGATGTACCTCAAATGTATCTGGTTCACAGAATAGTGGTTTCTTTAATCTTTAAAAACCACCCCGTAAAATCATGAGGAAACATACCTATAAAAAGGAGAAGTATAATCCGGCAGATCCATAGCAACTGCCATGAAAACATTTTTCTGACGTGGATTCGGCACTGACCCGTAGCCAGTTGTTTGAGACCACCTGATCCCTGGGTAGCCAGTAGAAATAGAAGGGTCGTTTCTGTTGGCTGCTAACTGAATTATAAAATAATTCATTGATTGGTAGATTTTGGATACTACTCCGCTTTTTCTTCACATAAACACCCGGCCCTGTATTCAGAAAATATTTTGAAGGTAGTTCGCTTTCATTAATTGCAATGGATATACATGTACATGCAGTATTTCTTTACCTGAACGAATCCAAAAGGGAATGAACTTGAGGTCTGGGGGTTGCTTTCACTGAACTTCACTCTCCAATCATCAATCATAGCAGGAAAACTACAGTTATAACCCAAAGGATTCCCAGCATTGGCTTCCCCTATTAAACCAAGAAGTATATTTACAGATACATTACGTAAGATTTAGATAAAGAGCTGACCATTCTTATAATAGCTCAAAAATAGATAATGTCAAATGAAAATATTGAAAATTTCATTCAAATTACTTCATTCTGAACCAAGTTATCACTGTGTGTAGTTTTGACAAGATGTGTGCATAGTGGTAACCAGGCGCTGGTAAATTCGAGACTTAGCCTCGCTTTCCCATTTTTAAATTAAATTTTTAAATGGCGAACCGTTCTAATCTAGTTAAAATCTCGAGTATCCGATGCCACCGAGAGTTGATTATGGTCTTGTTTTGTTAATAAATGTCAAATTAATAGTTTATATAAAGAAAGACCTGCAATAGGCCGATTTAGCTCTTGCATAATGCATATTTAAAGCTGTTCAGTCATGTCATTACAAATCTGCTGAACACTCCATTTACAGTGACTTTATATTTTGAATGCTGTTGAAGGCATTTCATTACCTTGATACCATATTACTCCATATATCGTGTAGTTTAAAAACGGATGCATCATCGCATTCCAAAGTACAGAATATGCTGTAGGCCACGGAACGTCACTGAAAACATAAATTAGGTCCATTGTAATAGACAAAATACGGCCCTAAGACCATTGTAACCTTACTGATCTAATGTATCTGGTTACGACGATATGAGTTTTAGATCTGACTCTATTGATTCGTCGTTGTTATCGTAATTGTCTATTTACAAACATATTTATACAGACACTATTTCCGTACATTGCAAAACACTATATATTCATATTTCATTGTTCGAGTTTATTAGATTTTAATTAGTCTTTATGGCAAAACATTTAACTATTAAGAAATTTGTAGATCCGCTTTTAATGTACTATTCAAAAAAAGTAGGGGATATTTGATTTTTAAGTGTTATTAAAGTCACCTAATGAAACTGACGAAGAAACAAATGACAAAATGAAATGAAGTTCACATTCATCGATTTATTCCAAATGATCGTTAGACTAAGTAAGGCACAGACTGACCATTATAAGGGTAAAATGATACCCGGGGTCAAACAGCAAAGTTACCACAGCATCACAACCAAGTCAGTAACGGGTAAATCCTCCTCTGTTTGCCAAACAAGCATTGATCCGACGTGGCATACTCCTAATGAGACGTCTAAGGTCATTTTGGTCCAGACTGTCCCATTCCTGTTGCAACGCAGCAGCAAGTTCTTGGACATTGGCAGGACGTTGTTGACGTTGACGTAACCTCTGTCCAAGCATGTCCCAGACATGCTCGATGGGGGAGAGGTCGGGACTCAGTGCTGGCCAAGGTAATGCGGTGATGTTCTGTTGTTGGAGGTAACCTGTAACGATCCTGGCCCTGTGACATACTGGAAGATGAAACGGCGGCCATGACGTCGTGCGAACGGCACAACATGGACTGCCAAGATGTTGTCCCGGTAGTACTGGCCTGTAACACGCCCTGCAACAACATGTAAAGCCGTTCTTCCAGCAACAGTGATGCCTCCCCACACCATAACAGAACCACCTCCAAATCGATCATGTCTGATGACGTTAACGTCTTGGAAGCGCTCGTTTCGACGACACCACACCCTCCTACGTCTGTCCAAAAAATCAACAGTGAACCTTGACTCATCTGAAAACATCACATTGCTCCAGCGTCGATTATCCCAGTGTTGACAATCCCTACACCAACGACGTCTTGCCTGAATGTGATGATCTCTCAAACAAGGGATCACGCGAGGACGTCGGGCGCGAAGGTGACCCCTATGCAGTCGATTCCGAATCGTCTGGCCACTCACTCTCACACCAGTGTCTGTTTGAAGACGAGCGCTGATCTGATTTGCTGTGATGACACGATTTCTCAAGGCCAAGGTACGGATAAATCGATCCTGGGCTTGAGTTGTCGCCCTTGGTCGACCTGAGCGTGGTCTGTCCTGTACAGATTGTGTATCACGGTATCTGGACCATAGCCTGCTTATGACAGACTGAGAAACATTCATCGTCCGCGCCACAACCGCCTGTTTTGTGCCGATCTGTAGCATGCCAAGGGCACGTAACCTTTCATTTTGGCTAAGCCGACGCATATCAAAATTTGTTTTCTGGTCACTAAAACAATTAAACTGATGTTTCCACCCTGGAATTCAATGCCACAATGACTGTAACATTCAAAGTCAGAGTCGTGCAAATCTTGGGTTGGACCCCCATGATGATCCCAAGCATCACCTGCATTCCATGCGGTAGCTATTGGTGCGTTTGGGCGTCACATGTAACTGGAAATGTTTCTTCTGTTAGGTTCTATAGCGACTTTTTTCGTAGTCATTTGCATATTTTAGTATTATGCCCCCAAAATCAAATATCCCCTACTTTTTTTGAATAGTATATTTCAAAATAAAGCCATAATTTAGTAATAAGAGATTATTTTAGGAGGTAGATAAAATATTACCTTGTCTTCGGTTTTTCGGATATTCCACATCTTTCTAGAGCATCTGGGGAAGACCATGTTTCAATAGCAGTTCCTCCCCAATCTGATGCAACCAGACCAATAGGATATTTGAGTTTCTGGTATAGATATTTACCATATAACCAACAAACAGCAGAGAAATATGTCCAATTACCATTTCCCACACTTCCTAGAAAATTGGCATCGAAATTATTATTGGATGAATCTCTTTTTCTGTCGGAGCTCATATAGCAATATATACTCTTCAAAAAAAAAGTAAGGGATATTGAAATGCAAATACCTATGCAGGTTGTGATATGATAAATAGTCATGGACACTTGACATGCTTTGAGAGTATGTTCACAGATAAAGAACTTATCGCCCCGACAGAACCACTGAGCTGCATGTGCGACACGCAATAGCGCCATACACGTGGGAGGGGTTCATTGTCAAATTTGATACTTCTAGGAAAGGTTGATGAAAACTGCCGCTTGCTGGTTTATCCTATCCATGTTTGCTTACCTATCGGTTCTTGCATAAGATTTACTGTTTAGCGTATCTTTGCTTTAGTGTGTTACGTTTAATTTATTATTTTTAACAGTGTACGATATTAAATAATCATAGCACACATCTTGTTTAAACAGTGATAACCTGGCTCAGAATAAAGTAATTTGAATGAAATTTTCAATATATTCATTTTCCTTTATGTAGTTTTTAACTATTATAGCAAAAACGAATAGCACTTTATCTAAATCTTACATACTGTATCTTTAAAAAGCATGGTCACTCGGCACTTACAATATTACCACATTTGCGATGGAAAATCGACCACTGATAACAATGACATTACTTACGTGGCGATGCTACTGACCAAGGTTGCTCTACACTTATAAAATCGTACTGTGGTTCATGGGCTGTTTCCATAGCTACGGTAAACAATCTTATATCAGGATAGTAAGAAGATTCAGCTATTTCTTCAGATGAGTTGAAGGCCTGAAAAATAAAATGTGGATATGCATTACACCGTTCTTATTCTTGTTGGATCATTAACCGTTGCTACATCATAGATAATGGGTGTTTGTTTTCATTGGTTTCCTAATCATGGCCTACCGATTGTTAAGGAGTTATTAATACTCTTGATATCACTTGGGGGGGGGGGGGGCGAATGGTTAGCACGTGCGCGCTGTATCATAAGTCCTGTCATTGAGTCAACTGGCGTGGTTTCGAATCCCCGGTTGTACGTGACAAGGAGTAGGGTCGCCTGTCCAACCTCGTGGGTTTTCTTCTGGTCCTCCGGTTTCTTCCCACTGCTAAAGACCCCTACGCGCAAGCGAATTATTGAAATAAAATTAAACCATATGTTAGTCCCGAAATGACCTAGTTTGTGTCGAGTGGAGTTAAACCCCATTTCTCCCTCTATCTCTCTAATATCACTGCTTCAGTAATCTGGACATAACTATACAGCTAATCAATATGGCGTTGTTCATAATAAAATTAAATGTCGAAAACTCACCATAGGAAGAGTAAACTGCATATTACTTTGACCTGAACAGATCCACACATCACCAAAGAGTACATCATTAATTGTGATCATGTTTCCAAAACTGTTAGAAATATTGATAGAATAAGGACCACCAGCTTCATTCGGTGGCAGCAACACGCTCCACACACCTTTACCTTCTGGTCCCATCCATACCTGTAGTAATAGTAAGTACACAATCCTCAAATTTATCCATGTATCCAAACAGTCACATCATTAAAGCTGTTTAGATTTAATTACGCTAGTATGAATAAAATAAAACCAAGTACGAACAATCCAAACCATAAGACAGAATTCGAAGTCCTAAAAAACGTTAAAGGCAAAATAGTGTATTCAAGCAAAATAGTGTAATCAGCAAATGGACTGCTCCTCGTGTACAAAATACACGACAAACAGTGGTAACAGGTGTCCGGAAGAGTAAGCTTACCCTGCCTGGCGCCACACCCGCCATAGCTGCATCCAAACTATTAGGCGAAATCTCGGTAAAATAGCGTGATTGGCCAATGGGCTAACGTCAATGTAAATGGAAGGGGTTTAGCGTTCTTCTTTCAACACCAACCGGGATAATGAGAGAGGTTTTCCTTGCCAGGCCCTCGATCCTACTTCATTGAGAAGAGGAAACAAGGCTGGAAAATGCCGCAGTTCTTTCCGTACAAACACCGAGATTGTGAACCAGGATTTCTTGGTTAATAAGCCTCCGCGACTCCAAAATATGAGCATCTATATACACAAGAAAGATTTATATCACCCAAATAATTAAATTTGTCAATGAAGAGACTCTCAATAATTGGAGCGATTTTCTCATTAACAGATTTCCCAACAGTTGTAGAAATCACATAATCCTTAACGAGGCTCTCCTCAAAATCAAGATTATCTTCACCCCCATTTTCCTGAGCCATGGCCGGTAAATCATCTAGTATTTCGTCAATTTGAGCAGTGACATCATTGTCTGCCTTATCCGATAACTTCGGAATCTTAAAACGTGTTTGAGTGAGTTCCATAATCGGTTCGTTATCCTCCGACTCATCTCCTGAATCATAAACACCGGTAGTATTAGATGAAGTTTGTTTACTTCCGTCTGAATGACGTCGCTTCCTGTAATTTGGAGACGAAGAACTATTCAGCATCCCCGACAGCATATATCTAATTTCGTCCTTGAAGTTATCCATTTCAGACCTGAAGTTACCCAATTCATCGGCTTTCTTTGAAAAAGAATTTTCTCCCGTAACCGGCAAAGTTTGACAAGCCGATGTCAGCTCAGATGTATGGCTATTTTTAGTAACATCAACTGGGTCATCTCTCTTCCGAGTTAGACTAGCAGACGCCTTTTTGTCGTAGGGAGAGGAAGCAGTTTTATCTTTGCTATTACCTCGCTTCTTTCTCGAATTTTCCTTTTCCGGCTTTGTTTTGTCAAAAATCATTCCAGCGAAGTTAAAATCTTCAACCTCACTACTTGTACTTGGTCTGCTGGGCTTCGATTTTGAGCTAATACTATTAGTATTAGTGACCATGGACTCAGCCATTTTATTTGAGTGATTCGTCTGATTTCAATGACGAGAAAAGCACAAAAACCTTGAGAGCTGAGCTCTATTTCTTTACGTTATCACAAACCAACGTAAGAAGTTGCCTTAGGAATAAATTCCTATCTGTTTAAGAAACAGTCAAAAGAGGCGACAAATTTTTAAATTTGTAGATTGAATGGTGAACGATGTTACTCGTTCAAAAGCTAGCACGCTAATGGTAAAATGTGGCGCGCGCATCTCAAAGGACCGCCAAGATTACGTCATAGAGAAAGGTAAAATTCTTGGTTAATAAGCCTCCGCGACTCCAAAATATGAGCATCTATATACACAAGAAAAATTTATATCACCCAAAAAATTAAATTTGTCAAAAATTATTTAACTCGACCAAATCTAACGTCGTGTTCCCACTTCAACATCAGACATTATTGTTTTAGTGCCCTTCCCTTCAGTTTGATAACAACTCACATGAAAAATAACTTTTCAGTGTTTTATTTTCAAAAAGAGAAAATACCACTCAACTATTCCCTGTTCTTGTTGAATTTCTTGGGTGTTTATGAGTTTAACCAGGATAACGTCACCGATATTGGAAGAGTATCCCCATAAACTAGCTGCGGCAGGTGCTTTCTGTAGAACCATGTGATCACCGTAGTATGACGCCACTGATAAAGGGACATCTCTGCTTAAATTGAATGCGTTTCCGGCATTAACATCTACTGAAAAATATACATTTATATACACCAATGTGCCTTAAATTTTCAAGCCATCGGACCCATAAATAACCCAAATTATGATTTTCACATCTAAAAGGCGCCCTTAGTCTTTATGTGTAAAGCTATGCTAAATTTGTGTAAAATCCCGACTGTGCTATGAGGGAAATTTTGCCCGGACAGCCGCTCTTCGGCCTACTCTTACATCGAATTCCAACTGCCAATGGTTCTTTTACGTGCACGTCAATTTGTACACGGGATCTCGGTATTTCGTCCCATCCGACCGACTTTACGTTGCCCCTTGCCAGGTCCTCCGTCCTGCACCACTGACAGGGGAACCGCGCCGGAAAATCCCGATGAACTTTCTCGGTCAACACAGGGATCGAGCATGGGACCGCAGGTTAGCGAGCCAACGTCTTACTCGCTGAGCCTCCGTGGCACCGAAATTTATCTTCGGATGAGCTTAACAACACACAGTAATTCAATAATGGTCAGATTATGATGGAAATGAAAATGATCTACGTTTTTGCACCGACTGGGCTAATGAAGATAGGTTAGACCTGAACGGCTAGACAATGTCCTTGTCATGCCCTCCGTCCTGCACCACTCACAATCGGGAAACACGTCGGAAAATCCCGAGGAACTTCCTCGGCCAACACCCGGAGAGAACCCGAGACCTCAGCATACTGGCTAGCGAGCCAGCGTCTTTCTCACTGAACCATCGCGGTCCTCGAATTATAATTGAACCATTTAAAATGCTAACAAAATATTGCAGCCTATAGTGTGTTAAAACTAGATTTCGCAATAAAGTGGCATATCTAAAAATGGACCAACAGCGATAACGACAATTAAAATGTGGACGTGTACAAATTGTGTCCTACGGATAGTCGTTGTGTTAGCTATGAGATTACCGTCAATCTGTGCATAAAATATACGAAGTTGATCATAAAAACCTAAAAAATAGCATATTCTCAATACCTGACCGCCCATCTGATGTTTTTAAATACAGTAAAACGAGAAGCAGAAAATATTTCCCCTTCATTTTGACTACAAGCTGAATAAGTTATGATAAGCCCTCGTAAATTTGCATAGCTTCTTATTAGTGATAAGAAGTTACAAAAATAGGTCGCCCTTGTTTGTAAAGTGTTCATATTATCATTTTAAAACGAGTAATGGGTGCGAACAAATTACACCCACATTGGCATTCAATCAAACAAGGACAATCGCCTAATGAAAGTTGCCAGATGATCATTTATTTTCTTTATGACCTTAAATCAACAAATCTCACTTAAAGTGTGCAAAAACTTTAAAATTATTACTGTTTATTTATTCAGCTTCCTTTTCATGAAATCTCAGTTGTAAAGGGTTCTCTTCCGACGAATCTCGGTGTTTCAACATCAGCTACTTATGAAATGATGCAATTGGGTTCGAACAGTTCCGTAACCTTCGGTGTGGGATACTTAGCTAGCGACCAATGCATTTTAAAGCTCGGACCTCGTCGGTTTAGGGAAGGCCAGTTCATGTGATCAGGAAACAATTGTTTCATGATTTGAGCAACGATATTCTTTCTATATATTCCCAAATGAATATTCACCTTTAATAAAACACTCACTAGTCACACCACACAAACACATTACAGCCGATAAGTTTATTGACATTATACAATAAGAGATATTTTAAAGGGGGGCCCAGGGAGTTCATTGACCACACTATAAACAGCACATTGTTTATACGGACAAGGAGATTCTCTCCAAGCATATCTAATCAAAAGAATGTGTTGGTTAGTGCAAGATGCAGGTACATCTAGTATTAGGGTTGTTGGTGTACTGGCCAATGTTGTAACAGGAAACCACGAATTAAGAGATGGTTGATCACAGACAGTTTTATCTTGGGACGAACTACAACAAAACTGAAAAAAATACACAGTAGTTATTATAACATAACCTTGATAGGTACATCAAGTATTCGTATAATTCATGGTACCCAAAGAAAGAATAAGGGTTGTCTACAGATAGCAATATTGTATATTGAGGTAATTGACTTCTGAGAAGGATACCTCTGCAGTATATGGAATGAAATGGGATTTAACGTCCTACTGTTCCGAATCGACTGGGCTAATGAAGACGGGCATATTATGTTATGCAATGTGCTATACGGGGCAGTTTTGCCCAGACAGCGGCACTTCAGCCTACTGTTATTTCAAATTCCCAATAACAAATAACGAAACACGATTTAACTTCACACTGTCGACACTGATACTAGAACTACGGTGGTGCACAGCCTTTGCCTACTATTATTGGGTATATTTTGAGGAGAAATTTGTGGTGTCTTTCATCAATCTAAATCACAAGGCAACTATATAATACAGTTCTGCAGACCGACACTTAAATTCAATGGTTTAATAACTTATAATGATTTTACCGCACCGCAGTTGAAAACCTAAAAAATAAAATTATTACCTCAAATCCCTTAGCCGATCTTACTTCAATGTTTGTCAAACCCATATCATAAGTAATGGTCAACTGTTTGTTCCCTTGCGAAAATTTTACATCCGATGGATAAGGTCCTTGAAATTTTTCGACCTTTCCATAAGCAACCGCAAGTCCCGATAAAGTTAATCGACTTGCCACTGTCTCTTTATCTCGTGGATGAACACTTTGGAAAGGTGAAGTAAAATCTGGAAGATCCATAGCAAGTGCCATAAAGACGTCTTTCATTCTAGGGTTCGGTACTGTGCCATAGCCAGCTGTTTGGGACCATCGAATATCTGGATATCCCGTTGTAATTGAAGAGTCGTTTAGTCTAGGTGCTAACTAAAACGAACAATATTATTTTATATAATTAAAGGTTATGTCGATACGGGGTGTCGCTCATCACTTTGTTTGACTTTCACAGATCTCTGTTAATCATAATATTATATGCTTTGGTGACAGTTGTTCTGCATGGGGTGGGATGTACTTACTCTTGTTAAAGCGCCTGACACGGAGCATAACAAGGTTTTATTATACGCCTGTACCAAAACAGCTATTGGATATTTGGATATGAAATGATATTCCTTAACGCTAACCTGAACGAATCCAAACGGGAATGAACTTGAGGTCTGGGGGTTGCTTTCACTGAACTTCAATCTCCAATCATCAATCATAGCAGGAAAACTACAGTTATAACCCAGGGGGTTGCCCGAGTTCAACTCTCCTTTAAAATTAAAATAAAATCACATAAGTGGCGAAATTTTCATATTCATGTCAGTTTTTGTCATGGTTACCATTTAGAAATAAAGCAAAGTGCATCGCAACTTACCTTGATACCAAATAGTCCCATATATTGTATAGTTTAAAAATGGGTGAATCATCGCATTCCATAAAACTGAATGAGCTGTGGGTGCAACACTGAAAAACACAAATTAGCGTGTAATGTATGTTCATATTTATGTTTCATCATATTTAACTTTTATTTAAATATTAAAATATTTCCTATACGTTATTAAATGATATGGTATAGGTATCATTAAAGTCCATTCCACTTCATGCTCGTTCCGGATAGTTAGATTTTCGACGGCCATCTTGAGGTACGTAGCATACATTATAATATTTAGGTACCAACATACTACAATACTTCACCCCACGCTCTTTATTTTATTCAACCTCTCAATTCAACTTCTTCTACAGTATATTTTTTTTGGAAAATATGAGTATGTATTATTTGCGTAATCACTTTAAATCTGACTTAGTTGTAGAGTTATCTTTTATCTGGCATTTTTTCAAGGCATCGGGTGATGACCAAACTTCAATAGCAGTACCTCCCCAATCAGAAGCAACCAGACCAATAGGATATTTGAGTTTCTGGTACAGATCTTTACCATATAAATAACAGACAGCAGAGAAATATGTCCAGTTACCATTGCCTACACTACCTTAAACACAAGGGAATTTGAGATTATATGTATGTATCAAATCTGGATACCACCTCTAGAAATAATTAAAGGGTCCCCGACTAAAAATAAGTAAAGCTAATGATCATCCATCTATTCCAATACTTCTTACATGAGGACTGAATTAATACAAATGATGTATGGTTTACTAAATTTCTGGAATGTACGTCTAATACAATTAATCTGTAACATACATGAAGAGTCTTACTTGGTGAAGCTACAGACCAGGTCTCCTCGACACTGATGAAATCATATTGTGGAGTATCTGCTGTTTTCAAAGATGCAGTAAACAATCGTATATCTGGATATGCTGCTGCTTCAGCTACTTCTTTAGATCCGTTGTAAGCCTATTATTGTAGTACACAATTATGTTAGGACAGCGTCTTAATTCGTTCTTTAACTTACCGTTTTTTTAAATTGTGTTCTATGACGAGATCATTTGTTGGCTTAGTTTTGTATTTGCGTTGGCGTTCCTATTTAATCTTGATAGGTGTCTATGAATATAACGTGTACTTTTGCCCCGGCTTTATCAGACAGTTTGGTTACATTGTCTGGTAGAATTCACAACATTATTGTTTCATTCAATCTCATACGCCTTGGGGCTTATAGATATAGATACAAATATAAGAATTCGGGATGACATTCACGCCACAGGTGATTAAAACAGAAATATGAAATTAAGTGAAATGGGGTTTAACGTTTTACACCAATCGGGCTAATAAAGAGCAGGTGGTTAAATCAGAGGGCTTATGAAAGTAAAAAAGTTTGAAAAGAGAAGAATTATGTTAACTGCAAATTTTGCAATAAAATACTTTAATCATGATTAATTACCCAGCAAAGGAATCGACAGTTTGGTTACATTGTCTGGTAGAATTCACAACATTATTGTTTCATTCAATCTCATACGCCTTGGGGCTTATAGATATAGATACAAATATAAGAATTCGGGATGACATTCACGCCACAGGTGATTAAAACAGAAATATGAAATTAAGTGAAATGGGGTTTAACGTTTTACACCAATCGGGCTAATAAAGAGCAGGTGGTTAAATCAGAGGGCTTATGAAAGTAAAAAAGTTTGAAAAGAGAAGAATTATGTTAACTGCAAATTTTGCAATAAAATACTTTAATCATGATTAATTACCCAGCAAAGGAATCGACACTTTGGTGTGAGGATTGTGTCTTTTAATATAAATATTATATATAATATAGTTGATCCACGTCTTAACAGCTCTGCTAATTATTATTTTCATAGATATATGTAAGTATTGTGGACCCCCACGTAAAATGGACCAGCTAACGTGTACGTGTTTAACTTTTAATTGGCTTTAAATTACAAATATATCGCCATATCTAAATAATGTGTCATTTGGCAATATAAACCACAATTTACAGTGTACGGATCCTGTTATGTTCTTCACGTGGGGAATCACGCCAGCGGGCGGCCAGCAGGCGGCCAGCAGGCGGGGCTTTTGCTACGAGACAACTGCCTCAGTGAATATTTTGTTGAACATATCATTGATATCACTTCGGCTACATTATGTTTCTGACTAGGCGCTAATTGAATATTACGTGTTCGAGTGTTACTAAATACAACAATATTTTTGTAATAACATGTACCATAGGAAGAGTAAATTGCATGTTACTTTGGCCTGAACAGACCCACACATCCCCAAACAGAACATCGTTGATTGTAAGAGCAGAACCATGATCGCTTTCAACTACAACACTGTAAGGACCACCGGCTTTGACAGGTTCTAGGAAGACTTTCCACACCGCTTTATTTTCCGGTCCAATATAAACCTGTAAAGTGAGAAAAGTTAAAATCATAAATAATATGATTTGGTTCTGCATTTTGTTGAACCAAGTACTAAAACTTTATACTTACACTTGCGTAACCCTGTCAATAACGTGCGAATCTGCAATGATTCGGCGATGTTAGTTTCATCAAAAATGCAAGTTACCCCCCTCGCCCACTGGCTTTTTATTTATGATTGTATTTGACTGGTCGATAAAAATAGCACAATTATCAAGGGCGGATTAATGGAGTAGAACGGCGATGCCACTAGGAATACCAAGAATGTGATACGTGAGGCAACTCGCTCTTACTACAACCAGAAAGACTGAAATGTTTTTCTTTGTTTATTACAAATGGCGCCTGAGACAATAGCATACACGACCCGTGTAGTTTTAAAAATATTTTATTCACAAACGAATGGGATTGAGCAACCTATATCATCTCTTTCCATAGATACAAAAGTAATAAAGAGGAATATGTTTAAAGAATGTACAAACATTAGAATTAATAAACATATAACATACAAAAGTTGTGTGGAAGTGTATTTTGCACTGATTTTGAAATTAAAATCTATGACTTTGTTTGATACAACAATATTAACTACGGAAGCGTATAGGGGTCATACAAAATTTTGTAGAAGACCTCGAGATCCTAATTTAATGTTCTCGAGATCCCCTAAAAACTTTCTCGAGATTCTCCCATCCTGTGTTAACGATCTCGAGAATTCAAGTTAATTTTCTCGGGATCTTGACATCCTGTGTAAATTTTACCGAGATTTTGAGTATTTTTATACTCTCGACTTACAGCGCCCGCATCGTTCTGGAGTTACCCCCCCACCCCTTTTCCCGAAAACCCTGTTAACGCAATAGAGGCTGTAGTTTTTTAAAACTGATTTTGTTTTTCAAATGTGTTGTGATTTTCAGTACTCCACGAACTTTTGTTACAAACGTTTGCTGCGTGAGCGTCTTTTGAAGCATTGGTATCATGAGTACGGATAGAAGCTAGATTTCTGGAGGGATTGTCGCAACTAGAGAATGGACCTTATTGATTTGCAGCGCTCTCCGACTTTTCGTTATAGCGTTATTCATATTTTTCCGTTTGGTGAACGCGAGAGTTTTTCAAGATTTTTGTTTTAAAATCCACCGCGAAGCATTTGGGCCACAAAACAATAAACCATGTGTCTAGCTATATTCTAAAAGAAATATGACCAGAAAACCATGCAAATTACGACATTTTCAATAAACTTCGCCCACACATTAAATTGAAATAATTTAACAAGCAAGTCTGTAATTCCATGCTTCACACATTCCAAGCTAACGCAGTAAGGTTTTGATTTTCATGGTATGAAAATAAAGCATTGGGACAATAAGAGAATGGATGGACCTAATCGATTGTCTGTTTATTCTTTCATTAGTTAGCAGTGCGTCACATTTGAAAAACAAAATCAGTTAAAAAAAAAAATTAGCCTCTATCGCGGTAACAGGGTATTCGGAAAAAAAGGGGTGGGGGAGGGGTAACTCCAGAACGATGCGGGCGCTGTAAGTCGAGAGTATAAAAATACTCATGATCTCTGGAAATTTACACAGGATGTCAAGGTCCCGAGTATATTAACTTGAATTCTTGAGATCGTTAACACAGGATGGGAGAATCTCAAGAAATTTTTTAGGGGATCTCGAGAACATCTCGAGGTCTTCTACAAAACTTTGCATGAACCCTATACGCTTCCGTAGCCTTGCCTGTTGTTCAATCCTTTTAAAATGAATACAATATTGTTTAAACTAAACTAGCCTTATAAAATGAATTACTAGAGCTAAATTTCAAGCTTTTAGCAATGCTACGCTTCTACTTCTAAGTGCCACAGCCCACTATTGTGTGTTTGTCAAATTATGTTCATAAGAAATGTATTTTTATAATCTATTGTCAAGATAATCTATTATTCTGCGTGTGTATAAAATTGTATGGCTTATGATTTGATATATTAGTGACTGGCATTTTTAATTTGGCATATATTTTATTTATGTATTTATCTACGGTAAACATAGAAGTACTATGACTTATCTACTTTTGATATACATATAAGAACAAGGGTCGATAAATCAAACAGTATTGTGTTATTAAAAGTCTGTATTTTAAATAGTACAATAATACTTTACCACTGTTGCTGAAAACTGGACAACTCTTGCACCCGTATCCAGGAGTGAAACAACTATGACGTCATCACCAATGGTAGAATATCCCCATATACTGGCGTAAGCCGGGGCCTTTTGTAAAACCATGTGGTCATCAAAATACGAAGGAAGAGATAACGTACCGTTCGATTTTCTTGTACCTGTAAAAACGTTGAAAGAGAACAACAACAGATTAGCCCAAACATTTAAACACATAGAGCAGTTGTGCTTGTCAATTCAAATAAATGTTCCTTACATATATTCCCTATTTTTTATTCATTACATTGAAATATTCTAATACCTGAAAATGCTTTAATACACACAAACTGCAGAAAAATAACACACACTATGAGTATCTTCATGTTGCCACATTTGTCGGATACCCAGTCTGTAGTAGGTTATAGGTCACGTGACGTTTGAAGAGATTAAGGCCAAGGTAATCAGATAAGACTCTTAATAAATAAATTGTTTCAATGACATTTAGTAATTGAACTAGTGTATACAGGTCACAATTCGATGGAATACAATTACTTCTTATTACTGAGCGACGTTTCGACTAGGCTTCTCTAGTCAATATCAAGCATTGCTTGATTGCTTGTATACTCTTAAGGGCAAGGTAAAGTGACAAAAATTGTCACAACACCTGAAATGGGGGGGGGGGGGGTCCTAAAAAAATCATTCACAACACCTTTAGTGCCTTTATTTTGGTGTCTAAACGTGCTTGAGATGAAACTGAACAATAAAAAATGGATGACAATCAAAAATAATGACTTTGGAATTTGTAACTTTGGAAAATATAAAACAAATATACCATTCAGCACTGCGCAGCTACAGGGTAAACAACTCAGCATGGGAAATCACAGAGATACCTGAATATATACACTACAACCATCAAGACTTCAAATTTCGAAAACTATGTTTGTTTTAGCACACAACGTCCATATAATTAAACTTTTTTTTTTCAAGGGATTACTTTCAGACTTTTTTGTATGGAGTACCATCATAAACATCATTTGGATTAAATGTTTCGGGTCTGTATGGAAAATTGAAACTGCTTTTGGTTTTCAGCAATTTTTTGTAATGAATACACATTGTTATCATTTGTATTACTTCTTAATTTACCCCTTGAAGATGCACTGACAATTAAACATTGAACATTTTTACCAAGTTTTACAGTAAAATAATTTGTTATAAATTTTATTCAATATTTATTCACACTCAACATATTGTTTAATCTTAGATTGTACACTATTGAATGTGGAAATGTCCAGCCGAATGACTGATTGGAAAATATGATGGGTTTCAAATGGTACTCCATAGAAATGAATTTGCCCCATAAAAATTATATCTAGGGAACAAATTCTATATCAGACCCTCAAAATGATTATTATTCTAACATAAATGAATAACAATCTATCCAAAATTTAGAAACAAGCCTTTTTGCTAACATTTACCAACACTTGACAACGGAAGCCATGATAGCTTAGATTTTGACAGTTCTGTTTTCATCAATTTACAGAACGGTCCATATGAAAAATGTTGATATTAAAAGATGTGACAGTTCTTGCAAATGAAGCGCAATAGTCTATAATATTACGATTTACCACCTGATGTAAGGATAATTGTGATAGTATAAGTCAAAATGTATTTCCTGCATTTTTGTTTACCTTTCTGCGTCGAATTACCGCCCAAAGGAAGTGTTGCTCGCATCAATGAGTTCATGCATGACATATTTTTTTCATATTAACAAATCCCGTACATGACACCTTTTTTGTATTTTGATATGAATTAATCGTATTCCCCGCAGTTGTTTTAATTAAAAAATTAAAAATTTGTATTTTAAATTAACGCTTTGCTCATTGATATTCGCATAAGGTCAAGATTGAAAAAGAAAATGGCGGATCCTAACCCCGTGGTAGTAAGGCCGTGCAAATTTCACACTACAAGGAAATGGGAAAGCAACCAGAAAATCTAAGACTCGACTACTGTACTACATTGATCAGAGTATAAATAGAGAGATAATAGCTGTCCCCAAGTTTTATCGTTTTGTCTGTAGGTGTAACCGCGATTGGACACGATGAAACTGAAATTTTCGTTTACGTGATAACACGCGGATGTACGAATTAAAGGGATATTGACAGTGAAATAGTGTATTGTGAGTAACAGAGTTTATTTTGGACGATTGTATCCAAGGGCCACTATTCTGTGTTGGGAAATAATATCTTCAGCCTTGTTGGTGTTGAGACTACTATGGTGTCACTTTACCTTGCCCTTAATAAATAGATGAAATATTGTCTTATCCTGTATTCAAATGGGTCAAATATTGTCTTATTCTGTATTCAGTAGTAAATAAACCATCTGTCTTAAGAAACACTTAAACGTTTTTCCTTAAACCCCTGTCACACTCACCCTCGATAACGCCCCCAAAGTATGAAAGCAAGAGACAAAGGACAGTAAATTTTTGGGGATTAAACGAATTTGTGGAAACGGTCAAAACAAGCGCAGTGGGTCGACGCTCTGACGAGAACGGTGTAAAGGCCCGTTTATACTGAGCGGAAACGCGACCGCGACGACAGAATTCGATTGCTTAAATGCTATTTCAATGCAGTCGTTTATACCGACGGTGAACGCGAACGCGATCAAATTTTTGTTCGCGCGGAAAACTGCAGAGATTGCCCCCAGAGCGACTTTTTAAAGAAAATTCGCGCGAACGATTGTCATTAGCCAATCAGAGTACGAGGTCAAAAGTCATACATGTGACGTATCTGTGGCAGCTGATTCGAGACGGCTTCGCGACCACTTTCAGTACGATCGATGAATCGCGCGGAAAATCGCAGAGGTCACAGTTCGCTCATGGATCTGTGAATCACATTAAGTTGTTGTGTTTTGTATTTGATCGATGCTAGCCTCTATCTCACACTGAACTGGAAAATAATCAGAGTCATCAAACTGTCCAACCTTAAAGGACAATATTGACGCCAGTCATTATCACATATGTGATAGAGCTGGTTAAACACATTCCAAATACAATTTTAACACAGAGATCATTGCTAGGATAGCTGAGTAATACAGGTTTCCTGAATCGGAAGTGACGAACGCCAAAGGAAAACACGAGTCATGCCTCTATATAACTGACTGATGTGACGAGTGATAACAGATACACGGCCGAATTTCTGCTCACTAATAATTCCTTCGAAGACCAAAAGTTGTTATACGGGACTGTAAGAGGATACCTGACAATTCAATAAAGTAATTGGATGTCATTAGATAAGAGAACACGAGAAAAAATAGAAAAAGTCCATACATTCCCATGTTTATATTCATTCTATACCTTATAAAAACATGGTAATGCACGGACTTTTTCTGTTTTTCTTTCGTGTTCTCTTATCTAGTGGCAGTCAATTCTGTCCGTCTGTCTGTCCGTCACACCTTTTGGGACACAACAACTCTCTTTCTAATTAAGCTACAATGTTTAAACTTGGTGGAGGTGTTTATTAGGCCAATGCCTTGATGAAGTTCGAAGATGAGCATTTTCGGCTTAGGATAAGCAGAGATAAGCAATTTGATTGGTTGATGCTTTGGGAACGATAACTTTAGTTCTAATTAAGTGAGAGTGATGAAACTTGGTGCATAGTTTCATTACACCAGTACCTTGACTAAGTTTGATAATGAGCATTTTCTGCTCAGGGTAAGCAGAGCGATAAGCAATTTGATTGGTCGAGACTTTGGAACACAATAACTCTCATTCTAATTGAGTTAGAATATTCACACTTGGCATAGGTGTCTATTAGGTGAATGCATTGATGGAATCTTTGAATGGCATTTAGCGATTGAACATAATATAACACAACACAGTTCTATGGATAACAATCACTATATTATATACACACGACGTTTCGACAAGAATTCACTGGTCGTTATCAAGCATACAAATTACAAATGAGGAAAAAATTGTGACAGTGTTATATATACGTACCTTGAACAATGATAAGAGAAACCATAAGTTAGCAATCATGAAACCCTAGCTTAATTGGGTTATCAAAGTAAGTATGCTAAGATTAATTATGATAGCACATAGTATAGTAAAAACTATCCCGCTCTCTAATCCCGCACAGTTCGTCCTTCCGTCATAAACCGTCCACGATATACCTATGAAACATTGGTGCCTTTTGTTAATAAGAAATTTCTCCGTTGAATAGCAACATAATTCTACCAACAATATATACTTAAAAGATTTAAAGCTATTTGTGTTCTTGGCAACCGGATATCAATCACGTGCGTGGGTGTGGGGTCCGTTCTGTCCTATTTTCGAAAATCGTATTAACTTGAAGATGACGATAACATCCGGTTCATCGAATATCAAAATACTGAGTGCTGTGAACGAAAATAGGCTTATCAGTGTTAAAGTAATCTGTACATTACTATGTCCAGAACAAATCCAAACATCACCAAACAAAACATCTTTAAGGATTAGGTTATCTAAATACATGTATGAAGTGGCTGTTACAGTGTATGATCCTCTTGCAGGTACTGCTCGTAAAGCTACTTTCCAAACCCCTTTCCTTTGTTACCTTTATAGACCTACGCTGGGTATGAAATGAAGAACGTATCAAAGTGACATATGCCTCCACTATGTTAACACTTCAAAAATAAATGAAATGAAATGGGGTTTAACGTCCCACTATTCTGCTCGGACTGGGCTAATGAAGACGGGCTTAGCCATACAGTGTGCTATGAGGGAAATTTTGCCCGGACAACGGCGCTACGGCCCACTCTAACATCGAATTCCAACTGCCAATGTGTACATTGGACCTCGTTTTCGTCCCATCCGAACGACTATACGTCTGAAAATACCGATGAACGTCCTCGGCCCACGCGGTAATCGAAAACGGGACCAACGTCCGTAGATTATATATAGAATTGCAAGAAAAACACATTCAAGGAAAGGTGGGATCACAGTCAACGACCTAGATAACAAACCTTAATCTCTCAACCCTCCGTGTTTCGAGTTAAGAACTGAGGCCATGACCTATAACGTTGCAGCTGCCGGAGCGATTCACACCCGGCATTTTTAAACAAAATTGACAATAGTTTTAATCAAAACAACGATTGATTATTGTTATTTATAATATTTCTACAACACCCAACTACAATTAAGCATATAATCCTACCTGAAACGTGTACAAATCGTCGTTTTTAAAATCGAGGCGTTAAACCGTTACTAAGACCGTCATCATGAAGGCGGGGCTAAATATAAGGCTTTTATAACAGCCAATCAAAAGGACAATCGAAAGCACAGTAACTATGAATGGATTTCGATGGCGGTGAAATGTCAGACAAAAACAAAGCTTCATTAATTTAAACGCGAATATTTGGAGTTAGGCGACAGTTGTGCCACTACATTGGCCTCTGTAAGTTTAATTAATAATAATATCATAAACTTATCTATTTTAAAGATGTTACATGCATTAATAAAGAAATTGAGTTTGCCACTTGGAACTAAAGGCATCCAATAGTAGCTAAAAACAAACACATCAGTATATCTCAACGTTTTTAGCTACGTTCTCGTAGCTATCAACGACCCTACATTCCGTCTACCAGTAACAATACCACCTTATTCTCAGTAGTTGAGTCTGCAACGTACATTAGAAAATCAAGTCTATGACTTTTTTAATATACGTCTTAGATTCGATTGTCTAGTATTAATTAGAGACTTGCCCTGTTATAGGCGTCTGTGCTGCTGAGCTGTTTCAACTGATAAAACTTAAAGAACTAACCTATGTTTGAACGGTACGAGTTACACAACTGCCTTGAATAATATCATGAACTACGTCGTATACTTAGGTAGAACAACGCCATATATTAGATTTTTGTGGAGCTTTCTGTAAAACCGTATTATGATCATTGTAGTAGGAAGCAAAGGAAAACCCATTTTGACCAGTTGGTGTTGAAATTGATGTGGTGTCAACGCATGTATACAATTAGAAACATTTATGCTTGTACCGTGTAACTATTTGAATCTCTGTGATATTTCTCGAGGAAGTACAAACTTTTAAGTTTCCACGTGAGGCTGACCATATTAAGTGATTGCCGCGATTATCAAATCACTTATACAGTTGAAGACCCCCAAGCGATCATTTCTTAACCGCAAAATATTTTGATTGTCAGGCAGATAAATGAAATGTAATGGGGTTTAAAGTCCTACTGTTCTGCTCCGAATTGGGCTAATGAAAACAGGCATACGCCATACAGTGTGCTTTGAGGGAAATTTTGTCCGGACAGCACAACTGACAAGGGGGAACCACGCTGGAAAATGCACGGATCGAACACCCAATCTCCAGGCTAGCGAGCCAACGTCTTACCAACTTAGCCACTGTGACCCCCAAGATAAATAGCTAAATCATCACATGTAAACTTTTGAGTCAGATGTCTTGTAAAATTTTAGTCCCCAGTGCGACTGAATCGTGACAAATGGGTTAAATGCGATTTGCAGTAGAAAAGAGTCTGAATTTACTAAGAACCGAATCAACAACACTATGTTGTCCATAAACAATCAAACGTGCTACAATCCTATTCATCCCAAACTCGAAAACTTTCATATAAAAAGAATACTAAACGCCCCCCCCACCCACCCCAAATATTATGGTCGTTCCTTTATTAAGAGAGATAATTTACTTAGATATAAATTCCCCATACCTGGAATAACCAATCGAGTAGCAAATATAGTTATTATAAAAGCAGTTGATAAAACATGTGACAAAACCATTTTTACCAGTCTTGTGTGAAATTACATCTCTTACTCCTAGTAAATTATGCATGTTTTTTAGACTATCATTTATGTCAAGGTTTTTTACCATACAAATTGAAGAGATTAAATGGGTAATTTCTCAACAATTTTATCTACAGTAGCATGGAAACGGTACACGTTGCGTGATGTAATTAGGTGTGTTCTTTGAATGGCATTTTGTAATTCGGACATAATCAAATAACACACTTTTTATGGAATAACAATTAGTATGGTTTATTTCACCACGACGTTTCAACAAGATTTCAAGGTGTGTTTGATTTAGCAGCATGTCTAGCCTGAAAGTAGTGTCAGAAAGTAGTTCTACTCATAATGTACAGATGTATACGGGATCCTGTATCACTTACCAAATCACCCAAAATAGGCTACTTCAATAACGTTGGACGATACATATCCTATGTCACCATTTTGAAAGGTTTCAGTACACACGGAACGACCGAAGACGCATACTCCCGGCGTTAGCCGAGACCATTTTTCAAGCCTGTCAGAGGTTGCACCTGCGAGGATGGCACTGAAAGTATCCCGGCACATTTCTCCAATAATAATTTGTTTCTCTCAAAATGACTAAAGTATTGTATTTGCCTAGATCTCTGGAGATGTATCTTTTGATATAGACTGATGGTATTCCAAACAACAAAATATATCAGGGAGACAGACACCCCACTAGAAAGTGACAAATCAGAATAAGCACGCCCTTTAGATTTTAATTTTGATATAGTTAATGTAGTGTGTTTATTTGTATAATGAAGTTTCTCAGAATATCCCACTGTAGAATAACATCGGAATAAATTAATACGACCAACAATTTTACAAGTTCCATTTTATTTAATACTACGAATAACAAATCATAGAAGCAATGTCATATTAGCCTATGATATGAACATCACCAAGATCTGGAAAATGGTACAAAAATGGTGGTGCTGGTAGTTGATTTTCTACACTGTAAACTGGACATTTCAGAAATATGCATGGCGATTCTCTCCAAAGGTATCTCAAAGCTTTGACAGTAAGGTTTTGGTTACACGAATCCGGATAGTGTGTTGTAACACTGGTTTTGGTTGACTTGGAAACAGGAGCCGCATGCCAATCTTTATCATAAGTATTGCATCCACTTGTTTGTGTTTTACTCACACAACACACCTGTAGATACAAAGGTGGGTCACTGATCAATCATGGGAGTGAAAGGAAAATGCAAACGTATCTAAGTTGTATTTGTGAACACACGAGATTCCTATCCATTTGTATGGAAAAATATATTGCCTTAGAGTGCCACTGCTTGTATGTCTCATAGTGATTTATCAAATGAATCAAGTTCTTTAATTTGGGCAAAAAATTTGAAAGCGCCGATTTAATTAAATTTGACGTGGGTTTCATTTTAGGCCCATAGATAGAGTCGATCATGAGATATAACCGATTTTGAGATATAACCGTTTTTATGTTCCACTGTCGAAAGTGATAGTTGCAAGTCAATAATTAAACTACAGATCAAAACACTTCAATGTTTAATGTTACCATGCTCCTTTAAATCTAAACCAGTTAGTACAGGGGGATCTCACTTTGATACAAAATTGGGTTTTATGGCACTATTTGGGATTATTTCTTTTATTATTCCCCTGAAAATCAATCAGCATTAAAGAATACCTCAAATCCATCCTGGGCCCTTACATCTAGTGGTGAGTTACCATGGTCAAACTCAACAGTTACAGTAGAATCTGTCTTGTGATTGGTTATTTTAGATGGATAAGGTCCTTGAAACTTCTTTCCTGTTTTATGATAAGCTACTGACAAACCTGCCAGGGCCAAACGATCACAAACTATTTTCTTATGTCGAGGATGAATACTGTAAATGCAAAAGGGGGATACTAGAATATGACAAAGAATCTTCAAAATATATAGGAGGCTGATCTCTATTAAATTCCACCATCTCAGTACCCACGAATGAAGCTCCTTCAATTAATAGTTTTTCTTTCTTTGGTAAATATTAATGGTTTAGAGGGGGTAAGGAGTTAAGATATTGGTTACGGTGATATGTTCGGCAGATAGTGGCGTGTTTATAGTATCCTACTTCAAAGTTGTGTATCTCAAACTTTCAGTCGTCAACGTGATACAAACTTTGGAGCAAAACGTTCAGCCCAACAAAAATTTTGGGATTGAGCCGGGAAAAGGGACCAAGGTTGACATTCAAGTCAATGGGATAATTAATGGTTGTCTGCTTCATGAAATTGGGGTCGGGTATTCCTGTCTGATTTATAGCAACCCAATTATATAGACTATGGATGCCTTAAAATCTAGTAGTTAGTGAACTATTACCTGTATGACATTTCACTGGGCTAATAAAGACGGGATCTTTTATGAGCACGCCAATGTGCACACAGAACCTTGGATTTTCATACCGTCCGAAGGACAAGACAGCTGTCCTTGTCAGGCCCCGGCCCTGCACCACTGATAAGAGGAAACCACACCGGAAAACCCCGATGACCTTTCTCGGCTAACACCGGGAGCGAACCCGCGACCTCCAGACTAGCGAACCAGCGTCATACTCACTTAGCCACCGTGGCTACATGATTCCGTATATAATTATACCCAGTTATATAAACGATGTTACCATACCTGCCCATTGGAGAGTTATAGTCGGGAAGATCTAATGATACTGCCATGAAAACGTCATGCATTCGAGCGTTGGGAACGTAACCGAAACTAGCAGTTTGGGCCCATCGTATACCAGTCATCCCAAGTGATTTCGGGTTGTTGCTATTTGCCGCCAACTGAAAATATATTGTTGGGGTTAACATCCAATTAAATATGATAAAACTGAAGCTTTCATGATTGGATCAAAACACTCACTATCAAAATCAGATATACCAACTTTGAAAATAGCTGAATCAGAAATTAAACCAGTCAACAAAGTTAAAAATCTGGGTGTTTACATCGATTCAGAACTCTCCGTGGAAGGTTAGATTAATTATATCTGTAAAACCTACTTTTTCCACCTAGGCTCTATCAGAAACATTCGGCATCTCATATCGAAGGACGCAGCTCATACTCGATCGCTCATCTTAACAAGATTAGACTCTATTGCAATAGCTTGTTATCTGGAATATCCCATAAACTGATATCAAAACTCCAAACCGTTCAAAATACGGCAGCTCGAATCATTAGTCGATTAAATAGGAACTCACACATTACACCAGCACTCAAAGAACTTCATTGGCTACCAATTTAATCAAGAATAGATTTTAAGCTCTTGTGCCTTGCGTATAGTGTTTACGTGGAAATGGACCTTCCTATCTAGCAGATCTTTTATTACCATATTTTCCTGGGCGTGCATTCCGTTCTCAACAAGAACATGTTCTTTTAATTCCAAACTATAAACTAAAATCATTTGGATACAGATCGTTTGTTCATATTGTGCCTGTTCTGTGGAATTCATTACCGCTAAACATTAAATTGTCATCCAGCCTAGAAAAATTCAAATCTAATTTAAAACTCATCTATTTACGGCCTATTATGGCACCCATATTGTGTAGCGCCTTGTGTATGCATACTAGCATGGAACTGTGTGCGGTATAAATTTACATATTATTATTATATAGTATTTCGCTTTTCTGGATATCCCCTCTGCAGTCCATTGGGTATTGAGGTTAACCCTGCATTTCCAATAATGTTACACGTCCAAAAGATTTCAGCTCGTAAGCTACTGCACATCTCTCGTCCTTCTGTTTCTGCTATAAATCATTACGAGGCGAAGGAATGCAGCAAAATATCACTTGACAAATAACGACGAATTGATATACAAAAGAATATACCTGTACGAAGCCAAATGGAAAGTTTCGAGAAGTTTGTCCACCAGATTCCTTGTTAAAGTTATCTCGCCAATCATCAATCATAGCAGGGAAGCTACAGTTGTATCTATCCCCGTGGCCACCGTTACTTTCTCCTTCAAATAATATGATTTGAATTAGGATATAATTCTTTCGACCAACAAACAATTTGGATAATCTTAAAAAGGTATGCACGGAATTTTATCATATTCATATAATAAACAGTATTCATAAACTGAAAAAAAAAGTTGCTTCGGAGCGAATATATGCCCACCACGAGAGTCTTGAAGGGTAGCTTGCAAGGTCAGAGATATTAATTAACCTGTAGACCGTTTATAAGATTACGGTGACCGGGACAGCTACGCATGACTCAGAATTTCGATGGGGTTCCTCCTCAAAGTCTGACCAGTATTTACCAGGTTACGGTAACAGTACAAGTAACCCGTATTAAACTTATATGTGGCTCTGAAATTCGTGTAATCCATGCTGTAATGCATATACATTGGAAGGATTTAGTACAACATAATAATAATTTTCCACAACGTACCTTGATACCAAATAGCACCATAAATTGTAAACGGAAGGAATGGACTAATCATAGTATTCCACAAAACACTGGGATCTCTGGGAAATCCTGGTTGTGGTCCGTATGTGATTCTAGAAGTTACAGGAGAAAATGAGAATAAAGTTATTTATTATGTTTACGTGGTTAACATGGCATACAATATCAGAATCACCGGGATAACGTTTGGTTATTTTATTCTTTCAAAGAATTAATCTTTTATTGTCGCTAACAGTTCTTATCAGCACAGGCGCCCATCGATCCATTATTCAGATGGCACTTGATTGCACAATTTGTATAGAAAATAATATTTTAAACGGCACACTGTCGGGAAATAATATAATTTGTCAAATCAATGGGTGTAATCTTTTAGACGTAACCCTTAAAGGTGCACCCAGAATAGAGTGAATAGACTTACGGTGCTCCACATTTACTCATCGCTTCTGGTGACGACCAAGATTCTATCAATGTTCCTCCCCAAGACGATGCTATCAAGCCAATAGGATATTTGAGTTCATTATATAGGTCTTTGCCATAAAACCAGCACACAGATGAAAAATGAGACCACGGTGATCCACCAAGCGATGCTTGAAAAAGTTGTGAAGATAATCATGAAATTTTTTAAAAATGAAATGTGGTTTAACGTTCTATTGTTCTGCTCCGACTTGGTTAATGAAGATGGGAAAATATTTTAAAGAAAAATACCTTATACATTATCAATAAAATGAAGTTTTGTGGCACGTCAGCCCCAACGGGCTATATTGCGCCAAACATGTGTTGTGATACGACAAAATCAAACCACAAACATCAAATCAAACCAGTAATTTATACGGTTTAAAATTTTTATATGCTATTACAAATTGGGCTATGAAATCTAAAGCAGACTAGGCCATTCCCTTTTATATCCATATTACTGGGGAGATAACACAGGACGATGTCTTTGCTGATGAACTCGTATGCTATAGCAGACGATAAATGTCCGCTACTAATGCTTATTACGTATTGCTTGTAAACAGGAAAAAGAATCAGAAATTGTGTTTTAAATCTGATGATGACTAAAAGAACTCCAAGTAAGCACAAAGTCATGCTTCACTTTTTCTTACGTAAGAAACTTATAAAATACCGTCCCTAGAAAATTCTCAAGACCATTCTTACGAAAGCACAAGTCAAGTATAAGTCTAAGCACATTGTGACTGATAAAGTTTACCATAAACTGAGACTACGATGCTCTTTAACGTAGAAGCGAATTTTTCTTAATTTCTTCTGGAGAAGGATTTTCTCTGTCTTATAATGTCTCTTTGGTATCAAAAGGTGTCGGAAATGCCGTCGAATAACTCTACGATCAGCCATCTTTTTTTGAAGCAGAAACAGACTTAAGGTTGGTAAGCAAGCCGTAGGCTATACCTTGCTTGGGACTTGTGCTTAGACTGACTATGTTTAAGAACGAAGTTGTGCTTAAGTTTTTTCTTGGAACGCATAATAACGTTCTTGTGCTTACAATGAAGTCTACTTAAAATCTAAGCACAAGAACGTTCTTAAGAATTTTCTGGGAACACAAAATAAGGTAAGTTTACTTAAATGCAAAGTCTATTTAAATCTAAGCACAAGAACGTGCTTAAGAATTTTCTAGGAATCGGGCCCTGGAGCTCAGCTATCCGATCACCAAATTATTTAGACCCATCTGTGTAAAAAGGAGCATAATTATCATATATATTTAGACCTATCACTTGGCTAAGTGGGTAAGACGCTGGCTCGCTAGCCTGAAGGTCGGGTGTTCGATCCCTGCATTGGCCGAGAAAGTTCATCCAGATTTTCCGGCGTGGTTCCCCCTTGTCAGTGATGCAGGACGGAGGGCCTGACAAGGACAGCTGTCTAGTCCTTTGGATGAGACGAAAAACCGAGTTCCCGTGTATACATTGGAATGCACGTAAAAGATCCCTTGTCAGTTGGAATTCGATATAAGAGTAGGCGATAGTGCCGCTGACCGGGCAAAATTTCCCTCATAGCACACTGTATGGCGTATGCCCGTCTTCATTAGCCCAGCAAAGGAGCAGAACAGTAGGACGTTAAACCCCATTTCATTTCATTTCATTTTTATGTTGTGTAAGATTGAAATCGATCTTTGGATTGGATTTAGCCCACGATGCACAATACTGCCTGGCTGATACCAGACAAAATGGGGCGAATGCGAATACAGTATACAGAATCTGCTTTAGCAGATATAAGTTCTCATTTTAGGCAATAAATATGGTGTTACATGAAAAATAATTTGGCAAAATATGAAATATAATTTGGCAAGATATGAAATATAATTTGGCAAAATATGAAAAATAATTTGGCAAAATATGAAATATAATTAATTGGCAAAAATGAAATATAATTTGGTAAAGATGCAATTTCCGTATTATGGAATATGAGTCATTTTAATGCCAAAATAGTAAAATTTAAAATAATGAAACGTACAAATTATGACAAATGCTTACTATTATGATGGCATCGTAATAAATCAGCTGATGATTAAATGATTTATGTCGTACAGAGCTACTTACTTTTACTGGGAAGAGACCAGTTTTGTTCAATATCTATCAGATCGTACTGACGGGTTTTAGATTCTTTCCTTCTTACAGTAAACAGTCTTATGTTTGGATAATTAACCCCATCTGCTATTTCTGCCGAAGTGTTCAGCCCCTAAATATATTATGTAAGGAAAGAGAAACGGCAAACATTCAAGTCTGTTTTGTCTATAAATACATGGTTATATTTTAAGACTGGATCTCAAATATACAAGATAAATGTTTTACTTCTAATCCCGCAACTCCGCCCCGGTTTTATTTCCGGTGTATATCTCATAAACCAGTTGTTCATTAGAAATGTCTCCGTTGAATAATCAATAGTAAAGTATTAATGGGAGCTGACTTAGTCACTGTCGACTGCCATATAGCTGTTTATGACTACATACTGCACCAAACTATGTTTATACATAAAATCTTAACAGTTATTTGTAATCTTTGCAACTCGATTGAAGGCACGAGGCGGAACGGATCTGACACATAATAACCGTGAAGATGATTGCAACAACAACCAGTTCTTAGAATATCAAAACACAGTAAACTAAAAATAACTTACCATTGTTAAGGTAAACTGCATATTACTCTGTCCAGAACAAATCCAAACATCACCAAACAAAACATCTTCAAGGATAAGGTTAGCTAGAGATGAAGTGGCTGTTACAGTAAATGGTCCTCCTGCAGGTACTGCTGGTAAAGCTATTTTCCAAACCCCCTTTCCTTCGCTACCTTTATAGACCTACAGAATATATGAGATGGAGGGTCGTCTCAAAAGCGATAGTAAGTCATACTTCAGAAAAGTTATATAATTTTGAATTACTGTATAGCAACTGAATAAAATAAGAATACAACTGCTGACCTGTGTCAACCGGAATACCTTGCAGAACTAACCTTTGTTTGAACGGTATGGGTTATACCACTGCCTTTAATAGTAACATGCACTATGTCGTTTAGTTTGGTAGAATATCCCCATATATTCGATTTTTGTGGAGCTTTCTGTAAAACCATATGGTCATTGTAGTAGGAAGCAAAGGAAAACCCATTCTGTGCAGTTGGTGCTGAAATTGATGTATGGCGTAATAATAGAAAGATTCTCCGATGTCTTGTAAAACATGGGACTACCCCTTTCAATCCCCAGCACCACGTAAAGGTGACAAAGTAGGTAACTCCGATTTGCGCCAGAAAAAAGTCTGACTTTACAAATCACAAAATTAATAACTCAATATGGTCAAATTTATGCATTTGTATAGGTTTCTACCTGATGCACCAACCACGTGTAATAACGCTCATACGAGTTTGAATCACATCGAGCGCAAACTCGAAATTCCCGTCTTCATTAGCCAAGTTCGGAGCAGAACAGTAGGACGTTAAACACCATTTCATTTCATTTCATTTTGCAAACTCGAAAACTGTCAATACCCCTAATTCCCGACTCTCTCTCTCTCTCTCTCACACACACACACACATCGTCTGATTTAAGTTGGTGAGCCGGTGCCCCTTTCTATTACAGGTCGAATTTGGGAAAATCGGTCAAATGTGCTCAGAACCGATACTCAATACCCCTAATTCCCGACTCTCTCTCTCTCTCTCTCTCTCTCTCTCTCTCTCACACACACATCGTCTGATTTAAGTTGGTGAGCCGGTGCCCCTTTCTATTACAGGTCGAATTTGGGAAAATCGGTCAAATGTGCTCAGAACCGATACTGCTCCATATCAAATCTGGTCAAAGATAAGTGCTGAGATAACAAAAAAAAAATGGTTGTTCGTATTATTATTTGAAAATTAATGTACTCAAAAATAAATTAACTCTACCTGGAATAACCAGCCGGGTAGCAAATGCGGTTATTATAAACGCTGTTGACAAAATATGTGACCCTGCCATTTCGCCAGTCTTGTGTGAAGTTATATCGCTTATTTCTGGTAACTAGGCTTGGTTTCCATACTATTATTTATGTCAAGGTTTTTATCATACGATTTGAAGAGATTAAAAGGTGTGTTTTCTCAACAATGTAATCTGGACACGGGACACGTTGCATGATATATTTTGGTGTGTTTGATTTAGTGGCATATCTAGCCTGAGAGTCGATTACTAAATCATCCACAATAACCTACTTCAATATCGTAGATTATCCGAAAAAACAACAAATGCCTACATTATGAGATCATTTTGTAAGGTTTCGGTAAGGTGGCGCCTGCGAGGATGACAAAGAAAGTGTGCCTGCCATGGTCGTTCGGATGGCACCCGGGTACACATCCGGCAGGCTTGTAAAAATACTCTCTAAGTATTAAACTCCATTGCATTTCATTCCGAAGACATGTATCTCTACTCTAGCACCCTGTGTACTGTTTGTTCAATACTTAGACTTATACGACACCCATAGCAGTGTAATAGAGTGATAATCTGCCAATCGCTAATGTTTGTTAAATTAATCACTTTAAGACTAACTGCCTAGTAAGTCGTTAAACTGTTATCCTTTCAAGCCAGCCATGGCCTGGTTAATCCCATCTATTGTTTTTGCTCATTTCTTATATTTATTTATATTTTATGTCCTGTTTATCTAACGCAATGTCAGTTTTAATTACAGCATTTACTTTTATCCTGTTATCCGATTTTCCTGAAATATAACAAATTTGTGCATTGATGGATGTCACTAGTTAGGAGCTCTTATCGGAAGAGAGAAAACACGCTTCAAAAACAGCACATGTTCGTCTCGAGTCACCCGGAAAGACACACCATGTATTGTTTGTTAAATATTTCAATCAATAGGTTTATTGAAGTTAAAGTTATCCAATAATATGGACATCACCATAATCTTTAAGAAAATATTGAAATGGTGGTGCTGGTAGTTGATTTTCTACTCTATAAACGGAGCATTTCTGAAATTCGCATGGTGGCTCATGCCATAAATATCGGACAGCTTTCACTACTTTCAGACCTTATCTACAATGGTCAGGATATTGTATAGTAACATCATGTGGCAGTGTGAAGTTAGCTCGATTTTCGTTTTTCGTTTTTCGATATTGGCGAATAACGAAAAACAACTAGCTCGTTTTTCGATATTGGCGAATGTCGAAAAACGAGCCACTCGTTTTTGGATATTCAAACTTGAATCTCAAAAAACAGATTTGATGGATGTATATCTACAGAATGTTTCCAAAACACATTTGATTAAATACGTTTTCTAAAACGAACTAAAGATATCATAATTGAGAATGCCTGAGCAGTGGATTCACATAAAACTGATATTTCTCCTTGTTTTTTGATATTTTCGAATCTCGAAAAACAAGCTACTCGTTTTTCGATATTCAAACTTGAATCTCAAAAAAGTAGATTTAATGGATGTACATCGACAGAATGTCTCCAAAACACATGTGATTAAATCAGTTTTGTAAAATCGTAATAGAGGATGCCTGAGCAGTGTATTCACAGAGTGTCTCCAAAACACATTTTATTAAATAAGTATTCTAAAACGAACTAAAAATATCATAAATGAGGATGCCTGAGCAGTGGAATCACATAAAACTGCTCTTTCTCCTTGTTTTTTTTTATATTGGCGAACTCGTTTTTCGATATTCAAACTTGAGTCTCAAAAAAGCAGATTTAATGGAGTGACATCTACAGAATATCTCCAAAATACATTTGATTAAATCAGTTTTGTAAAACAAACTAAATATATCGTAATAGAGGATGCCTGAGCAGTGTATTCACATAAAAACTGCTCTTTCTCCTTGTTTTTTGAGATTGGCGAATCTCGAAAAACGAGCTTTTCGATATTTAGGCTTGAATGTCAAAAATACAAAATTTAATCATGTATATACAGAATATCTCCAAAACACATTTGATTATATAAGTCTCAAAAACACATTTGATTAAATCAGTTTTGTAAAACGAACTAAAGATATCATTAACGAGGATGCCTGAGCAGTGGATTCACATAAAAATTACTCTTTCTACTTGTTTTTTGATATTGGCGAATGTCGAAAAACTTGTAGCTCTTTTTTTCCGACATTCGCCAATATAAAAAAAAACAAGAATCCTCTATTACGATATATTTAGTTTGTTTTACAAAACTGATTTAATCAAATGTGTTTTGGAGACATTTTGTCGATGTATATCCATTAAATCTACTTTTTTGAGATTCAAGTTTGAATATCGAAAAACGAGCAGCTCGTTTTTCGAGATTCGCCAATATAAAAAACAAGGAGAAATATCAGTTTTATGTGAATCCACTGCTCGGGCATCCTCATTTATGATATTTTTAGTTCGATTTTGAATACTTATATAATCAAATGTGTTTTGGAGACATTCTGTATATATACATGATTGAAATCTGTATTTTTGACATTCAAGCCTGAATATCGAAAAAGATTCGCCAATATCAAAAAACAAGGAGAACTAGAACTGCGATGCAGTAATGACGGGTTTCACCGGTGCCACGTTACCCTAAACATATGTCACTTCCGGTACCAATGAAACCATTAAACAGGTTTCCACCTCATCATTGCACACATCAAATAAAATGGACGCCGAATCAACCAAATCCAGCAATATCAATTCATTTTATATATTTGTTACATGTAAGTGTACAGTACTTCCGGTGATAATGAAAATATTCAATTAGTTTTATGAAATCAGAAATGGCATAAGGCATCACATGGTGAAAATTTTATGTAAATCGAATAATAATTGCCACTTTTATAGACCAAAAACCTTAAAAAGTGACTTGTAGAAAACCGTCAATTCCTCTGCAACCATACAAGTTAGAAACCATTTTCTGGAATCTGTATGATCGTATGGGTTTATTCTATTTGTTGATTGGAATCAAATATCATAATTTTAAAAACATAACAACTCAGACTCATTTGAATAAAATATCTGTTTTGAAAGCTAAAAATACAGTTTTTGCCAAAATGACGTTACTTCCGGTGATAATGAAAATCTTAAATTACTTGTATGAAATCGTAAATGGCATTAGGTATCACATAGTGAAAATTTCATGAAAATCGAATAATAATTGACACTTTTATGGACAAAAAACCTTGAAAAGTGACCTGTTGAAAATTACCTATTTCTCTACAACTGAACAAGTTAGAAACCATTTTGTGATACCTATATGATCGTATGGGTTCATTCTATTAGTTGATTAGAATCAAATATCAAAATATTAAACAAACAACAAATACGACTCATTTCAATAAATTATTTGTTTCTAAGGCTATAAATACAGTTTTTACCCAAATTTCGTCATTTCCGGTGACATGGAAAATGTTAAATTGAGTTGAACTAGTCACACTTGACATTATGCATCAAATGGTGTCACTTTTATGAAAATCCAATAATAATTGACTCTTTTACAGACACAATAGCGTAAAGAGTGACTCATGCAAAATTGACCATTTCTCGGCAACTGCTCATATTACAAACTAATTTTGAGATAGATTCTCTTCGTATGGATTAATGCTACAAGTTTATGAAAGTTGTGAAGAAATATTTTAAAATATGAAAAGCCTGAATGGGTTGTAAATAGCTCATTTTTTCACCTTTTTTCACCTTTTTTCACCTTTAAATCAAAATGACCCGAAAACGAAATCGAAATTAAAAAAACTGAGCCCGATGTTTTCTGCGCCTTTACAGGGCACACACTTTCAGTCATACCAGATTTGAAAAAAATAATATTTGCTTTCAAAAAGTGGTACCGAACTGTCAAAATTGTAGTTTTTGCTAAATTTACGTCACTTCCGTTGCCGAAAGGTAACTTTACCGGTAACAAAAAAAATGACATTTTGGATTACGGAGCATATGAACTTTGTTTTATACAAATCGAGCAATAAATAATTAATCCAGGACTGAAAAACTGAATTAGCCAATGGGGGTCAAGGAAATTTACGATGACAAAAAATGGTGCCATTTTTGGTCAAATCAGATGACTCTTTAACCCTGGGTAAAATACCAGTTTAAAATATTCATGAATAAAAAAGTTTTTTGTAAAAATTTAAATTTCCAAAATTTGGCGCCTAATATCTCCGACGATTCGTGGAAAATCAAAAATCTAAAGAACCATGGCTATGTGCCTTGTCTCTGGCTATGTCAAAATGTATCCAATGTTAAAATCCGACGATTATTGTTAATATTACGGCAATATTTCAAAAATCGACAAATTCGACGATTTCGGACATTTCGCATTGTCGCAGAACGTTCGAAATAGCTTTAATCTCTAAGTCACACCCACTTTTCCAGTAAAACCGAAGACATCGAATCAATCCGACAAGTAGTTTCTGAGATACAATCAAATTGGAAAAAAAAAATAATAATAAGAAGAATAATAAGAATAATTTTAACAAAAACAATAGTGTTTCACACAAGCTACGCAGTGTGAAACCCTAAAGAGCAGTTTTTATGTGAATACACTGCTCAGGCATCCTCTATTTAGTTCGTTTTACAAAACTGATTTAATCAAATGTGTTTTGGAGACATTCTGTCGATGTACATCCATTAAATCTACTTTTTTGAGATTCAAGTTTGAATATCGTAAAACGAGCAGCTCGTTTTTCGAGATTCGCCAATATAAAAAACAAGGAGAAATATCAGTTTTATGTGAATCCACTGCTCAGGCATCCTCATTTATGATATTTTTAGTTCGTTTTAGAATACTTATATAATCAAATGTGTTTTGGAAACATTCTGTAGATATACGTACATGATTAAAATCTGTATTTTTGACATTAAAGTCTGACTATCGAAAAACGAGTATTTGCCAATATCAAAAAACAAGGAGAAAGAGCACTTTTTATGTGAATACACTGCTCAGGCATCCTCTATTACGATATTTTAGTTCGTTTTACAAAACTGATTTAATCAAATGTGTTTTGGAGACATTCTGTCGATGTATATCCACTAAATCTACTTTTTTGAGATTCAAGTTTGAATATCGAAAAACGAGTAGCTTAAGTTTAAATGATGTCCGAATGATCTCTATTTCCCAGCCTCTCAGCCAAAGCGGCTGTGGGTATGATGTTCCCCTCTCCGACTGCTCCATGATGTCTGAAGGTAAATCAAACCAGCTCAGTTATTAGGGCGGGACAATTACCATTTTTGGGTAAGTGTTTCGTATTGGCACCGTTTTACGCCAACACTATTCTAGTTAATTGGACTAATCTGTGCACGAGATGACTGGACGATAGTACCCTACTATCCAGAAATGGATACTGGCATAACTGTCGGTGAGTTAGTCTAAGAAAGTAGTAGATTAATGCAAGCTACTTCATTACCCTATTTTTCGTAACACATCATGTAGGTAAAGAATTTCTATAATAAACAGAACACCTTTCTTAGAACTAAAATAACCCCCATAGTATTACACTCCTTGTCCCGTACAATCAAGGAATCGAATCCATTCCAGTTGACTCAATGACAGACCTTATGATACAGCGCGCACGTGCTTACCATTCAGCCATCTACTAGATGTTGAAATTAATGTATAAGTATATGATTGGGTTGTAAAAAAAAACTATCAAACCTGTTCGAGAACAGGTCTAGTTATTATTATTATATGGATAGAATCTGGGTTATCCAATAATGTTATCCTTTAATGAAAAATCAATATGAATCAAACACTGAAAGTGGCAGAGAGAGAAACGGGGTTTAACGTCCACCTGACTAGGGACTAACACATGGTACAATTTTATTTCAATAATTCGCCTGCGCATAGGGGTGTTTAGCAGTGGAAGGAAACCGGAGAACCCGGAGAAAACCAACTGGTTAGGGCAGGCTATCTTAATACTCCTGATCACGTACAATTTTGGGATCGAAACCACGCTACATGACTCAAAGCGCACGCGTTAGACCACTATTATCATCCAACCATTCAGATCACATGTTGAAGACGAGAATACAATAAACAACGCAGTTTCGTTTTAATATTACTTGTAATTTCAGTGGTAAACAAATACACTGGGATCCAGCATGACTTCAATAAATGGAGGACCCGGTAAATCATTCAATTTGGTATACACAGCACAAGCTTTAAACGGACACGGTGATTCCCGCCATGCATACCGTATCGAGCTGACCAGTGCTACACCACATACACCACCATAGCCGATGGTAACAGATGAATTATCACTTGCATTAATTGGTGCAGGATACCACTTAGCATTATCGTCAGCACACTTTATACGACTGGGTGATTCATCTAGACAGCATACCTGCAAATATACAAACAATCGATCATTAAGGGTCATGATTTTTTTTACATTATATTCCCAGCTTTGGCATGTAAATGTAAGTGTGCCAGATATATTATATTATTTAAAGGTGCATTATATCAGATTTAGATAAAGAGCTGGTCGTTTTTTCTATGACAGTTTAAAATCTAAATAATAATTTTAAGCCCAAAAAGAAACCAGCAACAGGCAGATTTAAATCTTACATAATGCATCCTTAAATCAATCACTTATATACCAAATCTCTATGGTTACATTCCATTAGAGATAAAAAAAACATACCATATTTATGGTTCAAAATACAATTTTTCAAAAGTTATAACACTTTGAGTACTTGAAACCATTGACAAACCAGCGGCTACCAGACAGGATACGCACACATTTTGCAAGAGGTGGATAGAGAACAAGCTAAAAACAAAAACGATTTTTTGTACAATCAGGGGCCATAATCCAGAAAGTCTGCGCAAATATCAAAAGTAACTCAGATTTTTGGAATCTAAACATATGTTTTAAGTTTCATCAAAATCGGATACAAATTGTGACCTCTAGAGGGTCCATAACCTTTGTATTACATACTTATACACAACTTGCGTACAAAGAGCCGTCATTTTGTCGGGAACTTTCATTTCGATTTTCCCGGAATTCCAATTCAACCTTCATTATGGGGGAATTGGGATATATCTAAACGGTTTTTAAAATCGGAAAATCCACAAGTTAAAAATGCGATTTTTTGACCAATCAGGGGCTATAATCCAGGAAGTTACGTTCGGATATGTGTGATTATCAAAAGGAACCAAGATCTTTATGATAAAAACATATATTTAAAGTTTCATCCAAATCGGATAAAAACTGTGGTCTCTAGAGGGTCATATTTTTAGACTATTTGCGTATAGGGGGCGGCCATTATGTCCGTCAGTTTTTGTCCGATTTTCATGAAATTCGAACTCAACCATCATTAGGATGTAGCGGTGAAATATTAAAACGTTTCTTTTAAATTGGATAAAAATTGTGACCTCTAAAGTGTCCACAAGCTAAAAACGTGATTTTTCGTACATTCAGGGGCCATAATCCATAAAGTTATTGTCAGATACATGCCAATATTGAAAGGAACCGAGATCTTTGGGAGATGGACCTATATTTCAAGTTTCGTCAAAATCGGATAAAAATTGTGTCCTGTAGTGTGTCCACAAACAAATTGTGGACGGACGCCCGGACAGACAGACGACAGGGGCGACGACATTTTACGTCCACATGAAAATATGGGCGTATAAAAATGACATATTTGATTCCTTTTCATCCTGATATCTTAGTGAACATATTCTTATATGTAACGGACCAATTGCCACTGCGAAACTACCACGATAGCTATAAGTTTAGTCTAATTAGCACAAAGTTTATTGTCGATGTAGACAACATAGTTTTAAAACCCATTATTAATAGTTAAATTTATACTTATTCATATTCAATAAACGAAATACTCATTCCTTCTGGTCAACCCATTACACGCACTAGAACGACACGACGCTTCGCGCTATACATAATGCCCCCGTCAGACCGGGTGGCATCCTTACTGCGCTGCTGCGACTAGAAAATGCACAAGGTCGCCGGCAAACTTAAACACAACGCGAGAAATTGTCCCAAAAAAATTACAAACTTGAAAAAAGTCTCGTTTTGAGCATGTTCAAAACAAACGCCAAGGTTCTGCGATCTGCCCTGGAAAGATGTGAAAACGCAAATTTTTTTTCAAGTTTGTAATATTTTGGAACGTTTTCGTAGGTCGCCGTACGGTCGCTGCAGCGCAGTAAGGACGCCACCCTGGTCTGACTGGGGCCTTACAACTTTCCAGGTTACATCGCAAAGCCTTGGCGTTTGTTTTGAACATGCTTAAAACAAACGCGGTGACTAGGCGATCATTCACGACCATGGAGACCACAGCACGATACCAGGCGTTTCCACCACGCGTTTACCGCGCTTATGGCGATCTTGACGCGCTCTGCGACCATTTTCCGTCGCCGTAGCGTCACAGTAAGGACGCCACACCAGTCTGACGGGGGTATCACGTATTGAATCCACCACAGCTACTAATAAAGCTATTAGACACTGGATACCACTTAGCATTAGAGCATATATTTGACAAACATTATTTATTGTGCTTTAACGACGTCCTTCAGGTTTATAAAGACCACGATAATAATGTGCTTCTTATCGTCTTTTTGTGTAACTATTGAATATTCTTGTGAGGATTACAGAATGATAGATATTGACAAGAAGTAGGGATTCGTAGCATGCCGTTTTACTAACAAAACCTACTTACTTCAAACCCATCCTTTGACCGGATATCCAAATGTTGGTCATCATAAGTTATCTGAGTGGTATTCTGGGCTACAAATATCTCGAATTTCGTAGGAAAAGGGCCCGTATAACGATTATCGATGTGATTATATGCCACCCCTAGTCCCGCAAGTGAAAGCCGTTTGCCAACATCTTCTTTGTCTCTTGGGTGAATTCTATAATATATAATAGATTGAAGTTTATCAGATTACTAGTCAACCAACATAAACACATAAGAACCTTAGACAAATTGAGCATCGTTATGACTAATGAGCAATCCCGAGCAATCACACAATTTCGATTTAAGGCACTTGGCGAATTTCAAACAGATTGACCAATATTTTGTTGGGATCTTGGCTTATAAGTGCTTATAAGAAATCATTAATACATTGATAGGCTAATACAACCCATTGATTGGCGATTAAGAAGAGTTTTCTTTATTGGGTCAAAACTTAATCGAGCAGGTCAATTCCTTGATATGCATAATCCAAATTTTCATGTCAAGAAGGCAGTTATAAATTTGAAATGAAATGAAATGAAGTTTAACTCACACTTTTCTGCACCGACAGCGTTAATGAAAACGGGCATACGCCATGCAGTGAGCTATAGGGAATTTTATCCGGGCAGCGGCGCTATGGCCCAATCCTATTTCGAATTCCAACTGTCAAGGATTCTTTTACCCGCACGACAATAACCTATATCCGAACGACTAGACACCGACGTTGCCAATCCCTCCATCCTGCATTACTGACAAAGCGGAATAAATATGGTATACACCTCTTCTAACATTTCTCTCTTGTGAACTAAAATCATTGTATCTTACCCAGTAAAGGGAGAAGTATAATCAGGTAGATCTAGGGCTACAGCCATAAATACATTCTTCATTCTTTCATTTGGAACATATCCATAATCTGCTGTTTGATGCCATCTAATATCAGGAAAACCAACTGTAATAGTAGCGTTATTACGCCATGGTGCCAGCTAAGTATCAATGTAAACAAACACAAATACTATTCAAAAAAAGTAGGGGATATTTGATTTTTAAGTGTTATTAAAGTCACCTAATGAAACTGACGAAGAAACAAATGACAAAATGAAATGAAGTTCACATTCATCGATTTATTCCAAATGATCGTTAGACTAAGTAAGGCACAGACTGACCATTATAAGGGTAAAATGATACCCGGGGTCAAACAGCAAAGTTACCACAGCATCACAACCAAGTCAGTAACGGGTAAATCCTCCTCTGTTTGCCAAACAAGCATTGATCCGACGTGGCATACTCCTAATGAGACGTCTAAGGTCATTTTGGTCCAGATTGTCCCATTCCTGTTGCAACGCAGCAGCAAGTTCTTGGACATTGGCAGGACGTTGTTGACGTTGACGTAACCTCTGTCCAAGCATGTCCCAGACATGCTCGATGGGGGAGAGGTCGGGACTCAGTGCTGGCCAAGGTAATGTGGTGATGTTCTGTTGTTGGAGGTAACCTGTAACGATCCTGGCCCTGTGACATCTTGCGTTGTCATCCTGGAAGATGAAACGGCGGCCATGACGTCGTGCGAACGGCACAACATGGACTGCCAAGATGTTGTCCCGGTAGTACTGGCCTGTAACACGCCCTGCAACAACATGTAAAGCCGTTCTTCCAGCAACAGTGATGCCTCCCCACACCATAACAGAACCACCCCCAAATTGATCATGTCTGATGACGTTAACGTCTTAGAAGCACTCGTTTCCACGACGCCACACCCTCCTACGTCTGTCCAAAAAATCAACAGTGAACCTTGACTCATCTGAAAACATCACATTGCTCCAGCGTCGATTATCCCAGTGTTGACGATCCCTACACCAACGACGTCTTGCCTGAATGTGATGATCTCTCAAACAAGGGATCACGCGAGGACGTCGGGCGCGAAGGTGACCCCTATGCAGTCGATTCCGAATCGTCTGGCCACTCACTCGCACACCAGTGTCTGTTTGAAGACGAGCGCTGATCTGATTTGCTGTGATGACACGATTTCTCAAGGCCAAGGTACGGATAAATCGATCCTGGGCTTGAGTTGTCGCCCTTGGTCGACCTGAGCGTGGTCTGTCCTGTACAGATTGTGTATCACGGTATCTGGACCATAGCCTGCTTATGACAGACTGAGAAACATTCATCGTCCGCGCCACAACCGCCTGTGTTGTGCCGATCTGTAGCATGCCAAGGGCACGTAACCTTTCATTTTGGGTAAGCCGACGCATATCAAAATTTGTTTTCTGGTCACTAAAACAATTAAACTGATGTTTCCACCCTGGAATTCAATGCCACAATGACTGTAACATTCAAAGTCAGAGTCGTGCAAATCTTGGGTTGGACCCCCATGATGATCCCAAGCATCACCTGCATTCCATGCGGTAGCTATTGGTGCGTTTGGGCGTCACATGTAACTGGAAATGTTTCTTCTGTTAGGTTCTATAGTGACTTTTTTCGTAGTCATTTGCATATTTTAGTATTATGACCCCAAAATCAAATATCCCCTACTTTTTTTGAATAGTATATTAGATAGGTGTTCTAGAAAGAAAAGCTATTGCAGACACATAAAGTCACTACAATCTATTTATTTACCTGGACAAATCCAAAAGGAAATATGGCATTTGTTTCACCATTTGATCCTTCATTGAACTGACGTCTCCAGCCATCAATCATTGCTGGGAAGGTACAGTTATACCTGTTCATCATGGCAGGTGTACCTGTCGGTGCGGCATTGGCTTCACCTATAAAATATTTATATTTGGATAGCAACACGACATTATTGTCTTTCAACACGAAACCTTTAACCTGTAGTCAAGCTGCTGATGGGAGTATGTAAATTTAAATCAAGAATAACTGTCTAGAAGTAGAAACACACAGCGGCATACATTCTAACACATGGCGTAACTTCACAATAGTAGTCAGTACTGACTTCAGCATCCCAAAACATATAATATTACCTTGATACCAAATAGCACCATATATGGTATAATTAACAAATGGGTGCACCATTGAATTCCATAAAAGAGCAGGATATTTAGGAAATCCGACGTAGGTGCGATTTCTGGGTCTAAAGATTAAGAAAAAATCAAAATTTAAATCTCAGTGCCTTATAAAGTGTATTCCAAAGAAATATACATATTATACATGTATATTATAATGAAGGTTATTACTTGAAATTGTACATAATTGGTTAATGAAGGATAATAAATTTTTAAACGCCTACATGTCTGCAATGCCCCCCTTGTCACCGCAATCCATTTATTTGCACACTATTGCTCAGAAGAAATTACATTTATGAAAATCACAATATATAAGTACTTACGGGGGTTTAAGTCCACATTTAGCCAATGATTCATCATCTGACCAGGATTCTACCATAGTACCACCCCAGGCTGACTCAATCAACCCAATAGGATAGCCCAGCTTCTCGTAAAGATGTTTACCATATAGCCAACATACGGCAGAAAAATAAAACCATTGTGAAGGTGAACCTGTATTTGCCAATGTTTCTATAGAAATCAAAAGAAAATACAGACAGGTAGGACAAACCCAACTAAACTTGATATGCTGTCTTTGAAAACATATTTATTAAAAAAGAAAATTAAATAAAGTTAAAAATTGGATTTACATACCATTTTGAACTTGCCATTCACTAATTTACATATCGCTTGGCGTGTCTAGCGAATATAAGTAAATGATCAACCAGGTGTGATCCTAATAAATGAATTAAGAAATGCTTATACATGTATCATTAACTCAGTATATTTGACAAACTAACATACTGTTATTTGGTAGACTCCACCTTTCTTCAACAGATGAAAACTCGAACTGTTGATATCCACTCTCCGAATGGTTAACGGTGAATATTCTAATATTCTGGTAGTTGATTGCTTCAGCAAATTCTAAAGATGCATTGAATTCCTTTAACAGTAGATTTTATAGTTATTTTCTTTTAATATACAATGAAAGTAAAAAATAATATTTCACAAAAACAAGTTATTAAAAAAATCAAAAAAGAAACTTACGTTTCTTAATGTAAATTCCATTTTACTCTGACCAGAGCATACCCACACATCTCCAAATAATATATCTTTTATTGTGATTGAACTACCGTCGACCAGTTCCGCAGTGAGCACATAAGGGCCACCTTGGAATACTGCTGGAAGCTTAATACTCCATACACCACGATCCAGGAAAGGACCCTCAACAACAGACGTTTGGTATTGTCCCACACCTTCAATACTGACTGTAACTGTGACATTTATGTCAGAGGCATATCCCCATACGTTGGCTCTTTGTGGCCCTCGTTGTAGTACCATGTGATCGCCATAGTAAGATGCAAATGCAAACTTGGAGTCGAGAGCTGGAAAAATTAAATAAATACCGGAGAGTAATAATAACTTCTTACAAGAGAGCTGGTAACGGCTCTCGGTTTGGGCCAATAATTGTACGTCTATACAATGTTGTTTTTAATTGTATAGTTAAAGCAAACAAGCCGAAACCCGGTCAATCCTTCGACACAAATATTTAATTCGAAAAAGCATGTCACGTGGCTTCGACAGCTAATCAGACCAACTCAATTCAACATATAAACATATACCCCCCCCCCTTTCCCCCTAACACAGCGTTATTATTCTAAATCTTACCTTCTAGTTTTGTAGTAAATAAGACTAATAACAGAAATCCTTTACATATTACAGACATGATCACATATTATGGATTGAAAGTAGAACACACATGAAAGCTATCGAAATGTTTAATCTATGTTATCACATGAATATTTATTCTTATCTGTAATGGTATATATTATAAATTGAGATAGCGAGTCCATTAATCATATTCGTTGAATTTGAAGGGAAAATGTTTTCAGAAAATCATTGGTTTTCTTATTGGATTCAATTATGATCATTTAAATTTATTCCTGTAAATTTATGAATCCGGAATATACTTTAGACTCAAAGAACTAGATAAATAATTTTACTTACATGTAAATTGATGTGTAATTATTTAACAGGAACTAGATTTTGTCGGGCACTTTCATTTTGATTTTCCCGAAATTCCAAGTCAACCTTCATTATGGCGGAATGGTGATATATCTAAACGGTTTTTAAAATCGGAAAATCCACAAGTTAAAAATGTGATTTTTCGACCAATCAGGGCCCATAATCCAGGAAGTTACGTTCGGGTATGTGTGATTATCAAAAGGAACCGAGATCTTTATGATAAAAACATATATTTAAAGTTTCATCCAAATCGGATATAAACTATGGTCTCTAAGAGGGTCCACAACCGTGATATACCATATTTTTTAAGACTATTTGCGTACAGGGGGCGGCCATTATGTCCGTCCGTTTTTGTCCGATTTTCACGAAATTCGAACTCAACCATCATTAGGATGTAACGGTGAAATATTAAAACGTTTTTTTTTTTAAATTGGATAAAAATTGTGAACTCTAGAGGGCAAAAAAGCTAAAAGCGTGATTTTTCGTACAATCAGGGGCCATAAATTAGGAGGCTACAATCCGATACGCACGAATATCGAAAGGAACCAAGATCTGTGTAATATAAACATGCATTCCGAGTTTCATCAAAATCGGATGAAAATTGTTACCTCTAGAGGGTCCACAACCTTGATATACCATATTTTATACTATTTGCGTACAATGGGCGGCCATTTTGTCCGTCAGTGTTTTGGTCCGATTTTGACGAAATTCGAACTCAACTATCATTAGGGTGTAACGGTGATATAATAAAACGTTTTTTTTAAATCGGATAAAAAAATGTGACCTCTAGACGGACCACAAGCTAAAAACGTGATTTTTCGTACAATCAGGGGTCACAATTTAGGAAGTTACGATCCGATATGCGCGAATATCGAAAGGAAACAAGATATTCGGGTTATAAACATACATTTCATGTTTCATCAAAATCGGATCAAAGCTGTGGCCTCTAGAGTGTCAACAAGCTAAAAACGTGATTTTTTTGTACAATATAATCCATGAGTTATTGTCTTAAATATTGGATATCAGAAGCCCACGTTTTCACAGTAAGATAACAACATCTGTGTTGATTTAAATTGACCAACACTTTTCATATTTATTACTTATAACCTAAGGATGACCTCTATTATTTTTGGCGCATGCCCAAGGTACAGAGCCACGCCCAGGTTTTTTTTTGTGTGTGTCGTGTGTCTCCTAAAGGGCGAAATTCTTAACAGATCAGGGAGACACTGTGGTTCAGCGGTTAAGACATTGGCTAGCTAACCTAGAGGTCGCGTGTTCGATCACTGCATTGGCCGAGATCGTATATCAGGATTTTCCGTCGTGGTTCCTCCTTGTCCATGATGCAGGACATAGTGCCTGACAAGGGACAACATATAGAAACGAAAAACGAAGGTACACATTGGAGGGCACGTAAAAGATTCCTTGGTAGATTGAATTTGATATAAGGGTAGGTTGTAGTGCAGCAGGCCGGGTACAATTTTCATCATAGCGCACTGTATGGCGTATGTCCGTCTTCATTAGCCCAGTCGGAGCAGAACCGTAGGACGTTAAACCCCATTTCATTTCATTTTCTTCCAGAATGCTTAAAATGTAGAATTTTGGTAAAGTTAGGTTAACGTTAGTTTTATAACTAATAATCCATATGTCATTATTATGTCTGAATTCCGACTAAATATCAATTATTGAAATGTACACACACTGATTTGGTTATTTAATCCACAAGTATTCAAAGCGAACAAATTTGGTTAGAATAAGGTCATTTTCTGGCATTAAAGTAACATAACCATTCTGACGTAAAAGTAACGTAAATTTAACCGTAAAATTTTATCATTTTTGGACGCTAACCAAAATCTAACCAAAATGACGTAAACTTTACGTAAATCTAACGTTCCTGTTAACTGGGGACTGAGACCAAATGAAATGAAATGAAATGGATTTTAACGTCCTACTGTTCTGCTCCTATGCTGGGCTAAAGAAGACGGGCATAAGCCATACAGTGTGCTATGAGGCGAATTTTGCCCGGGCAGCGGCACTATCGCCTACTCTTATATCGAATTCCAACTGCCAAGGGATCTTTTACGTGCATTCCAATGTATACACGGGACCTCGATTTTTCGTCTCATCCGAAGGACTAGACAGCTGACTGAGTCCAATATTGTCCTTTAACAATATATATTTTTTTACGGCTTTAAAGCTGAACTAAGATTATAAAACTACAGAAATAATTAAATAAAAAAAAAGGTTACGCCCAATACAACCGCCATACTTGTTTTCAATTTCTTGAACTAACATGGCGATCGATTTGGGCGGACAAACACATAAGCAGGTCACGCCCCTTTCCAGTATTTGCCGTGTCAACCGAAGACTTTTTTTAGTGTCCACATCCGGTGAGATATAGTCAACTACTAATTACCTCCTGACTGATTGAAGTCTTTCCACTATCAGCTCACAGAAAATATTATTTGAACACTGAAATCATAATCTATAAATCTTATACCGAACAGTTTTTCGAGTGATATGACACCCCGAGATTCTTGTTCGGCTGCCATTTTAAAATGAACAGAAATTTCGCATAGCAGTTGGGTTTAATCAAATCAATGGGAATTGGTTTATTATATGTTAAGCTATGTACAGTACATTTTGGGGTCAGTGTTATTGGAAATTAAGGGAGTTATAGGCCAGTAACTTTTTTGTAGTAGAATGACTATAAAACGTGCTCAAAGGAAGGCCTTGGGACGGTCCACTACTGTAACTGGAGCAAGACGGAAGACATCAGTAGTGGAACCATTTCTAATGCACGTACGGCAAGTGAATTTGAACCACGTGCACCATATTGTATAGTCTCTGATCAACAATTCCAAAATATTTGAATAAAATTAATTGTAAAAATAATACATTGGTTTTCTTTTCTTTCTTTCTTTGTTCTGGTCTCGGGTTATCATTATAGACTTCCAAGTCATCCTCAAATATATCTAAGTTATCTCTTTGAAGAAACAAATTTACAAGGAGCCTTGTGCAAGTACACAAAAACATGTTAGATAATAATAGCTTGATAAAAGTTATTATCTTGTTAAAACTCTTAAAGGAGCTAAATCGCTAATATTTGAGACCTAGAAATTGACACAAATGGGCAACGCATATATTAATGTAATATGAATGTATATAAACTGATTTACATTCAATCGTTTTCGTTTGTACTCTAATCTCAAATCAGTTATGTTCGGCGAAATACGCCAAAGGTCTCAATTGAATGACAGTCTCTAGCGTCTGGTTATTCCAGTCTACACCGATAGTGTTTATTGCGCAAGCTCTTCAGATAAGAATATGGCGTCGCCGTTTGACATGACTTGTGGAATATGTCTAGCCTCGTTCTTCGAGTCCCTTGTTACTGAAACGCATTATGGTACACGATTCGTGTACCAATGGTAAAATGTTTATTTTGTCATAAATATTGGATATCAGGAGTCCATCTTTTCCCAGCAAGATCACAGCATGAATGTTGATTTAAATTCACAATGTCGAAGACTATGAATGCTTTTGTGTTAGCGACTTAGCTACTTTACCACTACCCCCAGGGGTTAAAAAAGATCTCAGTTCAAGTCATTTATTACAACAAAAAGGGATATTTTTTAAAACTTCCAGATTTAGTTCTCATGCTTAAAATGATGTTTTACCCAGAAAGGCACGTATTATAGTCAGCCAGGAGTACTGGGATAAACAGATTCATAAAATGTCCTCAACAAATTGACCGTGCCAAACTTAGAGATCCAATCCAGTTGGTCGATGGCAGAAATATCTTTGCAGTAATGTACATTCATGGTATAATTGTTAAATTAAAACACCCATCTCATGCTGGGGTTGCTTTCTTTTCTGGCCGAAGTGGTAAATCGTGTGATGCCCTGAATGTCCAATATAGGAGCAGAACAGTAGGACGTTAAACCCCATTTCATTTCATTTCATTTACAACACAAAGATTTCAGAAATCAAAACGGGGTCATCATTGTGAAAATTGAAAACGAAACGATGGTACAATGCAGTTAAATGGATGTTGAAGATGTTGACTGGGTTAAAGTGGCTTCAGACTCTTCCATCTCTTCTTGTATCGACAAAGTGAACCAAACAGAAAAAAACCCATATAGTATTTGACATTTCAGGCCATATTAATTACCGTGCATTCTGAATCAAAACCATCAATATTCATAAATCCACATAACGTGCCTAGCTGCCTGGAAATATAATTAATGATTAAAACATTCGCAAGAAATAAGCCTCCCTCTGTGCTGCACACAATTTGTTTTACGTGTAGATAACATTAAAAGTTTCGCTTAACTTCACTCGACATATCTATTTTATACAATAAGTGTCAATGGTGTCATGGAAACAAATTGTTCGGTCTCACTTCGCTCCATAATACTTCTAATTTACCCGAAGAGCTTTGCTCGAAAACAAAAATTTAGTTCTTCATCCCTCGCTGTTAAACTGACCAATAAAAAATAATAAAACTGATCGTCTTCCCCAACCCTCTTTTTTTGTTATTCTCTACCTCAGATTACTACCTCTGTTTCGGTGGTATTAAAAATCTTGTATTAGATACTAAAGAAAATCAAAATGTTTTAGGTATTGTGAGTATTCTGCTCTGAAAATTATAGCTACTTTAGATTAAAGAATCTACTGACGTGAATAGATCACCCCCCTACTTCAATCTCTTACTGATTGCAATGTTGAACTCTACTATAAAATTGCGATATTAATTAACCATCCATGCAGCAATAAACCACACACTTCAGGTTATAGGGTATAAATTTCTCAGTTGAGCCGATATTTCAGGGCCTGTACATTCTATGACGATTTGTTGGCAGGAGGTACATTGTTTTAAAAAATTTAAAAAATTAAAGAAGCCGGATCTGGTTATACACAAGCCAGTTGATGTGCGTGAATTCAAGGAATTTTATAGTTGTCACCTACTTGATATATATAATAACCTGTGACTGCTATCATTGTAAATCTGTTTCGTTCACACGAAGTGTTATTATCTGGCCAAAATTCTTGTTATTTGCATGGGGTCAAGTACCACACTTTCTGATTTGAATAGGTTCCAGCAGTTCCAATTTTAATTTATTTCGCACATACAACTCAATATCGCCGTTCAAACAAAGTTTAGCAGGAAATAATCACGTGGTGTAAATAAAGGAATATATCGTTCTAAAGACAGGGGCGCGGATGGTTAGCGCGTGCGCGCTGTATCATACGGTCTGTCTGTTGTACGTGATGAAAGAAGTAGGGTCGCCTGTCCAAATTTAACCATATGTTAGTCCCGAAATGTCCTAGTTTGTGTCGAGTGGACGGTAAACCCCATTTCTCTCTCTCATTCTGAAGACCACAAGAGGGTGACCATATGTTAGTCCCGAAATGTCCTAGTTTGTGTCGAGTGGACGGTAAACCCCATTTCTCTCTCTCATTCTGAAGACCACAAGAGGGTGACCCCACAAGATTCAATAGTGAGATTTCCCCCAAATAAACAAGTTCAACATTTTCTCGCCTCGATGACATCTGCTTTAATACGACGTCGATTGCTTTCAAGGGTATATTGATGATAATTTTTTAACATTTTTGTAAGGTACATGTATACATATTCGCAGTCCGGGTGACAAACCAATTTATCGAAAAGCACTGTATTACCCCGTATGTCCTGTCAGGTATCCACCAAAACAAATTTCTTATAACTGATATATATATTTCTACAAACGTTACAATGATTACATACCAGAGTAGTTGGGGAATTATTTGAAGGTGACATATATAGAGGTAAGCCTATTGCCCAGCTATTTAATCTGATTGCATTTTGTTCGACAGAACTACGGATTCATTTAATGTAAAGACAAATAAGATGATTCAGCTTATTCTAGTTCTGAGTTTAATTGCAGCAATCAGTGCTGCACCAACGCGATGTTGTGTGGATAAAAAGTTTACAGTCATCATGACAGATGTAAGATCTGTAACAAAAGGATTATACGTAAGTATATAAGAAATAATTTTTTTTAATAGTTTTCTGCTTAAATACCCCTTTCTTGCTAAAGCTCGTAAATTCAATGTATGTAATTTTTGTTAACTTCCTTATCCCATGACATATTTTTAGTCGAATACTTTTTCTTCCATTATCATATAAATTGTTTCTCCCTTGAATTAACTTTTCTCTTTTTTAAAAAATCAAAAATTGGCAGTCTAATTATATGTTAACCGATAACCCACGGATAATAATACTAGGTGAAGAGAGCAAGAATTCTTACTTAATGTGACCAGTGAACTTTGCTCGACTCTTAAATTACCCTCGCCTGGTGGCATTTTTGGTATGTTTACGTTCTTATATGTTTTTAGGTTTACAACGTGATGTCCGAGGATTTTGATGCAAAACTTATAGGAATAAATACACTTCTGTTCAACCCAGGGCAGAGTAGTGTACCAACAGGATATCGACAGGTCCAAGACTTTAATACGGTATGCTATTTTTGATATAACTAAAAGACTACTAGTATGGCTATCGTTAGCATTAACTTTGTGGCATAGATAACGTTTTTTTTTTAATATTATGTCTATGCATGAAATGCCGCTATATCCAACAAGGTTTCATCAAAATATTAGGAATATAAATTTCCATTATTTCTTTTAAAAATTGTTCTATACATATGATCAATCTGATGAAAGTAATTTAGTAACTTTATTGCATAGAAACACCCATAGACAGCAGCATAAAATTACAAAGTACATTTGAAATTAATTACAAATAACACACATTCATAATAAGACAACAGCAGGCCCGGCGGAGTGCCCCCCCCCCCCCCCCCAATAATTTGGCCGCAAGTACTCTTTTCTCCAGGTTATTGCGGCCCCTGGACCCACGCCTATAGGACCTAGGATGGAAGCCCCCCCTCCCCCCAATCAAGAATTGCTTCCGCCGGCCCTGAACAGCAATTGGCGTTGGAGAACACAAACACGCGTTCATTAATAAACGTGTTTTTATTTTGTTTTAGAAAAAGCAGTACAGTATTACGCCACAAGGCTGTAATGTATCGGATATAGTATTTGATCTTCAAGGACCTTGTGTACCTGGTACGTCATGTTATTCATGTATGTAGATATAAGTAACCGTATAACCGATCGAGTAATACTTACGTATCAATCTCGCATTATCGTGTGGCTATCTGCACATAATATAGCCTACATGTATATAAGAATATATAGGAATAAAGTATATGTTTATCTCTTTCTCGTGGGGCCCACCTACACATAATACAGAACAAGAGGACGTTAAACCCCATTAAATTCAATTTCATTTATATTTAGATACTGCTGAATATCTAGGCTCCAATTATTTTGGATATGGTGTTGGCAGTTTAAAGTATGATGCCTACAGATTTACTTTAGAGAAAACCGACGCCAATATTACTGTTATCTTTACTCAAGGAGATTGCATACCAGTACTAGAGGGAGTATCTGGCGTAATAAATGGAGGTATGTTAAAGAAATTTTCTGATATAATGTCATATACACACCCCCACCTAACCGCCCATGTCCGACTGACAATTGAGCTGCTGACCAACGTATGTTGTGTTGCATGGCAATCAGTCTGATATTTATTATCCTGATCTATGCAAGTCTGTTCTGTTTTTCATTTTTAGAGAAACACAACACCAACAAAGAAGTAAAACTGGTGATTGCACCCTATTGTTCCAACTTGGTATTAAGAGAAAAGTCGGCATTTCCATTACACCAGATTTAATTGAAAGATTTCAATGAACTGATGAATAGTAAGAATCTATTAGTAGGCAAATAAACAAAAAATGATAGTTCTTTGTTCAATATTTCAGTTGCGGTTGATTCGACCTACACATTCACAACCTATGAAAAAGAAATTCAAGATCGATCTATTTTCAACATACCATCAAGTTGTCAACAGCCTTAAAACAAATCTACACAATCTTAATAAAAACATAGATATGCAATCAATGTTGGTTATTTTTAATGGGTCTATATTTTCGTCGCCCTCCACGTACACAATTCTAAAACTGGCTGTGATCGTCACTAAGTACAGGTACAGAACCTATCAACTGAATGAAACAATGCACACTCTCAACGAGCCTGAGGATTTGTTTCATAACACAACATACTATGACGTTCGTACCATCACAAATCTTCATAAATAATGCCAAATGGAGGCTGGATTACCGAAATGTCTAACGTTATGGTCATGGAGTCAGTAAGAAAGGTCGCTTGCCCAACCTTGTGAGTTTCCTCTGGGTGTTCTTCCACTGGTAAGGAGCCCTACGCGCAATCGAATTATTGAAAAACAAATTGAGCCATATATTAAGTCCCAATATAACATAGTTGGTGTTGGAGTGGAGGTTAAACTGACGTCCATTTTAACGTTTAGCGATTATACGGCGGGGATGGTCTAATCCATTGGAATACAGTAAAAGACCTGCAATAGGCAGATTTAGCTTTTGTATAATGCATCTTTAATTCTTTAATATTTTAGACGATCTGGGGGGTCCAGTTGCTCAAAACTATGTTATTTTAACGATCCGTTAAACTGTAACAGATCGTTATTTTACTAACGTATCGTTTGTTAACGGTCGGTTAAATTTCTGTTGCTGGAAAGTTAATTTCACTATCTGTTAGCTAACAGCAGATTGATTAAAGTTAATCCAAGAGAAGACTGTTTGTTCATTGGCTGAATTTAAAATTTTTACTTTCATTGCACTTGTATAACAACTTCATATAAGTTACTATTAACAAGAAACTGAAGACAGTGGGACAACTGTGCAGTCTGTTCACAAAACTTGATTAAAGACAAAAGGATAACTTCCTACAGGCCCCAAAATGTCTATAGAATACTATAGAATTTCATCCTATAGAAAATGGAATAGCCCCACCTCCCATAGCCCAACCCTCTAGAATGTTCTATAGAAAATTACACTGGTAATCTATAACTTTTTGCTAAGGGTATACTTCGACTGACAGCCGACTAATGGCAATGCCATCGTTAAACAGATAACAGAGCCCAACATCTCTGTTAAATATAACGGCAAGTTAACGACATGTTAAAGTTAACGGGACTTCCAGCAACAGGCTTTCTCTTCGTTAAAGATAACGATCCATTAACTCCATATTAACGAGTCGTTGTTATTGGAGCTATGAACAACCGGCCCCCGGTGTTACTACTGTTTACTTGAGAAGTTGGCTTAACATTTTGTTTTACATTTAGTATACTTGAAGCGGTATTTGAAGTATTCGGGAACATCCTATGCAAATTGTTTATAATGGTATCTTTCTAAGCCAAAAGAATATTTCAAGGTTTAGTCTATAGTTTTTTTTTAAATCAAAATGTTTAAAATGCTTATTTATAGGCATAGAACGAAAACTAATAAAAACCTTTCGCAGATGGCGCTTGGTTTTTGCGAGAAAAAAGCTTTTTTTAATAAGAAATCTGACATACTTTTGTACATGGCTGTGTATACTTAAGCACACTTATGTAAAGGGTGAACATTTCTAGGGCGCTTGCCTTAAATAACTGTTAGAATTCGTTAAATATTAAAAGTACTTAGAAAATGCAACATGCGTAGTTTAAAGTGAAAATAATTCGCCGCAGTAAGTTATGGGATGGGTTAAAATGGAAATATATATACTTCTGTTATGGAACTCATGCGTATGACAAGATAAAGACATCTCTAAATTAAAGCATATCTAGTCCTCACTCTGATTTAAACATTTCACCAATCATTTTAACTTCTCTATATTCTTTGTCTCTAGTCTTCGTGGAAAATAGCATTCCATTTTTTAAATACGCAAACTAATACTATAAGGATTGTCAAGAGTTCACTCATATCTTTGGGCCTGCATATATCATTCTGCTACTTTGTCCCGTAATTTCAAACCATAATATTATATAGTCTTTTTACCTAGAACTATATTCCTTTTTAAAAGTAAACTATCATCGCCAAGTGGAAGGAAAGTTGTGATATGGCATGAGGTTTAGCAGGCGAACCTGCTCCAGGTGACGTAAAAGCCCAGGATGGAAACCACGACACTTCACGCAATAACCCCATACGGTCCATGGTAAATGAAATATTGCGAACTATGCAAACATTTAACAAGTAGTAACACACGAGAAATCGTGTTACAGAAGGGTTGTACTCCGTTTCTGGAATATGTTATACCAGAAAGATGTCTTCATATGACAATAAGTTAAAGTAGGTTCGAATTTGGCATTGTATTGCTTTTCTACTAACATCCAAATGTTTTTCGTAGGATAAGCCATACCCGACCACTTTAAAAAACATTAACCGCACTTACTTACATTGATATCGGGATTTAGCAGTTCAAGAATCTGGATTAAATGTCATTTAATTCCCTGTGACAGACTCTGGTCCTATATAAAGTGTATAACATTGCTCTAAGCCCCACATAAGGTGAACTAATTTATTACCAAGATGCTGGGTATCGTATATTCCTTGTTATTCATCTCTTCAGTAATAGCTTCAAAAGAACAATGTTGTGTTCACCAAAAGTTTTCTGCGATCATGGCGGAACCCGGTTTAATTGCCAGAGGAACAAATGTAAGTTTTTGGTGTACGTTTGAGAACAATTTTGCAAAACGACCAGGGCGCCATCTAGACATTTATTTTAAAACACCGACAGGCTCGACAGATAGATTTTACGGTTTTGAAATAGAATTCAACATTATGAAATTTTTTGCGAATAATACTTATTCTCGATATAATTATGTTTTCAGCAATTCACTAAATTGGCGGAAGATTTTGAAGCAAAACGTTTGGCAACTCATACATTTAATTTTGTACCTGGTACCAGTAGTACATCATTGCATCGAGTCGTACAAGACTTCAATCAGGTAAAGCCAAATTCCAACAGCCATCGGTCGAATTTAATATCACACAGTCACGCACGATTTTATATCATGCCCCTTTCTCTTTAGTTTTCTCCAATATGAACCCCGTCTAAGAATGTTGGATCGACAGAATGTATGGTAATGCACTTACATAAACAGGCGTAAGTCTATGTCAATAACGCAAAAGTGACTATTTTTACCCACATGCTGTCAGACATGGCGGTAGGGAGAAGGGGCGACGACAATAAAAATAAATCACTACATTGATAGATGGACGTATGTATTTCTTTTTCAAGTTAAAGCAGTATACCATTTACGATAGCACCTGTACTGTGAAGAATATAGAATATGAGATGCAGGGACCATGCATACCAGGTAATGTAAATAATGTTATTTTTTATGAAGATATTACATCGTTTAGCCACCACCCATAACATTATAAAATATCCAGCTTCGCCCTTACAGTTTTCACATTTAGAGCTGGTACTGTCTATCGTAACATAAGTTCACGTCAATTTGAATTTTCGTTCTTCGGAAACACCCTTAAAATGTTGCTTCCATTTGTTTTCAGGAGAAAAAGAAACGAATTAATTATTTCGTTTGAACGAATTAAGTATTTCGTTTGAACGAATTAAGTATTTCGTTTGAACGAATTAAGTATTTCGTTTGAACGAATTAAGTATTTCGTTTGAACGAATTAAGTATTTCGTTTAAACGAATTAAATATTTCGTTTAAACGAATTAAATATTTCGTTTAAACGAATTAAGTGTTTCGTTTAAACGAATTCAGTATTTCGTTTAAACGAATTAAGTATTTCGTTTAAACGAATTAAGTATTTCGTTTAAACAAATTAAGTGTTTCGTTTAAACAAATTAAGTATTTCGTTAAAACGAATTAAGTATTTCGTTCAAACGAATTAAGTATTTAGTTCAAACGAATTAAATATTTCGTTCAAACGAATTAAGTATTTCGTTCAAACGAATTAAGTATTTCGTTTCGTTAGAACGAATTAAGTATTTCGTTTCGTTAGAACGAATTAAGTATTTCGTTTAAACAAATTAAGTATTTCGTTAAAACGAATTAAGTATTTCGTTAAAACGAATTAAGTATTTCGTTAAAACGAATTAAGTATTTCGTTAAAACGAATTAAGTATTTCGTTCAAACGAATTAAGTATTTCGTTCAAACGAATTAAGTATTTCGTTCAAACGAATTAAGTATTTCGTTCAAACGAATTAAGTATTTCGTTCAAACGAATTAAGTATTTCGTTCAAACGAATTAAGTATTTCGTTCAAACGAATTAAGTATTTCGTTTCGTTAGAACGAATTAAATATTAGGTACGTCGTTAAAACGAGTTAAGTATATCGTTAAAACGAGTTAATTATTTCGTTTAAACGAAAATGGAGAAGACGAGAGTATCGTCTTAGAAACGTTGCATATTAATAAATTAAGTAATTGTGTATGCATAAAACTGTACTTTATTAAAAGACAATATTGGTGTTAGTCATTATCACATGTGATAAAACTGGTTAAACACGTTCCAAATATAATTTTAAAAGGAAAACATGAGTTATCATTCTATATAACTTACTGAAGCACCGAGTAATAACAAATACAATGGCGAGTTTCTGCTCACTAATAATTCCTTCGAAGTCCAAAAGTCGTTTTTTGAGACTGTGGGAGGATATCTGACAATTCAAAAAAATAATTAATTGTTACTAGATAAGAGAAAAAGAAAAAAAGAAAGAGTCATGTTTTTATTAAGTATAGAATGAATAAAAACAACGGAATATGCCAAAGTTAAGTTAGCTTAACTAAAGCCATTTGATTAATGACATAGGAAACTAAAATATTTCAGGAGATGCCGTCGTTTTGGGATCAAGTAAAATGGGGTTTCAATCAGATACCATCAACATTACATCATATAGCTGGTCATTTGCCAACCAAAATGCTACTTTGGTTATGATTTTCACTGATGATTGTGTTCCGTTGGTGCAAGCTATAGGAGGAACTTTAAATGGAGGTATGTGCATGTATGTAAATTGCATATTCTTGTTGGCTGGCTTAACTTTCTCAAATTTTAAGAGGTATTATTAATTTTAACAAGATAATCGCTTGTTTAAATTAATTTTCTGTATCATCATATTCAAAGCGGCTCTAAAATATGTACTACTGGTATCTTTGAAGGGCGTTAAGATCGTCACACAGTGCTGAAATGTAGGGTCCATGAGGTTTATTCTGATCAACAGCGTCCAGGAGGCTTTGATGTGAAAAACTATTGCTTAAAGTAGCTAATTATCTAACTCAATATCATCCAAAGTCTTGGACATTTAAAACACGAATTATTTGTTATCAAATAATACCGGTCCTTGGATTTTTAACATCCTTTTAATGTCAACGAATCAAATTAAGGGTTACAATTTGAGCTGGAAACTTTAATGTTATATTCCAAATGCATCTCAATATATTATATTTGTATTGTTGTCGATATTTCAAACGACATGTGTAGCAAACAACCAGTACTGGCACCATATATTACATTAATATTAGATATCTCTTATTATATTGCAGCACCCGTTGACACTACTTATGTGTTTACTCAGTACAGCGATACAATTGAGGACATGTCCATATTCGATATTCCAGCTAACTGCCTTTCTCCTTCCTCTTAAACAGACGAGTGTTGTCATAAAATATCTAAATATATCTGTATACACGATAAATAAATGATACTAACTTTTCAAAAATTTCAGTTTCATACATGTTGTTTTTTTTATACTCCGTGTTACTAGGTACCGAATGTGTGCCTACTAGCAGTTCTTTGAAGGGCGTTAAGATCGTCACACAGTGCTGAAATGTGGGGTCCATGAGGTTTATTCTGATCAACAGCGTCCAGGAGGCTTTGATGTGAAAAACTATTGCTTAAAGTAGCTAATTATCTAACTCAATATCATCCAAAGTCTTGGACATTTAAAACACGAATTATTTGTTATCAAATAATACCGGTCTTACCGGGAAAAGATGGGCTTCTGATATCCAATATTGAAGTCAAAATAAACATTTTACCATTGGTACACATATTCCACAAGTCATGTCAAACGGTGACGCCATATTATTATCTATAGACCATGCACCATAAATACTATCCGTGTAGATTGGAATAACCAGACGCTAGAGAATGCTATTCGATTAAGACTCCTGGCGTATTTCGCCGAACATAACTGATTTGAAATTAAGAGTAATAACGACAACGATTGACTGTAAATCAGTTTATATACATTCATATTACATTATTATGCGTTGCGGCCCATTTGACTCAATTTCTAGGTCCCAAATATTGGCGATTTAGCTCCTTTAACGAAACTATTGTGGCCCTTTTCTTTGAAAATCGTAAATATTCCGATCGGAACAGATTTATTATCGCAATAATCATGTACAGTTTCAATGTAGAAAAAAAAGAAAAAAAGTTTCGGACTGAAACAAGTACTATGGGCAATTTAAGGAATCATCCATGTCCTATATTAGGATATCTATAATCGAACAAGATGTGTGGCGCTTGGGGTCAAGTTCCTGGCCTAAAAATGGATTAAAAATACTTTCCAAAGATAGCAGAACATTAACACTTCCACCAGCATTGGTCTCTGTTCCATTTACGGAAAAATACTTAATATAATAATACATTGCTGATTTTTAGGGGTTCTGCAATTTCGAGTTAATTTCGGGTAAATAGTTAATTATTTCTGTGATACCGTTTGGTCTGCCTCTTAATATGTACACATGTTTGGTACCATTTAAACATAACTTCACATCAATTAATTTGACTTTCATTGTAAATGATGAAAGGTAGCTTGTCAGATTTCCGACCCAAAGATACTACCAAATAGGCCTAATATGATTGTGGGAAATCTTTTAATAACCCTGCCAGATCCATGTCCAAAAATAAAACACTCGAGATCACAGTGTATGATTGTTCCGTGTTATTTGCAACTTTGTATACTCCACCTATTTTTTCTAATAGACAAATAGTCTATTATTTCTTCTCTTTATGTTTCCAAATAACACTGACAGTGTCGCTAACATACAGAACCAGTAATCATTTTTATACGCCCACATTTTTATGTGGACGTATATTGTCGTCGCCACTGTCCGTCCGTTCACATTTGTTTGTGGACACTCTACAGGTCACAATTTTTATCCGATTTTGACGAAACTTGAAATGTAGATCTATCTCACAAAGATCTCGGTCCTTACGATATTGGCATGTTTCGGACGATTTTGATGAAACTTGAAATACATGTTTATAACCCAACGATCTTGGTTCCTTTCGATATTCCCGCATATCGGATCGTAACTTCCTGAATTATGGCTTTTGATTGGACAAAAAATCGCGTTTTTAGCTTGTGGTCTCCCTAGAGGTCACAATTATTATCCGATTTAACAAAAAACGTTACACCGTAATGTTGGTTGAGTTCGAATTTCGTGAAAATCGGACCAAAACTACCGGACAAAATGGCCTCCCCTCATATGCAAATAGTGTAAACATGGTATATCAAGATTGTGGATCCTCTAGAGGTCACAATTTTTATGAAACTTGAAATACATGTTTATAACCCAAAGATTTTGGTTCCTTTCGATATTCGCGAATTTCGGATCGTAACTTCGTGAATTATGGCCCTTGATTGTAGGAAAAATCGCGTTTTAGCTTGTGGTCCCTCTAGAGGTCACAATTATTATCCGATTTAAGAAAACCCGTTACACCGTAATGTTGTTGAGGTCGAATTTCGTGAAAATCGGACCAAAACTACCGGACAAAATGACTGCCCATCGTATACAAATAGTGTAAACATATGGTATATCAAGGTTGTGGATCCTCTAGAGGTTACAATCTTGATGAAACTTGAAATACATGTTTATAACCCAAAGATCTTGGTTCCTTTCGAATTTCGCGCATTTTGGATCGCAACTCACTGAATTATGGCCCTCGATTGTACGAAAAATTGCGTTTTTACCTTGTGGTTCCTCTAGCCAGAGGTCACAATTTTTATCCGATTTAAAGAAAAAGCGAGTGAAATATCAGTTACACACTAATGATGGTTGTGTTCAAATTTCGTGAAAATCGGACCAAAACTGCCGGACAAAGTGGCCGCCCTTCGTTCGCAAATAGTGTAAAAATAAAGTATATCAATGTTGTGGAAACTCTAGAGGACACAATTTTTATCCGATTTTGATTAAACTTTAATTTTATGCTTATATCACAAAGATCTTAGTTCTTGTCCATAATCGCGCATATCCGAACCTAACTTCCTGGATTATGGCCCCTGGTTCGAAAAATTGCATTTTTAGCTTGTGGACCCTCTTGAGGTCACAATTTGTATTCAATTTTAAAACCGTTTAAATATATCCGCGTTACACATCAATGAAGATTGAGTTCGAATTTCGTAAAAATCTGACGGAAACTGCCAGACAAAAGTCACAATTTCTATCCGATTTTGATGAAACTTGAAATGTTCGTTTATAATTCAAAGACATTGATATTTGTGTATAAGGCGTGTGATAAGGCTGTGACTGATATGCCTTAGTTTTGAAAATATGAAGAGAAAATATGAATAAAATATTTTGACTACAGAAAAACTAAAAAAAGTTATTTTCTTTTTAAAAAAATCAAAGTTTGGAGAAAAATTGTGATTTTACTGCAAATGTCTCAATATTCAGTTTTTATTTAATTGTCCAATTTTGGCTTATTCAGCCTCAGAAAGCACAGATAAAGTGAACAGTATTGTAATTTCACCAAATTTTGTCTCAAAATCAGGAATATTCATAGAAAATCTCCAGATTCTCCTATTTCGATGTAGAAATGGGATCTTTAAGTTTGTCAGGTTTAGAAATAGCTCCAGCTTTACTACAGAAAATTGAAAATTTGTAATACTGAGTTAATAATGTACAGCAGATGGGTTTGTACAAAATGTTCAAGACAGGGGTTGGTTCAATTTTGCCACTATTTTACCCAGAACAAGCATTTTTTTCTTCTTTGAAACATAAAATTCTTGCATTTCCGTCAATAGTCCAGTCTTTCTAGACATTTTTCACTCCGTCATTCCGTTAAGAGGGGCTATAAATGCCCCACCCAACCCTTTTTTATTAATGTGTTTTGAGAGATTTAATTGCACCTGTGTTGACAATTAAATGATAGTAATTGGAATTTGTGGTTGAAATACAGTTAGGAATGTTATTTTTCACCAATAAATGATTATTTTGTACATTTCAAGGATTTCTAGCCTTTTTTGTTTAAAGTCAAACTTAGAACCCTGAGACATGTCAGGCCAATGAGACCAAACCCCCACACAAAACTGGTGTAGATGTGTAAATGTCAGCTTAATGTTCAATATTTTCTTATCAAAATCTAGGATTTGTGGTGTTTGTTGCATTTATGTTGCTTATAGAACAATAAAATGTTAATTTTGCTCCTTTTCAGGCCTCCTTTATGTTGTTGCCAACTCTGTCATAACTACGTTTTTGACTTCATTTTTTCAGGAAATTGATGTAAATGTCCAGACATCTTGATTCAGCACAAGAATTGCGATAAAGATTTGTATGATGCCTCTGAGTGAGATGTTGAAAACATTGAAATATTTCCAAATTTGTGAAAATTGTGTATTCTGTGATCCTTTTGTTAGAGGGGGCTGATCATAGACCAAATATAGCATACTATTTCATTCATCAAGGCCTATTTTTAACCATAATTCATATTTATTACATATACATTAGCTTGTATGTACATATGTTAGCCAGGAATGGTAAAACATAGCTGTTAGACAGATTCCTTTGGTAATCTTAGTTCTGCAACCAAAGATTAGATTGATTCAAACAGTGACATGTTTAGGGGGTAGGGATATAGATCTCTGATATTACAATCAATGAAACTAATTTGCAACTTTTCTGTTTGCATATTGTCCAAAGTTTCTAAAAATATATTTCTAAACAGTGGAAAATTATTGGCATTTTGAAATATGCTACATGTAAATTTTAAACATTTTTCATTACATGGAGGTAAAAAAATATATTTTTGAAAAAAAAATCCAAATTATGAGTTTTTTCTTTGTAGTTTTTGTAACTTGTCTAGTTTTTTCACGGAACTCAAATACTGCCTTTCATAAGAAAACTTTTTAATTTTTAGCACACAGGATCCATGGACCTGAAATGCGCCGCTGTACGTAAAGCAGCATGTATACTTAAGTGGGTAAAACGCTGGCTCACTAGCGTTCGATCCCTGCATGCGCCAAGAAAGTTCATCAGGATTTTCCGACGTGGTTCGCCTTGTCAGGGGTGCAGGAAAGCTGTAAAGTCCTTCGTAGGGGATGAGAAACCGAGGTCCTGTGCACACATTGGCATACACGTAAAAGATACCTTGGCAGTTTGAATTCGATATAAGAGTAGGTCATAGTGCCGTTGCCATGGCAAAATTTCCCCCCAATGCACACTGTATGGCGTATGCCCGTCTTCATTAGCCGTTAAACCCCATTTCATTTCATTTTCACCGGCAGGTTGCCAAACACATGGGAAGCAAATAAAAAAGGTCTTTTAGTGATACAGCTCACCCTTTGCCTTGTTCCCCCTTTTGCATGGCGATTTTTGTTGAATTTTTGATGTAGAATCGAAGAAAAGGGTTTGAAAATACATTTCCTGCCAGGTTTTGGTGAATATTCATGATTTTGAGGCGGAAGGATACGAGAGTTGAGAGGTTGGTTAGATTGAAATGTAAGGCGGAAAATTGCGTGTTTATTGGTCTTTACTTCCAGGTCGCCACATGTTGCTCCATCTGTGGTAGAAACCGTTCTACCCAACGAAAATTTGGGAAAAAATTAGGGCCGGTCTAAGACATGAGAATTAACATTAAAGTCAATGGGAGAAATCATTAGTGATCTATGGTCATTTAATTTTTCGAATCTCAATGCTGTTGATATCGATGACACGAGACTTTTAATATCACCCATACATATTATACCGGTCATTTGAACTTCGAGATAACGGGAATACAATACCTAATTTAACATCTGACCTAGGTTTAATTTTCGGTATGTTTATCAGCAATACCTGGGTGTGTACGCAATAACTTTCAGATAACATAATCTAGATAAATATACGTGGTATAAAAATATTTCTTAAGGATTTTTAAAGATCGTTTAGTACGTGGATTATATGTGAAGACTCTAATTATGTTGGCCTTAATTTTTTTGTATGCACTGTTGGTTTCATCAAGCCATAGTCAGAAACGATGTTGTGTTGACAAACAGTTTTCTGCCATTTTATCAGACCCGTCGGATATTGCAAGGGGATCTTATGTAAGTATAGTCTATTTAGATAAAATATTAAGTTTAACTAACCAACAATTAATGCTTTTATTCAAAATTATTTACCCTTTCTGTTCTTGCTGTAAGTGATAATTATTCTTTAAACGGGCGTTTACATTATTGTTTTACACAAAGTATAAAAAAAATACTCATTGTTTTAAATAAATGTGTTTTAAATTTTAACATGTCGTCTAGTCAATACTTCGACCTTTCGGGGACTTTCTAACTATGGTAAGCATACTTGTGCCATGCAAAGGAGAAAAAATTGTGTTCTGCCAGAGGTGTTTCCACAATTTGCAACAGGCAATATATGCACTGGACAAACAGCCATCTGCTGCTAAAAGAACATTGAATAAGATTTGTCAGGTGTTTTTCAGCAATTCTCCAATTTAGCAGAAGATTTTGAAGCTAAGCTTTTAGCCACCGCGACATTTCAATTTTCGCCTGGAAATAGCAGTATACCATTGTCTAGAGTCGTACAGGATTTTAATAAGGTATTTGTTGAAACATATTTCCGATATCATTTTAGATTTCTCGGTTATGATATGTTAAGGTTAACAATTGAACGAAATGTTATTCAAGACTTTACATAAAGGCATTCTTGGACCTCCTGGTACCCTTTTTTGTTAAGAGACGTATTGACAGAACAAAAGACATTTTAGCCATAGCTATGACGTATTAATTATTATGCCCCCCCCCCATAAAACAGTACCCATAAGTAATTTATTAAAATCTACAAAGGTCGAGCAAATTTCAAGAAATGTCTTTTCCTTAAATGTTGATGAAGACTATTGTTCCAATATTTCATGAAAAAGAAAAGAAGAAAAATTATATTTAACAGTTTTATTCAAAGATTTGTAGGTTCTTTTTTTAAAATTTGGTGGGGCGGGATGGCTTGATGAAACCAACAGTGCATACAAAAAAATTAAGGCTAACATATTATTTATTTTGTTTTATAGGGGATTCAATATGTGATTTATGATGGTAAATGCACGCCCCAAACACTACAATACACTATGCAAGGCCCATGTGTACCAGGTATTGTTATTCATAATTATAATATATCTCAATCAATGAGCAATCGGACAGTGTTTTGATTAGTCTTGTGTTTTTGTGAAGCGCTTAGGAAAATTTTGATATGTAGTGTAATGCTATTACATAAATGAAACAATGATAATAATAATAACAATTACTGGACTTAAAGGCAGCTCTGAACCGGCTTCAGGAAGCATATAGGAGTGTCATACAATAGCCCATTCGTCAAGCTATCCAACGATACTTTAGTTGTTTTGATCCTGTGACATACGACTGAGAAATCGCGTTTTTGGCAGAAGTACCAAATTATTACGGTGGTTTTTTTTTAAAAAAAATATTGAATATTTGTTCGACTACATCCAGTTTACAGATCAATGTCGGGATAGTTTTAACAAGTGGTCTGGATACTTTATCTCCCTGTAACAGATGTAATTAGATGAGGCCCTTTTTTCACTCTTATATCATTTCGAAGTTTAAGAAAAAGAGGAAAAGTAGTTTTCGAGATAAAATTTTTGGCGTCCCATAATTTATTTCCCATAATTTTTCGGGCTATCCAACGACACTTTAGTTGTTTTGATCCGGTGACATTTGGGGTAGAAAACACGGTTTTTGAAACAGCGTAATTTTTCTACTTTTTTACGTTTTTTTAAAAACATCAGATATTTAAAATGCCGTATCAAGCCGTAGATCCATTTAAGCGTCATTTGTTTAAAAAGGCCACGTGACAAATGAAGACGACCCAAGCAATTCGCGCATTTACCGGTAATTTGGATAACCCCGTAATACTTGATATCCCAAACTATTCTCTATAAGAACAGAAATACAAATGGTGCCAATTATTTGTCGATATATTCATTATTAGCTATATATAATAATAATAACCATTTCTATACACAAAGAACAACTTTTATCGTAACTCCATTTGAAATTCACAACGAATATGGAATTTTCCGATGACTATACATAACCATAGATCGCCCTCATTTCTCAGTCAATCAACGCTGGGAATCTTATTACCATCTACGGTTCCATGCATACTACAAGCGTAGTAACTGAGGTTAAACTTTGGCGCGAAAATCGCATGGGATTCATGGACATGAATATCAAATACACTTGATCATACGTGGAGTTCCTGGTGCCATTTGGTGAGTGATTAAACTGTCAATGTAATTGTAAAATACCTTTATTATAAAGAAGTTAAACGATGTTAGACATTATAACCCAATCTTATCACAAACATTTGCCCATCGAACAATTTATATTCAGATTCGTATCAAGTCAATTATATGTTGTTTAAACGCCAATCAACAAATAATACGAGGCTACTTTATTACAAAAGCATCGGTGGGCAAAGCTAATTGATTATAGGGTAAATAATAATTATAAACAACTGATGAGTAAAACGTAATTATTTTATACAATTAACGTGTGTACGATTCTACGATTAGTTCGTTCGTGGGGTATTACACACACGTTCCACCTTGAGTAAAAAAAGACATCGAGTGGTAAATTAATTTATGACCCCATGTCTGTGCAACTTTAGTCGGATTGATTAATTGATGACATATTAACGACACTACACTTGCCATATTATTATCAATACACAAAGATAGTTAGATGACCCTTCTCAATCTGTAATTCCATTTAGATGGTTACCAACAAAATTTATCTGTACTGTTTATTCTAAAGTATATTGAGATATTTTTCTTATTTCATTTTTTACGGCCTATTTCAGAGTAATGAAGTCAAATCCGCATGCAGAAAGAAAGGCGTCGTACGATGGCCACAGGAAAACGAGAAACAGTTGGCTACTCTGATAACGGATCGTCATATACAAATCGCGTTTCAATCATGTTTGACTTTTATGATTCATTTTGCATGACCATATCTTTTTACTCCTGTACTCTTTTACTCGGGATATTACAACCACAATACTTCTGACGAAAATGTATCTGAAATCGTTAGGACTGCACATGATGGTAAAGGGGCTCAATCAAAAAGTCACTTTAAAACACAGTATTAAAATCGCTGTCGTGAGAAGAGAGGGTGGGACATTATAAAACAATCTAAATTACAAAACAAATTATTCCGTAATCAATTGTTTTATTTAATTAGGGGATGAAGGAATCAGTCAAGCGTTAAGGAATACACACGCCGGTGTATATAGGTAATTAAGGAATAGACATTCTGAATAGGCATTCGGTCACTATGACGTCACTGACGTCTGAGGGATTAAGAGTGTTTTCGATAATTGGCAAAGTCGTTTTTACGGGAGATTCTATTTTTCCGACTTTGGGTGAAGATAGCTAAATTAATTTCAATCAGATTGGTGTGAACTTGCCGTAGTAAAGTGGAAATAGTAACCATTGGCTACACGTACCGGAAAAAATCCTCGTCCATCTTATGTGCACTTTAACAAGGTGTTTGGATATTTAATTTCCTGTACCAGAAGTTTCCTTAACATCCATTGAGCAGTTTTGAAAAAAACCCAGATGAGCATTTTTAAAAGGCTCCAAATCGGATAATACTAGATTTCGGCGTTCCATAAACTATTTCCTATCTATGGAATTGGTATAATCAATTACACCCCCCCCCCCCCCTTGAGAACTTGTATGTTCAAAAGTGCCAAAATATCGAAAATTAAATTGTACTCTCATTATGCATCATTAGAATCGTAATAGAGCATTTTCCAAAACTTCACGATTTTTGGACTTTTTTCGATTTTCAGTCCAGTTTCTATCCTACTCCAGTTATTTCAAAGTCTTATTGGATGGCTTCATGCACAAGACTACCGAAGGAACTAAAGGCGTCAAGAAAAGCTCTAAATCGAAAAAATCTTGATATTTGGTGTCATATAGTTGTTTTGCGAAATATAGGGTGTGTATCAATTTGGTATCATGTGATAGATCGTTATTGGGGCTATCTAATGGTACTTTGATTAATTTGATCTGGTAACATCTCGCGCTAAAATCACGGTTTTTCGTGAGTCCCTATTTTTTCACTTTCATTTTGAGATCCGGACATTTTTTCGACTACTTCCGGTTTATAGGTCAGTGTTTGGATAGCGTTATGGATAGATTTGGACATAAATATATGTCTTCATGGTCCAGAAGTTTCCGAAACACCGACAGGATCGTTTAAACAAAGGGGGGGGGGGGGATTTTAATTTTTCAAATAAAATAGCTCAAAAAACACAAAGTTACGACGTTTTGAAATTAGTTTTTATCCACAGCCATGGTTAGATTCTGAGATATAAGAGTTGTGGGAAAATAACAAGAACAACTAAAAAAAGAATAATAATAATTAGATCTGCCAGGCAGATATGAAAATTTTCATATTTATCGTCACAAGTCATGGATATTGTCAAGAATCTTAAAAAGAAAAAAAGAATTATTAAGATCGGCCAAAAATTAATAAAATAGGTTAAAAAAAAATACTTCACAAAGTGACGAATATGCATTGTTAGTTTTTCTCCTTCGTAAAATTGGGTGATTTCGGATTCGTAAAAAGTTTTGAAAATAGTTTTACTCCACAGCGACGAATTTTCGAGATTCGAAAATCGGAAATTGCAGGTGAAAATGATTTTCTTCATGTTAGTGGGAGAAAAAAGAATTAATAAAATAGGTAAAATAAACCCCCACAAAGTTACGACTATGCATTGGTTAGATTTTTTCCTTCGTAAAATTCGGTGATTTTGGATTCGTAAAACGTTTTGAAAATAGTTTTAATCCACAGCCACCACTATTCTTGGGTGGGTTTGGGTGTGTGTGTGTGTGTGTGTGGGGGGGGGGGGTAAAGTTTTAGAAAGACCCCCATGGTTAGATTTTGGAATATAAGATTTGTGGGAAAATATGAAAGCTTAGTAATCTTAGTAATAACAATAATCTTTCCTTTTGCGTTCGTCACTTCCTATTGTTGAAACATTGATTACTCATCTATTGTAGCAATGATCTCTGTGATAAAATAATATTTGGAATGTGTTTAACCAGTTCTATCGCATATGTGATAATGACTGGCACCAATATTGTCCTTTAACACGCCCAAAATGTCCTATGCTTTAAGACCACAATCAAAATATAGACTTCGCTTTTCGTCAGATTTGAGCATTGGTATCTAAATTGACAGGATTTTTTGAATTCGCGAGGATTGTTCGTTGGGTCATAGTGTAGAGAATAAGCATGTAAATCTAAGATTGAAACGTTACGGGATTTTAACCTTGTGAATATTTCAGACGATGCCGAGTTCCTTGGTTCTAATACTATTGGATACCAACCAAAGACCCTAAATATAAATGGCTATAGATGGAAGTTTGCTAATCAGGAGGCTTATATTGCTATGACTTTTAGTGACGACTGTACTCCTTTGGTAGAATCTATCGTAGGCACCATAAATGGAGGTTTGTAAAACTGTTTCTGCAAAATCCATCTCTATTCTGGATTTTAAATTCTACTGTTACCAGATATTTTTAATTTCTTTCAAATTTTTTATAAGATTGCATTTTTAAAATAGAAATGATGAGCCATATAACTCAATCATGAATATTACTATTTCACAGGCCCTATTGACAGAACCTACATCTTCAGCCGGTACGAGAAGACAATATCCGATCGTTCGATCTTCAATATCCCTGCCACGTGTACCACGTCTACTTAGGTTTTCCAACCACAATGACAATAAAGATAGAATTTAAAAGCTTGTCTTATCTTTCTATAGCCTATACGGTACACAATTTATCCAAATTTTAGTACTGCGGGGTGTGGATATAAAAGGTAAATGGAAGAGAGAGCGAGAGAGAGAGAGAGAGAGAGAGAGAGTTTAAAATCAACTCGACACAAACTAGGTCATTTCGGGACTAACATATGGTTCAATTTTATTTCATTAATTCGCTTGCGCGTAGGGGTCTTTAGCAGTGAGAGGAAACCGGAGGACCCGGAGAAAACCCACGAGGTTGGACAGGCGACCCTACTCCTTGTCACGTACAACCGTGGAATCGAAACCACACCAGTTGACTCAATGACACCCTTATGATACAGCGCACACGCGCTAACCATTCGGTCATCCACCCCCTCCCCCTACGGAAAATGATGACATGCCAAGGTAAAAATACGTTTAAAGTGACTCTTTGTGCAGAAGGACAGATCCATATTGAAACCACACAGCTTCAGTATCAGAGCGACACAATATTCTCTAAGATGCACACAACCATTTTTTGTTACACCAAATTTGAAAACAAATCCGCTAAAACCTGTAGTCGCGGTTTTCGCAAGAGATACTGTATGTCGCGGGTCGCTGAAAATCGACAGGGATCCTACTCCCATGACCTGAATGCTTTGCGAAATCCCTAAAAACTGTAGCCCTTATCCTGTTAGGCTGTATACATTTGAAAAGGAAGTGCACATTCTTTATTCAAATGTAATAAGATTGTAATAATTTGCTCAATGGAACCGGTTGACGTAGCAATTTCATATAAAGGGAAGTAATTATAGTTTTTCATATCTGGATTCAGACCACCCAAAACATTTCCCATCGACTTTAAATAAATCCTTGTGTCTTTGCTCCACACAAACTTTGCCCAAATTTTCGTTGAGCTGAAAAACCTCTAACAGAACCTACATCTTCATCCGGTACGAAAAGACAATACAGATCGTTCGGTCTTCAACATCCCTGCCACGTGTACCTCATCTACTTAGGTTTCCTACCACAATGATAATAAAGATAGAAATCCATGTATCTGTATTTAGTATTCCCACCCCCCTGCTCACTTTTCTGAAAACCTAGAAAACGGTTTTACTTCAAATTTTCAAACTTGCGAAGAGTTGGATTACGAAAGGGCGAATTCTGTTGATCTTCAGCATTCCAGGAATTTCTGTATGTGAGATATATTATGTATCCGGAAAAGCATGTGAACACAATATAGATCAGACTTCTTGGAGGCATCCTTTGTTGGGTTCCTTGACAGCAAGTCCACTTTATGCGCTTTTGATCCAATTCTTCTGAACATAACACATCAAACCATTCTTTTACCTTAAAATTATAATAACATGGATAGGCCAAACCAACTACAGATCTGTATGAACAATGATTCATACAAGTTATTAATCCCTACTATCTTTTGAATATGTATTGACGTCATGCATTAAAAGAAAACATAGAACAGAGATGGAAATGGCAGTTAAAAGTTACTACAGAATGGAAGCTGTTGGTAACTTTATTATATAGAAAAATACTTTATTTCAACAAATAAAAAAAATTATCACATAAAAACATGTTTTATCCCATATATCATTTATTTGAAACCATCAACATGCAATTATCAGTAGACACCTTTATTGCAGACAGTTTTATGACCACTTCATATTGAATTTCTATCAACTTTATTTAGTTCGAGATAATATGGCCACTTTTGCACATATTATTAAAATTAAAGTCGTTTTATATAAAAAAAACCACAGCTTATTTAGGTCATTTATTATCGGTAGGCCCTATACATATTCAAAACTACAATATATATTAATTTACTCTAAGCAGTCATTAGCTAATATTTAGTGAGTAAATGTATAAAATTCGAATGAAAATAAGTACATACATTTATAGGCCGCATTTAAAAGAAGAAATAAAAATGAAATTAAGATTTACCTCCCTTTATATATAATTCATATAGGCCAGTTTCGAGGTTATTTGCTAGATATCCTATTTGAGTCAAACCAGATAGAGGTGCATTTCTATGACCAAGCATAATGTTAGCCCTATTACCTGCAAAAAGGCGACTATATACCAAGTTCTGCTCTACTTAATCCATTGTATATTTCGATTCACAAATATTATAAATAGATATAGCTAAAAAAAAATGTCATCTTTTTTCAATGAACAACATACAAATTCTAGGGTGATTCTAAAACAGTTTTTATATCTCGATGAACCGCATGATCAAACGCCAATTATAAAACTATTTTTTTCACATCTATAATTGTTGAAAATATATTAGCGAATACTCTTATCGACTATAATGTTCCGAGTAGTGAATAGTAATAAATGAACATACATAATGGATCTTAACGCTTTAGGGAATTTCACGAACTCATAATCGGGATGCTTATAGGCTTTTGGAATCATTACATGTAAGCTGTTTTAATCTCGCATGTTTATAGAGATTTCCGCAGTAAATGGTACGCAGTCAGACAAATCGTATTATTTAATAGAAGCGGTTGCCAAGATCGATATATTCTGTATAGAAAAGATAAGCAGTGTATGTAGGGTAGAATTTATAGTAGATGACTCAGATTCTTAAAATAACACCGTTACTATGGAAATATGTAAAATCTTATTAACTTCAAATGCAATAAAGTTACTTTCTATTTTGGCCTATAAGAAATTACATACTCGTGGCGGAAGAGGGGATGTAGAAACTGAATTTGTTTTCTGTATTACTGTACATAAATTTTAATTTTCTTGCATTTGAGCGTTTTTCATTTTTCTCTTGTTCCATTTTACTCCATTCGCTTTCAATTGTGTACATTGTAGTGAAATAAAGCAAAGAGTAAGAGTTTCGCATCATTTTATCCCTGAATTACAATGAATGATACATTTGACAGACTGCAAACGGCAAAGAACATAATTCCTGATCTCGCATTTTTGAGAGCAATGAATGATGGTCAAGTACATGTATTCCCAATCTCGCATATTAGTCTGTCCCCACTATGACGGCCTTCTTCTGTTCACGTGCTTTCCAATGATCTATAAATTTTAATAACCTAGTGCTTCTACAGTACATTTATGAGTAGCCTAAACACGTGACTAAGTGCAACTTTCGATTTGCTGGGTGTTTGACATATCAGGGTGGCTAAGACATTATTTGAAGATAAAATCAGGGAAGAATTTTTAGATAACGATTCAGGAGACTCAGATCTCGAGACAAATGACGATGAATTCTGACTACGAACCAATTTCGGACAGCTGAAATGGAAGTGACCGCTAGTCAAAATCGGAAGACAATGACAATGCCAATGTACGTAGGATGGATGAACTTGCTCATTTTATGGAGACGACGCCTGATAACAAAGGCCAGATTGTGCAGTTTGTACTATTTGAGTAAATAACAAGTATGTGCACCGAAAACAGACCCAGAGACGATGCAAATCTTGCGTGCCAAACAGACCCAGAGACGATGCAAATCTTGCGTGACAAACATCTCGCTCTGCGATATTCCATGTTTTGAAGTAAGTAGACTATAAAGGGACAATATATATAATGTATATTTCTATGAAAGGGTATTAGAAAGACAATTTCATATAAAACTAGTACAGAGGTAATATTGCAAATACTTCATGAAATTTCCAGAAAAAAAAAGTTTTGAGGGTAAAAATCGTGAAATCTGGTTGTTTTCGTGAAAAACACACTTTTCCCCCCAAATATGTTACATGTTTGAAAATTAACAATTGCCAATGTATAGTTTTAGAAATATGGTAGATAAGTTTCAATTATTCTAAAACTGTATCTCCATAAACAAGAGTCACAGGCCTTCAAAAATGTTATACCTCATTATCATATTTATAAACAAAAATTGACGGGCAGGCCGGTGACCATCTTAAACAAAATGGTGGACATTCTCAACTGTTTTTGCTCAGTTCAAAGGGAAAATTTGGTGGGCACCAAAGGATTAAACATGCCGATTACAATAATACTGTGAAAATGGTTACCGGGGAACAATACGTACTATTTCGTGTACCTAGACCAATTAACAAGACATTTGGAACCGACTGCGTTCAAAGTCTTCTCAACGAAGCTTAATGTTTGCAGTCAGATTAAAAATGCGTATTTTTGATCGGGATTGGAAGCTTTGTAAAAAACAGCCCAGAGTAACTGCCTGTCCAAGCCAAGATAGTCAGCAATATTTTATCATCATTTTTGTTTTCTTTTTTAGCATGAGAATACAATTTCATAAAACGTTCCGTCTTGCCCCTTCCTGGATGCTATCATTTTTACCAGGACATAATCGGTCAGTTATTATTGATGGAGTTCGGTCCCAACAGTTTCAACTCAAGTTTAGGGTACCATAAGGTTCTGTATTAGGCCCTGTTTGTTCACTTTTACATTCCATAAATAAGATATATATCCAGACCCGAAAACCCCATTTCATTTCATTTCATTTCCACTTGGCATTGAAAACATGTAGGCAGAAATGCCTATTTTCTGACCAGTAAAATCAAAATATACATGTGACTTTATATAACCTTGTCCAACTTAAAACATTTACAGGGATGTATTGACATTTCTGTTTAATCGAAAATTATTCAACAGTAAAGACCTTCAAAGCATCTTTAAAGTCATGGAACGATTAAAGTTATACTTGTCTTAAAATACAGATGTTTTATATAAATTACTAATAAACACGACTTATGTCATGTTTTCATGCCTAAAGGTTCTAACCATAAAGATTGATATTGAGATCTAAGTCAGTTAAGTCTATCGGCACTTCAAATAAAAAAATATTTGTTATCTGTTATCATCTAAATAAACAGAATCATGATTGGATGCAAATGAGTGAACCAGTTTTGTCCAAAAAAGTGGTGTATATTTACAAAAATACAAATGGTTTTAACCTTTCTATTCACAATAACCAAATACTGCCGTTCTGTCGAAACCTTCCGATTGTTGTAAAAGAAATTGCTTGGAT